TCACGAAATTTCATTAAAAGATGGCTATCCCGTTCGTCTTCAGTTGGAAAGTCGTCCAAAAACCAGCTATAATACTACATATAAAGATAGTTGAGATCACTTGGAATTGGTATGGTTTATAAGCCAACAAATTCCCTTTCTTCCAACCATAGTATGCGAAACAAAGGAAGTAAAAACCGAAGAAAACAGACTAAATATTAATTACAAAATTAACTGTAACAACTGTGATCAGCACTGTATTGGACAAAGGCATAAATTTCTTCGTCTTCCTTTACACGAACATCAGTTGGCTACTGAACGTCACACACGGTATCTATTTTATCGCTCATATCAATGTTTATGGACAACCGTGGACATGAATTCAATTTTGAAAATGTAGACATAGAATTCCTGGAAGACTGACAATCAGGTTAATCAGCAGTCAATCGATGTATATACTTAGACCCAATATACCGACCAACAGGGGAATGATAAACAACTGCAAGGCCAGAAGTCAGGCAGAGAAACAGATAACAGGCAAAAAAAAAGTTAGTACTGATAATGTGATCAAGAAAGACAAAACTTCATGATTTAACCATCAAGATCACAGAACGCAATATCGCCACATCCTGCATTGCTTATGAACCGATGTGTCCATGTAAAAACCGTTACAATTTCAAGCTCTTTGAAGTTTATGAAGAGGGCCTCAGCGAAATCTCTGTCGGTATCGGCTGTGTAGTCTTCTAGACTAGAGGGGAACAAGGGAACTCAATTCGACAGTCCGAAGATTTAAGATAAACTATTCCATTGCTACGGGTGAAACAATATCTTCCATTTTAAAAAATCATCGACCAACTATCAGCCAATACGTCTATCAGTAATGATGGCTACTCATTAGCAGTGCAATTTAGGACCCCCGTTAAGTTCTACAAGTTATACTATCATTTCGAATTTTGGGGTTAAATTTTATCCTGTATTTTATCTGGAGGTTTGTGTGGATTCATTTATTCTTTTCAGATTGCTATTCATCAGAGACTGACATCAGTTGGAAAAACATTGGAAACCTGTGAGCATTGGGTAGCCGTTTCGTCCTAGTGTGGGACTCCTCAGCAATTTTGCATCAGGATAGATCTTCCACAGTGCCTCGACTAACAATAGAGAGTGTAGTGGTTCAGTGTGTCGACTACCACTTACCTCGGAAGTAGGATCAGCCCTAGTGGCTCAGTAGTCAGCGAGATTTCCGCACCAATACAAAGGGCTCGGCTGGCTTTAGAAAACTGCGCCACCTGTGGCGCTGCCATGATATCCGATTGTCTATTAAAGGTGGCATGTACTGCACAGCGGTCCGCTCTGTTCTCCTCCATGGCTGTGAAACATGGCCGTTGAAGGTCGAAGACATGAGAAGGCTTCAGGTGTTTGACCACCGTTGCCTTCGTAGTATAGGTCGTATTCCGTGGCGTCACCACCAGGTAACGCAGAAGTCAGGTGCAGAATTTTAGAGAGAAGAGCTGAGTCAGTTGACACGGAAGTGAACCTTCATCGACTGAGGTGGTTGGGACATGTGTTACGTATGCCTAGTCTCTCATCGCCTCGTCACACAATGTTGGCCGAAATAGGTTCAGACTGGAAAAAGGTCCGAGGTGACCAGACCAAAACATGTCACCAATGTATGAAGTCTTTGACTGTTGACTTGAGTCATGTGGGGTGATGCAGATTAGGTGGTTGGGGTAGGCGGGACAAGAGAAACCAGTGGTTGGAGACTCTAGATGACATGACTGAGAACCGATGTCAGTGGCGCAGATGTATACACACACATAATCCTCATCTTAACGACGCTATACCGAATCTCACTATTCTTCCTTTCTTTCTTCTCGTACTTTATATTTCTTCTTTTGACTGGATTCTCTTATCTTCATCTTTCACCTCACTACCTTTGTACTTGATGTAGTGATATGAGGTGTGGCAACTCGGACCATTACGCAGTAATGCCTGGTTCTATGCTGATAGATGATGATGAGACAAATTTCGAAGAAGGAGTGACTGACTGATAAAATCAATGTACAACATCGCATACAAGTGCATCTGTTCAACTTGCCACGCCACACTAGTATACAAAGAACAGTTACATAAAAATGACTAATGTTAAAGAAGACAGAATTATATGAGAGAATAAACAATCTGGAGATAGTGGTTAGCGTAAATATTCAAGTTTTAGATGTCATTGATTGAATACATCTGCGCCATTGTGACCAATTTTTAGCGATGTCACCAACAATCCTAAGCCAATGACCCGCCTAGTACCCTTCGCCTGATCTCAACAATGCTCACGCGGTGATTTTACCGAACATGAGCAACATTACGAAGACACTTATGATCAAAACCTAGTAACCACTTCATGTCTTCTACTTTTAACAGCTATGTCTCACAGCTGTACAACAGCACAAAACGAATCGCAGCGCATTAGACTCGTCCTTAGACAGATAGTCGGATGTCTCGCTAGTCGGCGCCACAGATAACACAAGTTGGCAGATGCTAAACAGGCCTTTTGTATCTCAGATGAGCTCCCGTCAGCAACCGGCTTTGGTATTCCTACACCAACGAGAGCTAACAATGGGTCTGTGGATTCTCGCACAGTGAATTTTTTTGAAGACACAACTATGGCCAGATGAGGTCAACTTAATAACCGAAATCGGATCCTGTACACGTATCTCAGAGACATAGCATACATACATGACTAGAGATTTCAGGATTTGAGTAGGCGATGCTTGCTATCCGACTCCGCATACAGTCCAGACAATGAAAGCTCCTATATGGCGAGGTCTCAGAAGACCAAGAATCAAGTTTCAATGACCGTGATCGTTCGAAATGGTTGTAGAGAGAGAACTCGGGTAAGGCGTAAGAAGCTTAATAATACTATCAGGAGATGAAGGTAAAGGAGGACACAGATTTTAGGGGGACAGACTGTTCGATTGTCTCTTGTGTACTACTGGAAGCGTGCGAGCGGTTGCCCAAATCGTAGAAGGCTATTTCCTCTTCAGGTACTTGAAAGAGAAAAATATGTGCGTGACTTCAGGGTTCGTGGGTTATCCGGTTAAGGCCTATTATATAAGCACTTTTGTGGGGTGCTTCTTAGAGGTCTGGTTGTTCTATCTCCAGATAGATAAAAAATTCATACCGCAGGAACCGGAAGACACCGAGGTAGGGTAGATTGTGCCGTTTTTAGAGCAGACCTTTTCTAAATACTCCTTCCCGTTGGGAAGGCAGCATCAGCGTGGCAATGTTGATCATCTAAAGGAAAAACTTTACTGATGTCACACTCCATCCAGCTAGCAGCAGTATGACTTCACCTTAAGACTCACGTCATAGTGTAGTAATTTACACTACAATGTTAACTGCTTTTCGTCTTACCATCATCCAACAGACCTTTCTGGCATGGTGGGATATCAAGAGAATAAGCGTTGCACCAGCGTAGCTCGTTGGGTTATTGTGATATGCAAACCTGACCACTACATCAAGGTGATAGCCATCAGTCAGAATCGAGGAGAGAAATTCGTATTGAAGTTTGTGTAAAAGCGATGAAAAGAGACAAACAATTATTCAATCCTCTCAACAAGTGACTGAAGTAATGCGACCATTCTAGACAAGTTTATTCACGAATATAATACTTATCAACTGGAGTAAAGTAGATCTACATATACAATTCTGATGAACAAGTTAGCCAGTTTTACTTTAACTGGAACTAATCAACACTAATAATAATGTTACACACATAACGCAATCCACCTACTTATATGAATCTTGCTAAAGATGTGACCATATAGTTTATCAATTATTGGGTACCGAGTGAGAGAGAGAGCTTGAAAAGTGACTAAAAACATTCAAGAGCGGCAGTAGGCATGAAAATCCTCTACAACCGGCACAGGAAGACAGTGACCATAAGATACGGACACATGACTCAATTTAAGTCTTTTTACGAGGACCGATTGGAAGGCAAGTTTCCTGACAAAATTGAAATATTAAAATCGTTGCAGTTAAAAAGCTTGTAAGTAAATCTCTGTCGTGCGGTTGCATGCCGTTACTCATTCACAGTTCTTTGTTACATTGAAATCTTTGATTTGTAACAAACTGAGATATACAGAAATATACATTCCACCTAGTTTGAACACATACCAGAGACCATTGGGATAATTTATCGAAAGAATAATAAAACATATCAATCGACAGCTATGCAAAAAAAAAAAGAAATTAGAAAACGTTCTCTTCTTATTTTCAAAGTGTTTATTGGAAGGTTTTTTTTCGAGTTTCATAATAATAATAATAACAATAGTCTCTCAAGTGAATTATTACAAAGTGATGTATACTGAACCAGTGTATACACTCATATTACAAAAACAACAAATAAAAGGAAATAATAGTAATAACAAAAGTGAGTCAGACTAATTGTTACGTTTTTCTCTAACCATAGGATCAATGGAAGGGTGATGAGCTGGATAATTGTAGTGCAGTATATGTAACTAGTTGATTATTGTTCATGTTATAATTTCAAATAATATTCTTCGTGTACTCGAGTAGAAGGAATATGATCGTAGATAGGCAGAAAACAATGAGTACTAGAAAAGTATCTGGCTACAGGGAAAGTGTAACATACAATTATATGGAGGGAAATGGTTATATATGTACCATTACATCAATCACAGTGCAAAATACCAGAATTAGTGACCGAATTAAAAACTAACCCAATAGCAATATGACAGTTTATGTAGTATTAACACCCATTTGATAACCGATACTTGATCAAGGAGATTATTCTCTGTCTCCCTCACACACACACACACACACACACACACACACACACACACACACACACACACACACATCGGCAGCAAATCTCAAATAGAAAATAGAAACAAAACACTGTTGTTGCTTCTTTTACTCTGAACAAATGTGTATAAACCAATGAAAGAAAACAGAATGAATAAGATTATTAAGAAAAAAATTAGAAATAAATAAATATGAGTATATTAATTTAAATAAAAACCAATCTCCTTTGTTGCTTGCAACAGACGTGTACGCAATTCTTTCTCTGTTTGATATTCTGGTAATTTTAAGTAGTGTACACAAGTATTCACACTAGGATATGGTCCACTGTTTGTCAATTCTTTACGTACTATTCTTAGACGTGGATAAAGATTTTTTAAACCACCTGGTGGGAGACTAGAACAACCAGTTGTAAATTGTAGGAAAGCACGTCGTTCAGCTAAATTAAACTTGCTTAATACATTGATTAACATTTGATAAGTTGGTGATTGTTTAGTGAAACCTAAACTTGGAACTGTATAAGCGAGTAGATCTTCACGTGTCCACTGTGCAACTGAATCACCAGAGATTAATTGACCTAATTCTGTTCCAGTGAATAAAGCTAACCAGTGTAATGGAAGGACACGCTGAAAACCATCTAAAAAGAGAAGAAGAAAAATTATGGTAGACGATGATAATGAAGAATGTAGGTTACTTTTATGAGACACTTCTAGAGTTTTCACATCATGTGTTTTCTTGACAATAAAACCATATTTAACTACTTTTTTTTTAAAGTTAGTAAAACACCTTGGTATCATGAATAGCGAAACTTTCAGTTAACGCACTCATAACATACATTCGTAACAACTAGGCTGCAGTAGGAAAATGGGATATTACTATTCGCATCCTGCTCTCCTTCAGTTTACATACACATGAACTCAATCAGATGGACAAGAACTCCACAATTTACATCAGTAAATCAAAGTAGGCGGTAATGTAGTGAAAGACAAAAAAAAACAAGGAAAATATGATCACAATTCGTAGAAAGTTATGCAAAAACAAAGGAAGACAGAGTAAGGTAATAAGGGAACGTCATAAGATGGTGATAATGTGCGAACATATTTGTGCACTGCGGTAGATTCTGAGCCATATACCTGTGAGCATTCAACTAAGCTTCAACTGTTCATTCATACAACAAAACCTATTACGGTATATCGAATCAGTTTAAGTGAATTTTATTCATACAAAGGATATCAGTTTATCATAACAATAAATAAAAACATACACTTGTAAGTGAAACACAGAGTAAAACCACCGGATACAAATCTATATGGATGACCAAGTGACTTTAATTTTTTGAAAATTCGAATCAACGATGAGTTTGAGCATAAAATTGAAACCGTTACCAGTTAAAAGTTGAGATAAAACAATAGTAAAGTTCAAAATGCGCAAATCATGAACGACAAGTCTCTACTACTACTAACTTATGTAGATGAAGAAGTTCTTCTGATCGTATAAAAGAAACTTACATGTTCATCTAACTGGATGTAAGTAATACAAACATCTACATCAACATAGGATCAAACATTACTGCGTAACCCTCCGAGGTGCCACACCTCATATCACTACATCAAGTACAAAGGTAGTGAGTGAAAGATGAAGATAAGAGAATACAGTCAAAAGAAGAAATATAAAGTACGAGAAGAAAGAAAGGAAGAATGGTGAGATTGGGTATAGCGTCGTTAAGATGAGGATTATGTGTGTGTATACATCTATGCCACTGACATCGGTTCTCAGCCACATGACCTAGAGTCACCAACCACTGGTTCCTCTTGTCCCGTGGACCCCATCCACCTAATCTGCATCACCACACATGACTCAAATCAACAGTCAAAGACTTCATACATTGGTGACATGTTTTGGTCTGGTCACCTCGGACCTTTTTCCAGTCTGAACCTATTTCGGCCAACATTGTGTGACGAGGCGATGAGAGACTAGGCATACGTAACACGTGTCCCAACCATCTCAGTAAGTAATACACTATATGATGGCGATGACACGACTTATCCATCCGACACATTACACTTTCAACAAATGCTGAACTGATCACCAGATACGTACCTCATTTTCTTGATAAATATGAACAAAATGTTAACCAAAGAAGATAATTCAGTTGTTGAGGTTGCAAACCTTCATCGACTTAGATGACTAGGGGGCATATGTAACACAAGCCTGGTTACCAACTGTTTAGATGTGCAATATAAGATGAATAGGATTACTGATGAAAATAAAAGATGGCACTAGTCCCTGAAGTATTTATCTGTTGGCCTCAGCTATGAAGTAGAGGAAAGGAGACTTTCCACTTGAGGTCTATAGGATAAGCTAAATTATAGGTTGGAGGCTTTATTTGATATGTATAACATGTGACATAAGTCTAACTGCATAAAGATCACCTCAACACTGATCCAAGTAAAAGGATATGACAATTTTTATTCTTTAAAATACATTAATTAAGCCAAGATTTTATACACATGCTATCAATATTTTAATCAATGTATATTAAAATAAAATATTTTAATTGCAATCTAATGAAAAAAAAACTTTAATGATAGAAAGAAATTATGTTCGCCAACCGTCTCCCACCGTCGCCTACCCATCACACATAGTTCACAATATGTTGATAGTATTCAGCATACATTAAAAGTAGTATTCAAGTTTAGGTGTCAATCAACTTATCCTTTCAATATGTAATGAATCAGTTTATACAATAAAACTAATATCATGAATAATTTATGCGTGTAGGTGAATCAAAACAGATAATAAATGTATCACTATATATATATATATATATATATATATATATATATATATATATATATATATATATATATATATATATATACTGATATTCTCAATAAAAAAATTTAGACATGTGTATAATGTTGATTTCGGAAGCCTAACTTAATCAGTGCATGCATATTGCACAATTCTTTTAAAGCTAATAAAAAAAACCCAACTATTCTCAGTCACATGAAGTGAATTCCAATACCAATTTATTATGAAAATACAGTCTCGCCAAAAGGTATTATTAATAAAATTGATAAATTACATTTCATGTGTAGATATATATATATGTATGGAATATTACGCCAAGAAAGTATATTCCACAAAACTCTACGCTCATTAAAAGTAGTATTCATCATAGACTGACATCAGTTGGGGAACCATTGGAAATTTGGTAGCACTGGACAGCTGTTTCGTCCTAGTATGGGACTCCTCAGCAGTACGCATCCATGACTTGGCTAGGGGTAGAACTCAGGACCTTCAGGTCAATTTTCAGTGGTTCACAACTTCCAACTTCTGTCAATTCACAACATAGCGTACTGCGTACTGCTGAGGAGTCACCTACTAGGACGAAACAGCTGTCCAGTGCTCCCAGATTTTCAATGGTTGCCCAATTGATGTCAGTCCATGATGAATACTACTTCTAAATTAAAAATCCCCATTCATCTCAAAAATACTCTACGCTCATCAGTTTAATAATACAAGACTAATAATTTTCAGTCTACAGATGAATCTGAGTAGTCTTTAACTACTCAAGTTGTTCGGCAGTAGTAATAGTTCATGACGATTTTTTATCGAAGATTATATCTTATGATCTCTGATGAGTGGTTTCCAGTGGAAACTCTGCAGACACCACCATAGTTAGGCAGTTGAAAACCTACTCATCTGTGAGAAATGCCAAAAAGTACCTTGCAATTTGTAAATCGATTGCAAATTGACCATCCTATTTTAGGGATACCAGTTCATGCAAATCAGCTAGCCGGATTCAGATGATCTAAACCTATTCAGTTCTATGAGTTGAATTTATCCGGTTACATTAACCGATGACCTTGGTCCCAAACAAGCAAACCGGCCGTTCAGTGCTTAAATCATACTCATATGGCTATTAAAATACTACAGATTAGTCTTAATAATTTCTAACTAGTAGTATATCATATGTTCACTTTCGCAGTTCGAAACGTCAACAATAAACTGGAAAAGTAAAATTAATTCGTGTTCACCATTAAGATGAATTTTACAGAATTTTACGTAAAAGCATAACCTAAGAATAATTTAACGACAATTTAGCCGAAAGTAGATAAATATAGTTACAGTGTTAGTCCCCTCCTCCTATTTAACACCAAAAAACAATGCACAGCAACATCACATCACTTACTGGTTATATTGCAAGGCTGGATCGATTAACCTGGATATATGCACCTAGCGTTGAGACGTTGGACCGCGGTAAATAGCCTAGAAGATTTGGATTTCGATGATGATACCTTATGTCTAATGTCACACAAACTTGAACATATACACGCAAAAACTAACAAGTTGACACAACAGGTGAGGCAGGGCAGCGAAGATCGGAATTCAAGTGAACGTAGAGAAGACGCAGGTGAGGAAGATACCCAAACAACGCCACCACCATCACCAACAACAACAACAACAAGCTCCGATCACCATCAACAACAGAAACTTAAAACAAGTAGTCTCTTTCACCTATCTAGGCAGCACTCTTTCAACTGCAGGCCACAGCGGCACACACGACCACCTCAAAGCACCCAGGATCCCAAATACAGTAAGACAGGCCTTCACTAACCTGGAACCAGTGTAGAGATCGACTGCACTACACTCCACTCCACTCCACTCCACTCAGCATAAAGCATGAACAACATCCGGATCTTCAACACTAATATCAGTCAAGTCAATGCTTCTATATAGTTCAGAGAATTGACGGTGCGTTACGAAAGGCACTTCCAACAAACTACAGACATTCATCAACAACTGCCACCTACACTGGCTCGTTACTGAAGATCAGATGGCCAGTATAGAATAATGAGAATAAGCAACAAGGAACTCTGGCTGGCTGGCTGGCTGGCTGGCTGGTAACGAACCAACCAACAACCTATCACTCAACAAATATGCAGTGGAGATGAAATGGATTGGGCATACACTGAGAAGGCCAACTGGGGACATCACGCACCAGTTCAGGAACTCGAGTGGAACCCAGATGGGAAGCGACGAGTTGGGTATCCGAGGCGAGTGTGACATGGAGGAGATCGTGTGAGGAGGAAATGAGAGCTTGTGGGCAGTTGTGGAGGCAGGTTGAAAAGATTTCAGAGAAGAGAGTGGAATGGAGACTTGCTACTGTAGCCGTATGTTCCATTAGGAACCCAAGGGACAAACTATATATAATAATAATAATAACAATAATATGCACTAAGCGTTACACCCACTGGTGACACAATCATCTAAATGTGCTCATACGGAACTGTATGTGTAACATCTACTATACATAGAAGCTGATAACACTAAAAATTTCCACTTTACCACAATATTGAGTCTAGACATGTAATAACTATGCAATTTTCGAAAAGAAACAACACTTTTAGATCACTAGACGATAATAACACCAATGACTGCGCTAGCGTAAAGAATTTTTTAATTCGAAAAGGAGCTTTCTATGAGTCCAGTGATTTTGAGGTAGTATTATTCACCACGAAATGATATCAGATGGAGAAACAATGAAAGCTTGAGAGCACTAAACAGTTGTTTCATCCTTTTTTGAGGCCAGTAAGATAAAATAGCTGGGTAATGATGTCAGGTTGTCAACTTCTTTTCAACATCTAACTGATGTTAACCCATGATTAGGACTATCTTGAAACGAATAATGCCATAGACATGAATATGTAATGCTGAAAAGCAGAGGGAAATTACAAATATTAAAACAATAACAAGACAAGAGGTGGGTTTCGTATCACAGTCGATAACAGTTTGGCGTATTAAGCGATGAGTACTGGATTCGAATCTCAGTGAGGACAACATCACACACTGGGGTGCAGGTACACTCAGCTGATGAGTCGCGAATAGGACGAAAAGCATATCTTGAGTTCCATTACTAGTCATTAGATGAATACAACAACATCATGAATATGTGGCAGAATCGAAGCATCCACATAGGAGTCCATCTGCCAACAGATGTTGAGCAATTCAGCGCAAGTAACAAGAAATTAATAAGGATTTAATAAAAATCTTAGCATAAAGCATACCTTTGAATGCATCTATCTGTTTTCGTATACCTTTATCCAAACAAAAGGCTAATGTTAATTCCAAGTATTTCTCTACATTGTTAATTGAAACAGGTGTAGATTGTACAGGATTGGATTCATTTTTACTTGTTGTTGATTCTGTTATATCACTCTCCCAACTATAATATTCTTGTAATGGATAAGCCGAAAATCCAAAAAGCTTTTAAGAAAAATTTAGAAACCAAAAACATCATTAAAGACTGAACTTTAATTTTGAAATGTATACTTCAAAAATCAAATTTTTTTTAAAAAAATCACTACTTTATCATAAGAAGTTTGTATGGAACCGAATGAATTCGAAGGGTTTTTATCAAAGATCTGAAAGTCCTGAATTCAATGTCTAGCACAGTCAGAGGTGGACGTACTGCTGAAGAGTCAGTCTCAAACTAAGACAAGACAACTGTTCAGTGCTACCAGGTTTTTAACGATTCTCTAGGTGATAACGTTCTGTCATGAGAACCTTTTAATTCAAATACCAAATATATAGTCTCTCATGCGAAAAAGATAGTTTCGGCCTACTGTACTTTATACTACAGTAGTAACAGCAGAGAAACAACAATAAAAAAAACTAACAACAGTTAAGAGATATTAAAATGAATAATCAGAAAACGGTTATGAGTAGAGACGAGATGACAGAGAGCTCAGACTAATAAGAACGATTTACAACTTTGATGAACATATTCAAGTCATTGTAAACAATTGTATACAATGTTATTCAGTGTATTCAAATAGTATTACATAATACCTTGGAGAAACATTTAGGATGTTTACCGTTTCCTACGAAACTTAGTCAATTAAAGCGTCAAAAGATCAGTGTCCAGTGGTAATTTAGATATTGTGAATCATTGATGTGAAGACAAAGGAATTCTGATATGTATTTGTCTCCTAAAATATGTTTATGATACAGGGGGATACTCCACTTCCACATCAATGTATCCATAGTTCATAATCATTTATCCGATGTGTTCAATAAGACATGTGAAGTTGAAAACCTGTGAGGATATGTCATACACTAGGATGGTTAAATTTTTACAAATAATGAAGTATCACGACATTACTACTAAACTCATCGTCGAAATCCTATACAATGGTTAAAAGAAAAAACTTTTTTTCTTACTGGTTTTGAGGTGATCGTCAGGAAGCCCTGGATTTAGATTTCGCACGTGTTGGCAATCATTAACAAGATGGATTTGCAGCCTCAATGGAACTGATATCCCCTCTGAGATTCGTAGTCTCCAACAAACAAGAAATCTAGATCAAGAGCTTCTTGCTTAAAATTAACTAACATGCATCAGAGTTCATCATAATGATGAACTTCCTAGTTTAATGGTTACATTGCAAAATGTTCGATAAATCCTGCCAGCCCTCACAACTAGTTAACATGAATTCGGTTGCTCTCCAATGATTGATCAATGAAAAAAGACATTAAACATACTCCAGGTTGGTTAAAGCTATAACTATTATACAACTTCAATGCAACAAATCTGTTTGAAAAGAAACGATTATCAACCTCTTAGTTTTATTATATATGAGTAATATTCCAAAGTAGTAGCTACAGTTTTCTATTACTCCTGCTTTCTTTTAACTCAGTTTTCATATCTTTCACTATTATTATTATTATTATTATTAGTTGGTATACATCAAACACTTCAGATAATTTGTTTTTGAGATGAATGGGAATTTCTAATTTAGTAGTATTCATCATGGACTGACATAAGTTTGGGAACCATTGAAAATCTGGGTCACATGGCGAACCTGAAGGTCCTGAGTTCGATCCCTAGCCGAGTCGTGGGTGCGTACTGCTGAAAAGTCCCATACTAGGACGAAACATTAGATAATTGTTTATTCATATCTCCGTGAAAAAAAGAGTTTGATTGAAATTAACAATAATGACAACAAAGCTTTCAAAAAAGTACTACTCGTATCGTTATTTGCTTCAGTTTAAATTCAGGGGATGTTAAACTGGGATTTTAAAAAGATTGTCATTACTTAATCACTTTTATAAGTTCGTATTGATATTGCTGGTAACAATAGTAGCAAAGAAGAACTTTGCTATGAAATCCCTAATTGTCATTTTAAAAACAAACTTTTGACAGTTATGAAATAGATCTTAAAAATACAAGCTAATATATCATAACTAGTTTTCAGTTAGTCAGTGGTGAAGGTAGATCAAATCAATTCCGACAGTTGATTTGTTCAAAACATTCATATTTCAGCTAACAATTTGTACAGAGAATATTTAAAAGCTATAAGAATTATAATTATTATTATTAGTCCATTGGGTTCCTAGTGCAACAAAGGGCTTCAGTAGCACGCCTCCATTCCACTCTGTTCTCTGAGATCTTTTGAACCTGGTTCCACGACAGACCACAAGCTCTCATTTCCACCTCGCATGACCTCCTACATGTCACCCTCGGATGTCCAACTCGTCGCTTCCCATGGGGATTCCACTCGAGCAACTGGCCTGACGCGTGATGTCCTCAGTCGGCCTTCTCAGTGCATGGCCAATCCATCTCCACTTCTTCCTGCATATTTGTTGCATGATAGGTTGTTGGTTGGTTCGTTCCCAGAGTTCCTTGTTGCTTATTCTTTCTGGCAATCCATCTGATCTTCAGTAGCGAGCCAGAGTAAGTGGCAGTTGTTGATGAATGTCTGTAGTTTATTGGAAATGCTTTTCGTAACGCGCCAAGTCTCTCATCCACCACACAGAAGCACTGACTTGACGTTGGTGTTGAAAATCCGTATCTCGTTCACGCTGTATGCTGAGTGCAGAAGATCTCCACACTGGTTTCAGGCTAATGAACGCCTGTCTTGCTTTTCCGATTCTGACTTTGACGTCCTCGTCCGTCCCGCCTGTAGTTGAAACAGTGCTTCCTAGATAAGTGAAGGAGGTTACTTCCTTTAACTTTCTCCCGTTGACGGTGATTGGAGTTTGTTGTTGTTGTTGTTGATGGTGGTGGTGCGGTATCTTCATCACCTCTGTCTTCTCTATATTCACTTGAAGTCCTGTCTTAGCTGCCTCTTCTATCAACTTGTTAGTTTTTGCCTGCAGATCTTCAAGTTTATGTGACAAGACATCAGGCACAAGTCATCGCCGAAATCCAAGTCTTCTAGGTTCTTTTCCGCAGTCCAGCCATTGTATCCCTCTCTTCTCACAGCTCCCCACTGTTTGCTGCATGATCCAGTCGACCACAATCAGGAATATCATGGGGGATAGTAGGCAACCTTGTTTCACTCCTGTCTTCACTTCACTTCAAAAGCATCACTGAGCTTTCCGTTGTGAATTACTTGGCTGGCATGTGGCATCTTCATATAGTTGTTGAATGAGGCTGATAAAGGTTTGCGGTATTCCGTAGTAATGAAGCAGTTTCCAAATTACTTCTCGGTCGACGCTGTCAAAGGCCTTCTCAAAGTCGATAAAGTTGAGGTAGAGGGCTGATTACGATTCTATGCTCTGTTCTATGATGATGCGAAGCGTTGCAATTTGGTCTGCACATGATTTGTACTTCCTGAAGCCTGCCTGTTCCGGTCGCAGTTTTGAATCCAGTGCATCTTTAAGCCTCTCCAGGATGATGCGGCTTAATATTTTGCTTGCAATGGGTGGACAGGAGAGTGATTCCACGCCAGTTCTTGCAATCACTGAGGTCTTCTTTCTTCGGCAGTTTGACAAGGTAACCCTTCTTCCAATCAACGGACAGGTACCTTCTCTTCCTTCCACACCTCCTGCAATAGTGGTGTGAGCATGTCCGCTGTTATCTCTGCGTCTGTTCTCAGTGCTTCTGGCGGGATCCCATCTGGTCCTGCTGCTTTCCCACATTTCAGTAGCTTTATGGCGTTCACGACTTCCATTTTTGTTGGAGGATTTATGTTCACTTGTAATTCAGCGGCTGCAGGTGGTATTTCTGGACGAAGTGCAGGTGGTGGTCGATTCAACAGCTTGTTGAAGTGGTCAGCCCATTGTTTTCCTTGTTTCTCTTCTTTCGTAATTAAATTTCCATCATCATCTTTTATTGGCTTCATCTGCGTTGATCTCTTATCAATACTAACTGAGATTAGTATCTTCTGTTTTCATGGGAAATCAACGAGAAATTTCATACATTGAGTTTTAATTCACCAACCTATTTTAATCAAACTACTCATTCTCATTATGAATTGTGAACATAGTAAAAAACCTACTTTGATTAACTCATGACTATATAAGAAAAAAAAGGCTTATTATACAACAATTAAACACTTTAAAAAGTGGTTAGCAGAGTTGATAACAATCTGTCATATATTGTTTATGGTATTACCTTAGAAGGAGGAAGAAACTCCATAGAAATACAAAGATCATCAAGATCACATCCAAATATTTCATTTGTTAAACTATTAATATTATTTTCATATGAATTCATTAGTATTTTGTATTTAAGATAAAGAAATTGTACAATTTGTTTCATGAATTTAGCACGTTCTGGATAAATAAGGCAAAAATCATTCAGATTTAATATACCAGATATCCAATGCATTCTATTAGATTGTATATAATTAGAAAATTTAGAACATTGATAAAGTTGTTTATACTGAGGACTGAGAAGAAATGATACCAGATGATTAAATTCATGTGAATCATGAATATCCAATTTTTTATTATACTCAAGTAGGTTGAATGATTTTTCTATAGAGAAATAATTGTATAGAATATTTTGGAAGGCACCTTCAATATCTGATAGGATAGAGAAATTAACATTTTTATTCACAGAATGAATATTTCTATTTGAACTGTTAGTAGTATTTATATCAATTTCCAATTTTTCAGATTTCAATTTATGATCGTTACACTGTTGAACAATACTACCATAAGTTGAAAGAAGTTTTAAAAATGATGGAGAAAGAGGTAGATCAATACGGCGATTATCCTAGAGAAATAAAACAAACAATAAAGTGAACAGAGATTTTAAATTGTATGAAATAAATTAGACAAAATATAAATATGGTTACAAAAGAGTTAAAATGTAAAAAAGGATTACTTAATACACTGATGCCTTTGAAGTGAAGAGAGAAGTAAAACAACGCTGTCTACTATCACCCATGATATTCATGATTGTGGTCTAGTGGACTGAATCATGCAACAAACAGTGAAGAGCGAGAAGAGGGGGATACGGTGGCTGAACCGTGGAAAAGAACCTAGAAGATTTAGATTTCGCCGGTGATGACTTCTGTATAATGTCACACAAACTTGAACATATACACGCAAAAACTAACAAGTTGACACAACAGGTGAGGCAGCGAAGATATCACTTCAAGTGAATGTAGAGAAGACACAGGTGAGGAAGATACCCAACTAACGCCACCACCACCACCACCACCAACAACAACAACAACAACAGTAAGACAGGCCTTCACTAACCTGAAAACAGTGTGGACATCGACTGCACTCCACTCAGCATCAAGCATGAACAACATCCAGATTTTCAACACTAATATCAGTCAAGTCAGTGCTTCTATATACTTCAGAGACTTGACGGCGTGTTACGAAAGGCAGTTCCAACAAACTACAGACATTCATCAACAACTGCCACCTACACTGGCTCGTTACTGAAGATCAGATGGCCAGTATAGAATAATGAGAATAAGCAACAAGGAACTCTGGCTGCCTGCCTGGCTGGCTGGCAACGAACCAACCAACAACCTATCACTCAACAAATATGCAGTGGAGATGAATTGGATTGAGCATACACTGAGAAGGCCGACTGGGGACATGATGCACCAGTTCAGGAACTCGAGTGGAACCCAGATGGGAAGCGACGAGTTGGGTGTCCGAGGTGGCGGTGACATGGATGAGATCGTGTGAGTAGGAAATGAGAGCTTGTGGGCTGTCGTAGAACCAGGTTCAAAGGTTTGCAGAGAAGAGACTGCACTGGAGACGTGCTACCGAAGCCTTATGTCCCACTAGGAATCCAAGGGATAAATAATAATAAGAACATTAATAATAACAATTCAATCTATATACTCAAATTTGAAAGCAAGCATACAATAGGTAAGAGCTATTGTATGCACTGAACATTTCAGGTATCTGAAATAGCTTCTATCTACTAGGTTATGATCCGTACATAGTGTATGAGAGTAACTTACAGCCTATGGCGCTAAAACGTTACGAAATCGAAGTGGAAGTATGGTTTGCACCACGCAATGATTCGGTGCACAATTCACTGAGACACACCCTAGAATATAATATTACCTTATCACTGACTGATAAAATCAATGCAGAACCCTGTAGACAAATGCATCCGTTCAACTTGCCACACCTCACACTAGTATATAAAGAACAGGTGGCTAGAAAAAGACTGATCTTAAAGTAGACAAAGTTGTGTGAGAGAATAAACAATCGAAGATAACGGTTACTGCGAGTATTCAAGCTGTTAAAGATGTCAAGGAGTAAATAGATCTGTGCCATTGTAATCGATCTTCAGCCACATCACCAAGAGTCAGTTCTCGACTACTGATTCCTATCTTCTCAGGTACCTCAAACAGGCAATCTACATCTCCCCACAAGACTTAGAGCAACGTTAAGAGACTTCATCAACTGGCATCACATCTTGGTCTGGCCACTGAACCCTCTTCCAATTTAATTCAACTTCCCCTAGCATGGCACGTCAAGGTAGGCAGTGGTTCGGCATACGTAGTACATGTTCACGCTATCTCAGTCGACTCAAATCCACAATTTCATAAATCGACTTTTCCGTCTTGCTTAATACCCTTCGACTGACTACAACATTGCTCGTAGAGCGATTCCAACAAACGCGAGTAATGCTACAGAGGCGTCTGTGTTCACAAAACACCAGATGAATCGTTGATCAGTCAAACAATAGGCATAAAAATATTAAACTTGATCGATGATTACTCACTTTCACAGGAATATGAGACACACATGCCACTCTGTGTTTGTTATTATATCATCATCAATATCAACATAGGACCGGGCATTACTGCGTAACCCTCCGAGGTGCCACACCCCATATCACTACATCAAGTACAAAGGTAGTGAGGTGAAAGATGAAGATAAGAGAATCCAGTCAAAAGAAGAAATATAAAGTACGAGAAGAAAGAAAGGAAGAATAGTGAGATTCGGTATAGCGTCGTTAAGATGAGGATTATGTGTGTGTATACATCTGCGCCACTGACATCGGTTCTCAGTCATGTCATCTAGAGTCTCCAACCACTGGTTTCTCTTGTCCCGCCTACCCCAACCACCTAGTCTGCATCGCCCCATATGGCTTAAACCAACAGCCAGAGACTTCATACATTGGTGCCATGTTTTAGTCTGGCCACCTCGAGCCTTTTTCCAGCCTGGACCTACTTTGGCCAACATTGTGGGAAGGGGCAATCGGTGACTAGGCATACGTAGTACATGTCCCAACGATCTCAGCCAATGAAAGTTGATTGCCGTCTCAACTGATTTGCTTTTACTCCCTAAAACTCTATACCTGACTTTTGCATTATTATATCAGGAAAAAGCGACGTTACCACGAGAAAACGGATAGCAATAGAGCTTCAGATGAATAAAAGAAAACTTGACAGAACCTCTTAAAGAAGAATTAATTATCGTATGATTCAATAAATGCTCAATACCACCTATTTTGTAACTTCGACTTTTATCAGATAAAGAAATCAAATATTGCTCATCAACCAAGGTACAATGCACTTGAAAATACACCAAAAGTTAGTCAAGTTAGGATTACAAAAACTGTGACCAAAGAGACTAGTCAGTAACTGACCCTGTCTAAACTATAAGTTGTATAGTTTTATGCACGTGTATATATTCATTTTATACAGAAGAAATAAGTGAATCACGATTAGAATGATGTCAAGAACTGAAACAATAAGTTGTTTGACAATAAAATACGTTCGACAAAGCCATAACTTGAAGGAATCCAGAACTTGTAAGTTACAACAGTCATAAACAAAGTAATTATGAGTGGATTACGGATGGAAATTAAAAAGGCTCCATGAATAAGATATTCCAATAAGTGAATAAGTGAATGCTGACCGAACACCTAAAGCCTCCTTAAGTCATTTATCTTTAATGGCCATGTTTTGTAGCCACAAATTATAATAATAACAAACTATTATTATTTGTCCCTTGGGTTCCTAGTGCAACATTGGGCTTCAGCTGCACATCTCCATTTAACTCTGTTCTCCACAGTCTTTTGAACCTCGCTCCACGACTGCGAAGAAGCTTTCATTTCTTCTTCTCCGTGTCACCCTCGGATGCCCAACTTGTCGTTTCCACTTTGGGTTCCACTCGAGGACCTGGCCTGGAGTGTTATGTCGCCGAATGGTCTTCTCAGTGTATGCCCAATCCATCTCCCCCTCCTTCTGCATATTTGTTGGATGATGGGTTCTAGGTTGGTTCGTTGCCAACTAGTCAGAGTTCCTTATTGCTTATTCTTAGTATTCTGACCATCTGAGCTTCAGTATCTAGCGAGCGTAGGCAGCAGCTGTTGATGAGTGTCTGTAGTTTTTTGGAAATGTTTTTCGTGACGCGCCAAGTTTCTGAACCGTATAGAAGTGCTGACTTGACTGACGTTGGTGCTGGAAATCTGGATCTTGTTCACATTTTATACTGAGTGCAGAAGATCTCCACACTGATTTCAGACTAGTGAAAGCTTGTCCTGGTTTTCCGATCCTGGTTTTGACATCCTCGTCTGTGCCACCGCCTGTAGTTGAAACGATGCTGCCTAGGTATGTAGGTGAAAGAGACTACTTCCTTTGAGTTTCTCCTGTTGATGGTGATTGGTTGGGTATCATCCTCACCTCTGTCTTCTCTACGTTCACTTGAAGTCCCGTCTTCCTTCGCTGCTTCTCCTGTCAACTTGTTAGTCCTTGCCTGTAGATCTTTCTTGAAATGACTAACTATTGTAGAAAAATGTCTGTCGATTATCTTAAAAATGATACACCAACAAAAAACAAGAGGTTAATTCAAAGACTTTAAAAAAATGCACGTCCTCAGACGATTGCAAGCAATTCATAAAGTTGGTCTTTTGATTTATTGCAAGCAATTGGGCAGTAAAAACACAATGTAAAGATATAATGAATCATCTTACACTGACAAGTTTCCAATCAACCAGCTATTCATTCAAAGATTAGTCAGTCAACATCGCTTCAAGTATCCAAATGGTTTCATTCAGCTCTTACACGAGTGGTGCAGATCACAGCGAATCAAGACAAGAAGGTCTTGTAATTCGTTGATGTGAAATAATGAGAAATTCAAAACTAGGATGCCTAGTGTTCCACTGAAACTTCCACAGTTAATAATACGTTTTAAGAAAGTCTATTCTCAAATTTTGTTATTCCACTGGACAATAAGGAATGCAAAAACTTAAAAATCACAATTAAACTAACATTTAGAGTTCCAATACAACAAGTTCTGTCTTTCCAAACGGTAGTATAAAACTACATACCTGAAGACATTTAGCCACTGTGATTCCTAAGATGTAGAAACGATAAAGAACAGATTCAGGAACTCGATCTCCTGGCCAAGGAGCTGGAAACAATCCGTAAGGTGTGTTCACATATATACTTGCTTCATCTGTATCATCTATTTCGTTGTCAACAGAATTCTGATTTGTGAAACTTGAGTCAACATGTTCTTCCAAGGTTGCCGAACTCGACACTGTAGGTAGAGCAGAATGATGTTGACTCGTTTGTCTAGACATTGGAAAATCGTCTGTAACCCACATCAAACCATCACGTCGACGAAGTTCAGCGGCCAAAAGTGAATAAAATTCTAAAGTTGGACCCAAGCCAGTACCTTCCTCACCTATACATGATTAGAATTAACAATTGTAGAAAATGAATGTTGCATATATAACACAATTTTCAGAAACCAAGCCAAACACAACCACATAAACTGTAAAAATAAATTTTTTTTTAAACAGGAGGAAAAATAAGGCATCACAGAACCGATTAACCGAAGCCTAAACAGTACACCAATGTAGCTTCACCATGAAGGTCATGAGTCATATAGGAATGTAACAGAGAACAATACCTCTTGCTTGACTACATCTGATAACAAAGACTGAAAATAAACACTTAGAGAAGTAGAAACTGGTATTCGAGGAAGCTCTTGGTCTCACTTATGATTGATAGTGACGATTGTCTTTACTTATCGAGAGTAACTATAGCTTTCCCATAGTACTCAAATGTCTCGGCATAGAGACATGCCGGTGCATCAAAATAAAGAAGCTTTACATGTTTGATTAAGTGGTGTGGGTCTTTGAGCTGCTGGCTAGTAAAACCGAAGATAATATGTGTAACGGTGGTTACTAGTCCAGCCTAGTTACTCAACGACGAAGAGCCTCTTCATGGCCCCGATGGGTTTGAACCAAAACACTCATAGTTGACTTAGCAATAATAGCGATTGACGAGACCCATATGCGCTGATCAGTGTCGCAGGTCTCCAAAGCACCGACAAACCAGCCGACTTTCAGCATTCCGCCCAGTATGCTTAGAGCAGTACAGCCGAAAGGCAAGGGAATCTAGCTTCCTAATTCCGGCAGTCACTATTGTTGAAGCCGTCCCAAAACAGGTGGTGGTCACCCTTGTGAAGGTGAGCGGTTTTGGTCCGAAATTCCGGCTGTCGCCTCTCTGTAGCTTTGCACCATTCGAAGGTAGCCTGGGAGCACTCTTCGTATCTGAAATATTGATGAGAAGAGGATAATCTTCTGGGAAGAAGACCTGCATCACCTGTAAGATGGTGGAGACTCAGGATACGCACGTCTTCTCACAAGGTGAGAGCAATTCAAACGATCCGATTACCTTTCGAATGTAGATGCGTTGAAGCCCCGACTGTGGGTCGTTTGGATTCACTAATTAGTTTGCAGGAGCAGCAACAGAGTTTTCTGGTATGAGTATTCATTTTCATGTGGGTGCATTGCTATGAATGTTTCCCGCTCGGTGAGAGGACCGATCACCCAGGTTTTGAGGATAATGTCATATAAACAAACCAAGTTCAACCTGATGATCATTCCAGTTTTACCACTATTTACGAATTTTCGTCGTCAAAATTAGACAGGCTAGTTTGTCTTATCAACTGTGTAGTTGAAAATGGCAAAGATTGTAAAATATTGATGTGTAAATCTGACATGAGTCAACATTTAATCGAGAACCTTATGCACATCCATGCAGTACGCAATGTGCAAGACTTACTGTATGAGAGCTCATGATAATTACCATTCAAACCTTGGTGTGTGGGGTTGAAGATGAATTCAGACTCATGTAGAGTATACATTACACTAAATTAAAATATATATTCATCTCGTAGCTAAAGTTTGCTGGTAAGATGTGGCACTTCTAAGATATTCTGCTACGCATTGGGAATTCAAAATTTAATTTGGAGATTTGTGGGAATTTACTTATTCATTTTAGGTTGATATTTATCATGAACTGACTTCAGTTGTAGAAACATTGGAAACCTGGAAGTAGTGGACAACTATTTCGTCCTAATGTGCGACTCCCAAGGGGTCGAACCTAGGACGTCCAGGTTCCGTGTCTAGCGCGTTACCATTAAGCTACTGGGTTGGAACCAAATGGTCCATATTTCTTACTTCTATCAGTTCACAATATAGCGCGTTCTTCATCCAATATCGTCGTTGAGTAACTGTTGTCACGTTCGACTTGGTTGGTCCCACTGGTCACGATTTCTCACTAGAACTTCGGGGGTTGCCTTTTAAAGCAAGTCACGAATGAGCACTTAAGTAATTCCAGTTGGAAGCTTGTGGGGATTTATCTATTGATTTCCAATCGGTATTCATCATGGACTGACATCAGGTTACGAATGTTTCTTCAACTGATGTCAGTCCATGATGAATACCAACCTGGAATTAAAAATTTATGTCCCACTTTAACATGGACTAAGCAGTTTACCAATAAAAAAACAACAAGATAGTTTCATAATTCCTTTTCATATTACATCAGTTTACTTACGTGGCGTATACTGATAGTGTTATTCACTAAACCCTATTTCATGAGTAATTAATTACTCATAATCCTATCGAGGTAACCATAGAACTTCCTAATCTGGCTTAAGCAGTCCTATTACTGACTGATTCCCGTGAATGACACAGGAAATTCACATATATTGCCTAAGCATGACGTTGATTCGATGAGTATATTCTTCCCTCATCTAATTTTATTAGTTATCAGTGCTATTATTTTGTGGATTTTTATCGTGTGATTGTGTGTTAGTCGAGGAAGAGTAATGGTCGAATCCCCTTGCAGATTACTTGTCTTTTTTCGGTATTTTTCTATTTTTCATCATGGCGCTTCCCACCTTGAGGTGCAGATATGAGGTGTGGAAAAATGAACCGTTACGTTGTTATGCCAACTCCCACATCGATGTTGACTGACTTACTTGTCTTGATAGAGTAAACCATTCTGTATTCAGTATTCAGTGTACTAGACTGTTCATTGAATGTGACTGCTTTCTATGAACACAGGATGGTTGGCGATGGTCAAAACGGACTTGACTGTTAAACGTGTACGGCTGGTCGACATTCACCAGTTCCTTTTATTGCAACACTTCACTTCTCCTTTCTGAGAAACTTGGATACCAAAAAGGATTACTTTCTAGTGATCGGAGAGCTTAGTTATAATCTTCGTTATACCGGTCACATACAATTTTACTGGGACTGCTGGTATTTGTAAAGTTGAATTTATTTTGAAGTGAGACTTTAAGCTATTAAAACAAGGAAACGTGTACACTTGCCAAAGTTGACCACTTCTAAACTATACTTCTCAGAGTAGGGACCAGTGATCAGTGTACCTAGTATATATTGGTGGCTGAATAAGATATACAAGCTGGAACACCATGTCACATCTATGGTTGTCAGTTTGAACTGACAGTATGTTGTGGTCGAGTGATGGTATAATGATACTGAGACTCAGTAGACACCTCAATTGAATGTCTTTACAACTGACTTCCCTCAGTACCTTCTGCTTCACACAGCCACGTAAAATCAGAAGAAAAAGACGGACTGTGACTGCAAGAACATCGATGGCTTTTATTAGGCAAATACATGACATATATGTATTTACAAAACTCTCAGAAAGTGAAGCCATAAATGAACCAATTCGATTTCTTGTATGAGGTCGAACTTCTCCAATCAAGTTCTCATGTCAGCGCATGCATAAATCACGACCTCAAAATGATCTGATCGCAACTTGAAAACAACTCTCCTATTGGGTGCCTTTTGTCGCTACGTATCACAGTATCATCTGACAACTAACGCACAAACTGTTTTTTTATGAAGTCGAACGCTAAATGGTGCTTAGGTAGCCGTCTATACGACTTGCCAACTTTCGATTCCTATACTCTGAACTCACAAAAGGAAGAGATTTAATGACAAAAATTCCATGTTTCCTTCAAAGTCACCTTATTAAAATAAAACAAAACCAGTAAAAATGACTCTAAGCAAAAATGACAAAGAAGAGAGAATAATAATACTAATAATGATATACAATTAGTAGAAAAATGCTAGGGAACTCAGCCAAGAAAAATGTCACGGTATATGGGTAATTAGGTGAAGAAATAGCGGCATCTGCCCTAATTAAATCAGTTTCATTCATATGACTAGAAATCACTATTCTTTGGCTTTAAATGTCTCATAGTAAATCAACCAATGAGCTTCTGCTTGTTCATATGACTCAGATAATCCAATAGCAAGCAAATTCATGATTTGATATCATTTTGTGGGATAAGCATAGGTTTCTTCTAACTAAGTACTACACCACAGGAAGAGTACTGGACTGAGGTAGATTAAGATTGGATTTGTGCAATATATGACCCGGACATATTAGCAGTACATAAAATTATTACCAACAAACAAGTTCACTTCGAACAATCTGATCCCCTACATATGGACTTGTCGAATTATTTATGTGAAAATTTACAAAAAAGGTCAATAAAGTTAATAGGAAACATTGGAGGGAATAGGAAGGGATAGAAAGAAAAAAAAACCTTACTCTTAGTATGAAAATTAAAATCAATACTACCAAGGTAGGTTCAACATGAGTACGAATTGTTTTTGTATACATAAAGGGGGTTTAAATCTATGGATGGTAAGAGCTTCAGTAAATTTAAGCACTCGGTTCTAACCACTTTTATGTATTACTTTAAAGGTTGTTTTCATGTTTTACTGAAGCTCTTGCCATCCATAAATTTAAATCCCATGCTTTATGTATACAAAACAATTCGTACTCACGTTGAACCTACCTTGGTAGTATTGATTTTAATTTTCATACTAAGAGTAGGGTTTTTCTCTATCCCTTCCTTTTCCTATGTTTCCTATTAACTTTATTGACATTTTTCATAAATTTTCACATAAATCGTTCGACAAGGCGATGTGTGGGGGATCAGATTGTTCGAAATGTATAGCGGTAATACATCATCACATGTTTCAGATAATCTTCGTCTTCTCATTATGCTGTTTAAATTTATCAAAGAGACCAGTTACTTTAAACAAGTTCACGCTTATTATCTAAAGATTAAGAAAGTAGTCTTAGATTATTTCTTAATGAGTACAAATAGTATATTTATATACCAGTAATGCTACTTACCGATAAATTGAATCTCCAATTCAGATTTACGAGATGCATGCTCTTCCATAAGTCTTGAAGCCCAATGCCAAAATGTTAATTTATTCAATTGATAGTAATTAGGTGATAATTTTATACACTTACTAGTATATTGTGTTAATAATTCATATGGTAAACGTGGAATGCGTACAAATTCTTTAAGTAATCGACCAATTTGTGATGTTAACTTATCATCAGAACTAAATCCACTAATAAAACCTCCATTATTACCATTATTCGGTGTAGTAGTTGCAGTTGTCATATTTGTATTCAAATGTTGACCATTATGATTTGAGTTAATTAATAGACAATTAATTAAATCATTTGTATTACTATCTTGTAGATAATCATCACAATTTAATAAAGAACCAGTATTAGATGGTAATGAAATGCCTAAACTTGTTAGAATAGATTCTAATGATGATATATGATCAGAATTTATGTCAATATTATCATTTTGAGCATTATTATTAGTTAATCCATTAACACTAGATACACTTAATAAATGAGTCAATATTGATGGACGTAATAATACAAAATCTCCATTAGGATTAGTAGATAAATTATTGCGATCATGTACATTACTGCTATTACTATTAGTGATAGTGTTATTTAACAGAGCAGAAATTAAAGATGTATTACTTGATGGTAAAAATAGTCGATAAGATGAACGTCCAGTTGTACTATTTGCACTACCAGCACGACTATAAACATCTGAATTTGTTCCATAGGTACGTTTTTGTAAGGGACGATTTTGAAGCCAAATAGCAGCTCTGTAAATAATAAAGTACAAAAATAAAAACAAATTTTGAATTTTAAAGCGAAATTTCATTATGGAAACCACGATCAAATTTACTGACTGGGGTAAAAAAAAAAACTCTCAAGAAACAAAAATCTAAAGATAAAAACCATAACGGATAACCATTAAATTTTTTAATGATTACTTTTGAATATTTAGAAAAAGACTGATTGAGTGAAGAAATATATCCCTTTTCAATTAGGTCTTCATCTTGGGCTCCACACTAATATATGTGGGTTTACAATATAGTCAAATTACCAATCACCTTGTGATGTTTCGGAAATTATCATGTAAATAATCAATAGAGTTACTAAAATTGGAAATATGAATATTGATAGAAACAAGGAGAAGGGGAAGAGGTGTACAAAGTAAACCTACAAGTTACATCATGTTGATAGCCACGGTAATGAAAGTGGTCAAACAAACTTCTTTTGGATACAAAGGTTAGGTTTGTAAAGGTGGATTACAATCGCCTCTGCTATGTGAAGTAAGCGCGAGTGTGTAATACATGAGGTAAATTAATTGGGATCTGATGGATGATTTTGAAGACATTTCCAGTAACCACTTGATGTCCTGTATCAACTAAGTGTGCAAGTATGGAGCTCTTTATAGTTCTAATTTGTCCCTTGTTCAACCATGATGGATGGTGCTCAGAAATTCGACGATGGAATTGCCTCATTGTACGCCCAATATAACTCGCTCCACAGGAGCAGTTGAACTGATAAATGCATATAGAAGTGGCAGAATCTAAATGGGAATATTCAATGTTTTGAATATTTAACTTTATGATTCGCAGAAGACATAAAACCCAACAACTCCACGAAAGTCTGTCTACTAGGCTGTAAACTCCATCTGAAGTGTGAGTGATTATAATATTGTAACTTAGTCCAGGGCAAATTATATGAAACAAGTTTAGATAATTCACCTAGTGATTAGTAATCTAACGCTTCAACTACTCAAAAATTGTTCTATAACTAAAACACCTGAGTTATGAAATTTACAAATCTAGAAACCAACCTTAAAAGATCCTGAAACGATGAATTGTTTATAAAACTCAAACAATAACAACATCAAACTATTTCAAGGTCATCTTCTCTAATGTCAAAATATTGTCAAACAGACCTTTGACGAACACCTTCACAAAAACAAATTTTATTTTGAAAATTTCAGTTGGTATTCGTTAGAGAATCTTGGTGATATGACTGAAAATTAGTCACAATGGTGCATTTGTTCACTCTTTGGCATCTTCATTCTTCAAACTCTTTCTCCTTCTATACACTTTTGTCTACTCTGATAAAACTCTGTTTCTTTACACTTGTTCCTTACATTTTGATGCGGAGTGTAGTAATTTGAGCCGATCCACTTTTATGTGATCTAAGCAGATCGCAGCTGTCTAGTAACAGAGTATATTTATCTAAGAATTCTTAGTTACAATACTAGAATAAAAGTACTAAAGTTCTGGTAAGATTATCACAAGAGTGCTTCACAGTCAATAATTATCAGTCCAAAAACAACCCTCAATCTTAGTTAAACGGCAACTCTTTAACACTTCAAAAGCTAATAAAATGCTGTAGATAAATTTTACCTACTTATTACTACAGCTAAGTAGTATGAAATTAGAACGTGAAGAAAAGCATAGTTTAACGATATTAAAAGGATGGAAATTACAACTAACCTCGCTGGACCAAAAGCACAAGCAGAGAACAATTGAGAACGTGCATCATATGAGAAAATAACACTAAATCGTTGACTAAGACTTAAACACCAATTCGGTAGAGCACCTGAAGCTAATGCCAATGGATCATTAATTTGTCGTAATAATTTATTAGTTAGACGATTCGATACAAAATCTTGAATTCTTATTTCTATGGATTCATTTTCATCACTAGAACTGTTATCGTTAGTACTGTTGAATGATTTTATAGTGAAGGGATTATTCGCAGTGAATTCATTCATTTCTTTCAAACCAGATAACTGATATAATAGCTTGATAAGCTGTAAAATATCTTCAGGTTCACTAGGTGGATAAGGACGATTCATTTCATAGTCAAAGAATGTATATTTCAATTCATCAATTTCATTATTCATATCACTATCCTTATCGGTATTATCACCAATAACAGGTATATTAATACCAGATGAGATAAACTTTATCGATCGGTCAAGAGATGGAGTAAATCGCAAATCATGTTTGTTTAGTAGTGCATGTCCATAAACTGTTCGAATAGTTGGCTATAGTAAACAAAAACAAAAAAGTGGAGAATAGATCTTAATACGAAAATAAACCAAACATTTTTTTTCACCACAGAGTGGTTCATATCAATAAAATGTGCCTTACTGAGACTATATTCAGCAGTTTCATTGACATGGAAAAAAAAACAGTTGCCACCTAACGGTTTATTATGCTACCTCTTTAATTTCAAAGTGTATTTAAGATATACCAACTTTGTTGCACTCATAAACAAGTAGGTCATTAGTATTGGGGTAGTTTAAAATTTTCTGAGTTGAACCACTCTGGTTCGGAAAAAAATGACTGTAATAATGGTTTGATCACTCCTGACCTGATGACTAGCAACTCCATTCAGTTAACAATATTATTGATTTACAACTAATTGAATCAATTGACAGTGTATATCGTATAGTCATTATTCTTCAGTGAAGAAAGATTTTTTTTTCGACAATATCATTTTCCAAAGCTGTACAATTGTATATATATATATATATCATAAACATATACAGGCCGCATAAAGCGCACGCTTTCCAAACGTGGTTGTCATGGGGAGAATGTAAATTAATTAACAGTTGAATTCTTGAACATTTGGTCAACTCTGGACATAAAGCTAGACCAAAATCCTCCTTCAATGACATTTATAGTGTCAGATGGAATAGTTCAAAAGGAGTACGACTTCAACAGTTGTGCACAGCGGAGGCAATGGTAATTCATCAATTCAAGCCTGATCTCTGCGTGCAAAGCAAGTATATGTTCAATCTCTCATCTTACCATGGTCTTAACACTTTCACTTTTTTTCCATTTTATTATAATTAATTAGTTTACTGTTATTATCACATTCATTATGACCCTTGTCTCATTCTTCACCTTCTTTACATCCATCTATCTATCAAGTGGACACTCAATATTTGCGTTTTTTATCTACCAACAATTTTCACCTTGTCAAACTACTTGCCTTCTTCGATATTTCTACTGTCTTAGTTTATTACTCAACTACTTTGCATTCTTGATTCCGGTTTTTTTAGCACTAGGTTAATGATGTAGCCTATTATACCCTATTGTTTTTATAATAGACTGTTATATGTTTATGATATATACATGAATATGATTGTAAAGCTTTAGAAAATGGTATCGTCGAAAAAGAAAATTTTCTTCGCTGAATTATCTCTTCTCTATGACTCAATGGGCATGTTTCGTAGTCCTTATTCTTCTCAAGAAGGAATTTTATGTAGAAATCTAAAATCTAAAACCACCTCCATTCTATTCCATGATTTCTTTTAAGAAAAGTATGTAGATAACATTGTGATTAAAGATTATTGTCATCTCGTTTACAAGATGTCTGCGCTATCAGCATCACTGTTTAATTTCTTCATAGATGTATTGATCGGCATAACCTTAGATAGGTCCGATTTCACAGGGATTGACCTACTCACTGGAGAACATCTAGTTGACTTGGAGTATGCAAACGATATTGCTTTCCTATGTGAGGATGCTGAAAAAAATGCAGTTTCCTAACCACGTTGAGCATAAATCTGAGTATGTTTGGCATGCATTTCGCATCTGTGAAATGTAGGATGATGCCACAAGTATAGTCTGCGACTACCTGTTGTTTACGGATACGGATTTGAGTGATGGGATGCGTCGATTACATGTATCTTCGTAGCATTACTCGCATATGGTGGAACCAACATGTTGGTAATGCAGAGGGTAGGCGAAAGACTGGGCAAAATAGGAAAATTAGACAGTGAGATCACGAAACCTCGGGGAATGATATGGCTTGGATATAAACTGCACATGCGGAGATGCAGACTACTACAAGTATAGATTCAAATGGAACAACTACCGAATACTTGAACGTGCAAACTAGACACCGATCATAGCTATTTTGGAGGCATGACACTTAAGCGAATTAGTAATGAATCACCACGTCCACCTAGAAGCGAAATATGACCCCATTCAGAGCAAATCAAATGACCTCATTGCAAAGAAACTGTCAATGTACTCAAGGAGGAGGTCAATCAATTAGATAAGGATAGTTCAAGTTTACCCACACTTAACCAGTCCAAATAAAAAGATATGTTCCCTGTATAGACCAATCATTTGGCAATGGAGAAGAACACCTGATCAACAGGAATAATTTATAGAATTAATGTCAAGCATCTCTTTTCAGAATGAGACAACCGTCAACACACTTCAATCAAATAAAAAGGGCCAACCAACCACACAAAAAAACGATTTCAGCATAGTGTTTGCAGGTCAAGGAAGTCAACCAGTGATAAGGTTTCAGGTACCCCAAGGAAATATGGAGGTTCAACAATCAACAATTGGATTCAACAGACTCTCATATATATATATATATATATATATATATATATATATATATATATATATATATATATATATACAACTGCCAGTCATGTTAGAATAAAGCAAAATGGCACGTTACAAAATATCTATATACATCCAATTACTTCACCTCTTCATGAAACTTAGATACACTGATGATGACGCCTAGCATTACACTGAGACTTTCGCCGAAAAAAAAACCCAGATCAGAGAAGAACTCAATTTGAAAACAATATACTCTGCCAATGTATGCAAACCACAGGTAATAGTAGTGATTACTACTCTGCGTTCCTTCTACAAAAATATTGTTCCAATAGGATAAACAAAGGCATTAACATTCATTCATTTCATCTATCAATTGGCAACACACAAGACGATGAAAACACAAATACTCGAAGGTTTACAAATAAAACTTACAGTATTTTCACCAGTAGCAGTAGTGCAAGCGGCACCAGTTAACATAGGTGAACAGTTTCCATCATTATCATTCATATAATTATCATGTTCGTCCCAAAATCGATAGCCTAATTTGATGACATAATTATTCTTAGCCTTCTCTTCGCCATCCATTGACTTCGACAGACGATATTTGCTGGTATCATCAAGCATTTCAAACTTCTCTGACAATTCCTATGAGGTTTTTAAAAAGTTTGAGAAAAATGAAAATGGAATTATGCAACTAGATGGATAATTTATTCAGCAACGACAAACTAAAAGTAAGACAAAGCTTTTAATAAGCCTTTCCTCTATATTGTGTGCATATCCCTACATTTGATTCAGCATGAATAACGAATACCGGTGTCCATATGGCATACTTGTTGGGATCGGAGCATGGGATGGAATCACCAGACAAACTTCAATGACATTATATATATATATATATATATATATATATATATATATATATATATATATATATATATATATATTAAAAGTACAATAAACAAAAATTATGACACCAAGGTGAAAAAACTTAGCAGCATAAGGAAATTTACTAGAAAAGTTATATCAAAAAAAATGAAATGTAAGGTGAGTTTTATGTACTCCCTATTTTTCCGTCCCACTTATATTCACCACTAATACTAGAAAATGTTCCACTTCAGTATACACTCATTCATATGTGCAAAAAAAGAAGTTGAACGCGAAAACTAACTAAGTTTCCTTTACTATCTTTCATTGGTTTCGTCTGCGTTGATCTCATCTCTTCTAGATTGTAACCTGGTTATTTGATACAATGTTGTCAGGTCTCTCCTACCAGCACAGTCTGTTCTGCTTCACTTGCAAGGGTGTCGCAGAAGTGTCTTTTGTCTTCGCGCCCACTCTTCTTCAGTTCTCTGTCCAGTGTAGTGTTTTATACGTAGCACTCAGTTCTTCTTCTCGTTCATCCTTGCACTGGTTTATCTTCTGTTTCACCAACTTCCTCTCCCTGTTCTATCGGTTTCCATATATCCATCGAAATCCATTCCTTATTTTCTTTCTTCTTCCTTCCTAATACAGTTATGCAGGTTTCTTTCCACATAGCTTTCAAAGAGTGTTCCTCCATGCACGCTTCTTTAGGGATGATGCTTAATGTCTTCCATCTTTTGCTGATAGCTGACGTGAAGGTGTCCATTGTCGTTTCGTCCTTCAATTCAGTTTTCGTTCTGCGTGTTGAACTTGAACTGTGGTCTATCACTAAATTCCTTAAAGGCTTTCAACTTGACTTTGAAGGTAGACTGCTTGAACTAGGTAGTGAGTGGTGTGAACCTACATCTGTTCCCGTTGTTGATCTTGTTTCAAGTAGGCTACGTCTCCACTTTCTCCAAATTGAGATGAAGTCGATCTGCTTTTTAATCTGTCCATCTGGTGAAGTCCATGTCGCTTTGTGGATATCCTTGTGCTTGAACACAGTGCATGACTCCAATCACCAAAACATTAAATGCGCAGAAGTTCGCAAACAATTCTTCATTCTCACTCATTTCACCGGGTTCTTCTCAAAACATGATGAGTTCCCTTCCTATGTTGTTCGCTCCCAGTTTGACATTCATGTCGCCCATTAGAATTAATTCTGACGTCGCCAACTGGAGTTTTGTCTAACACTGATTGCAGTTGTTGATAGAATTCCTTCTTCTCTTGACCTGCATTATTTGTAGGTGCGTAGCGTAGCACTGTATGATTGTAACTTTCCTTCCTTTTGAGTTGAATCTTGCTGACACCATCCCTACAGGAGAAGATTGGTTCCCACTGCATGAGGGCCTTCGATGCTCTTGGATACATCATGATAACCACTCGAAAACTCCGCGTGCTCGTGGTTGTCGTCTCGGTGACAATATCGGAGTAGATTATTCATTCTCCAGTTGACAGTTTGGACAGTCCACTCCCATTCCATCTGCTTTCGCAAATTCTAAGCACTTCAATGTGATACCTTCTCATCTCGTTTGCAATCTGGGCTGCCTTGCTAGATTCAAACATCGTGCGGACATTCCATGTCCCCACGTTTACTTTCGCTTACATCGAGGGAGAGAAAACACATCGGCCGGGTCAATTGGCTTCCCGAAGGCTTTCACCAATCGGCGTCATTTCGCCTCTACGATTCCAGAGAGGAATAATTTTGTTTTTATTTTTTATATTTTGTTTGTGCTGTGAAGTTTCTGTAGCAGTTAGATTTGTTTCACCGAGTAGGGTTGCTAGCCCTATACTCAACCTTCCCTCTTTACCCGGGCTTAGGACCGGCTAGTAACTAGTGAACTAGTTAGCCAGGCGAGGTTTGTTTGGCTTGGTTTCTGAAAATTGTGTTATATATGCAACATTCATTTTCTACAATTGTTAATTCTAATCATGTATAGGTGAGGAAGGTACTGGCTTGGGTCCAACTTTAGAATTCTATTCACTTTTGGCCGCTGAACTTCGTCGACGTGATGGTTTGATGTGGGTTACAGACGATTTTCCAATGTCTAGACAAACGAGTCAACATCATTCTGCTCTACCTACAGTGTCGAGTTCGGCAACCTTGGAAGAACATGTTGACTCAAGTTTCACAAATCAGAATTCTGTTGACAACGAAATAGATGATACAGATGAAGCAAGTATATATGTGAACACACCTTACGGATTGTTTCCAGCTCCTTGGCCAGGAGATCGAGTTCCTGAATCTGTTCTTTATCGTTTCTACATCTTAGGAATCACAGTGGCTAAATGTCTTCAGGTATGTAGTTTTATACTATTGTTTCGAAAGACAGAACTTGTTGTATCGGAACTTTAAATGTTATTTCAATTGTAAGATAGTCTTCGACGCTCGTTGGGACATCATGATAGCCACTTGGAAACTCAGTGTGCTCGTGGTTGTTGTGTCGTCTGGGTGACAATATTGGAGCAGACTACTGACTCTCTAGTTGACAGTTTGGAGAGTCCACTTCCTAGCCTGGCACTTCTATGCCATACCTTCTTATCTCTTTTCCAATCCAGGCAGCCTTGCCAGCTAGCTTCAAACATTGTTTGGATATTCCATGTCTCCACCCTTACTTTCGCTTTCATTGAGAGAAGAGAAGACACATCGGCCAATTGGCTTACCGAGGGTTTTCACCAACTGGCGCCATTTCACCTCTCCGATTTCAGCCAGGAATAAGTTTATTTTTATTTTTTACATTGTCTTTGTGCTCTGAAGTTTCTTCAGCGATTAGATTGGTTTTCCAGGGTAGGGTTGCTAGTCGTATTGCCCAACTTTCCCTCTTTATCCGAGCTTAGGACTGGCTAGTAACTAGTGAACTAGTAAACTAGGCGAGGTTCTGTGATGTAATATTATCATTATTGTTAACATTATTCATATGTAGTTATAATTTCGTCTAAAAATATTGTACAGGGAGTTAACCTGCTGAAATATAACATGCTGAAAATTTTATACTGTATTACATATGTTGTTAGCAATAAAGCGATTATGATTATTACTTTCAGCATTGATTATCTTTTTAATTATATGCATTATAATTAAGCTATAGGTGACTTTCACGGGGATGAAGTATTTCTAAGCGTATAACGACAAAAATGACTCAACCTCACTGAATTATTGTAGTCTGTCTATCTTTGAAACACTAATGAAAAAAATAGACATTCTCCGCTAGATGTGATGAATAGCAACAAGAAATGAGGAGTTTTGGTACATGACTTTCTAACCTGAATACAGCACCATTTCGCTTGGTTTCATGCTCACATTCAATCAATTTACCTAGAGATATTAATTAATGCCGAGAAAGAAAGCAAGTAACCGAAAACTCATACCCTCCATTGATTGCAGATAGCTTGCTTGACAGTTTAAAATCCTATCACCGTCGGAAATGAAAGAGTATAACTGATAGGCAGATAGATGAAATCAACACAGAGCCTCGCATACAAGTGCAGAGGTTCAACTTACTACACGTCACTCAAGTTTACAGAGAACAGGTGGTTAGAAAAAGAGCAATATCAAGGAAGATAAAGTTGTGCGAGAGAATAACCAATTTGAAGATAACGGTTAGTGCGGATATTTAAGCTGTAGAAGACGTTAAAGAATGAATACATTTGCACCACTGTGATCAATTTTCAGCCGTATCATCGAGTTCTGAACCACTGATTCCTATCGTCTCACGGACCCAATTTAGTCAGTCTACATCACTCCACATGGCTCAGACCAACAACTAAGGACTTCATGGACTGGTGCCACTTTGAACCTTCTCCCAACCTAATCTAACTTCTCATAGTATTACACGTCGAGAAGGGTGGTGGCTCGACATGCACAGTATATATCTATGCCATCTCATTCAATAAAGGTTCACAACCTCATTAATCGGCTTGCCATAAGACTTGAATTTCCCCTATTCAAATAAGCCTTTCAGATTTTACTTGAATACCAAATAAAGTGTAAATAAACTTACCTGAATGTATTTGAACACAGTAACATTCTTATCACGTAATGGTATTTGAATTACATATTCAGAATTCATATAAATTCCAAGGAACAGAGACAAGCGTGAGTATGAATCTTTATAAGGAAAAGACAAAACGAAAATTCAACATCAAAAAGAGGATAATTCGATGATAAAGATATTGAAGTATGCATAACTGACCATGACAGAGCAATTCAATGTATTTAAGTATTACAGGTCAAAAAGGCACATCACAACCCTTGGAAGGGATCGTAGAGCATCATTGTCTTAATCATTTGACTGTCAAATAATGGGTTTTATATTAAGAACTTCACTCCAATTATTTCTATTTGCGCCAGCGTGTTGTATTGCACAATCAGCGTTGCTTATAAACCAATAAATATATAAACATCTAGACTAGATTGAGTTGAATTATTTATTACTTCTGTATAGAATAAGATGAGACTGTAGTGTAACACTTCGAAGATTCTAACGAATACCCTTGATAAGTCAGTCTTTTTTATTCAAAGACTATATGCCACAGTCACTCTCAATCCATTTTTATTTCAAACAATAATAACACACATACACATATTGGCATACACAATTAAACAACCGTTGAGATACAATAATTATTGGGGGGAAAAATTGGTATATTACGTTAAATTCTAATTTTAAACGATAGCACCAAGTGGACTGTTAATTTAGTAGAACAATCATTAGTGATAAAAGCTTCTAAACAATAAAACTACAGTATGAGCTCACCTTCAACCTTTGATGTGCATACAGGTTCGTTTGAAGGAGGCTGACATAGTACATAGGCCGTAGTTCCTGGTGCATTAGTTGACCCCGGATTAGGAATGAAGGCAGGAATTAGACCTAATGGCAGACGAAGAGAATCAGTCGCTTCATTCCATGACAAAGTGACAGCAGGGTTACCAGTGCACGGTGAATTTGAGTGACTAGCAGGAGTACCTCGAGATTCAGGAGAAACTATCGGAAGTGGTCGAGGTCGTCGAATACGACGACGAAATTGATGTGTAGACGATTTCCATGAAGATGGTGACGTCGGCAATTCTGAAACGTCCAATGGTATGTTTACGGTAACTGAAGAAACTTCATTGTTTTGTTTAGATGAGTTAATTTGTTTTCCTGACTTCTGATTATCGTCAACAGAATTACTAGAGAATTTACTGTTACTGGGTACCTACAACAAAAGATTGTTTCAACAAAATCAAAAACTATCAATAGGCATCTGAGTAATGAGAATGAATGGATCAATATCTTTTGGAATGAAGAGGAACATGAAACATTCAGAGAGTCTAAGTTCGTCTAAAAGTAGCTATACAGCATAATCTAATGGGTATACTGTAGAACTTTAAATATAGACTTGAGAAGTAAGTAGTGAACACATAATATTACAGTAGTAGCTCATAGAATACGGGAAAAAAACCAGAGCCAGTCCCGTCGTTTTACAAACCTCAACATAAATAATACACAAAAGCCTAAAAGGAATGAATAGATAGTGATAGAAGTGAAATAAAAATCTGGTCAGCAGTCCAGTATCGTAGCTCAGTTGGTAGAGCACCGGGCCAGAAACCCAGTGGTCACTAGTTTGAATCCTGCCACGGCCTAAATGTCCATTTCATCTTCAATTGTCGCCGTGTATGAATAGACAGTGAACAAACATTTACAGCCTAATCAGTTAACAAAATTCAATTCGGTTTGTGAAAATTTACTTATTCATTTCAAGTTGATATTTATTATGGAGGAACATTAGGAACCTGGGAGTCATTGGACAACCGCTTCGTCCTAGCACAAGACTCTTCAGCAATGCGCACTCATGACCCCACCACAGATCGAAACCAGGACCTGCAGATTCCGTGACTAGAGGGTCATGAGTGCGCACTGCTGAAGAGTCCCATATTAAAATGAAACCAACTAATGTCACTCCATGATAAATACCAACCTGAAGTTACCAAAAATGTCATAAAAAGTAACAAACTAAACAAAGAATATTCTTTTCAATAAATTCTCATCAGATCTTATTATATTTTCAGATTATGATTCTCATTTTAATCGATTGATTCCGTTGATAGTTTCCAATCCGACAGTATAACAGGATAGTGGAAAAGAAAACTTCTTTTCAGGCGCATATGTATCCTCGAAACATGAAGTACGGAGAATTTTTCATTAGGTCAACAACAATAAAAAAAATAGCAACCATACTTCTCAATTGTTCAGTGAACGACTCTCCAACAAAACATCAGGATATTAGGGGGTAAAAAAAATTTTGTGTAATCAGTATGAGTTATATGATCATTCATTGCTTGAATGTAAGCATCCAGAGTCATATTATTTTCGCAGATAAACAGTATCAGACTATTCGTATATTTTTATGTATACAATAATTGAAAACTCTGTCAAGATGAAATCATGCACACAAGATATGTGTAAGCGACCAGTACAAGTTTTATTCATCTTGATGACCAGTAGGGGAATCCAAGAAGTGCGTTTCGTCCTATCTGGGACTCCTCAGCTGGGTATACCTGTACTCCAATGAACGTTGTTCCTACCGGGACTCGGACCTACCATTCATCGATTCAAACATCTAAGCATTATCCGCTAAGACATGTTCACAATAGACACCTCTTGTGCGGCGGATATCATTTATTGTTGGATCCTGTATAGCAACGGAATTTAGAAGTATCAAACAATGACTAACACAAGTATTCAAATGGTCAATCAGAAGTACAGGTGACAGCAGTTCAACGTAGTTCAATAGCTGTTTCATCGACTGCGGACACAATTCCTTTTTAATTCCATAACTTTCCAAGTGTGAAACTAGTAGGTAAGGATTCTAGAATAATCAGATAATATGACATTCCAAATAGAGCTTATACTGTCCAAAGCTGTAATCGATGGTAGATCACTACAAGCAGGTGTAGACTTTGAAAATGATGAAAGTGATTACTGCTTAACAGGACAGAGTTGATCTGGTACAGAATCGTCTCTATGTAAATTATTATCTTGTATTTTGACTCATGAAAAAGATATCGTTTTTACTACTTACAGGCTGAATATTTCTCCATGGTTTGTTGACATCCAAAACGTGTTGATTGTCATCATCATCATTATTTTGTCTATTCTGAACATTATTACTACAGATAATAGCTTCCACTGTATCGGCAAACTCTAATGCTTCTGGCTCAATTGAGGTGAGTAGATAGTCTAGTCCAGGCTGCTGATGAAGAAAAAAACAAGAGGAAAACATCAGTACTTAGAAATGAACATCAAAACGTCAATTGGTTACTGTGACAGGAATTTTGAACAATCTGTATAGTGTAGTGATCACCGATCAGTTTACATAGTCGAAGTCCAGTCACTTGAACGCAGGTTCAAAGCTCACTTTCACCTAACATGATTCAATGAGGTAGGTAGTAATCTTAGTAAACTGCAGACGACGCAACAACAGGCATACGAGTTAGTCTGGCGTACAAACCTCAACATGCTTCCCATACAAATAATTTTATGACGGACGAATACAATTTACCATTGTCCCTTGACCAACGGTTTACAATTGGTTTACTACAACTCATAAGTAGTTTACAACTAGTTAATACAAAAAGTTGACATCTAAGTGCCAGGCTATGAGTCACATCTATTTGTGAGAGGATTTATGATACTCTCCGTCAGTTAGGCTTCAGTGAGTGGAGTTGGACTTGAAAGCAACCGAAAGCAACGATCTCACGAATTATTGCTGCGTTTTTCACAGTTTCATCGCTACGAACTTAGTGTACTTATGCATGACAGATACTCGTTAGATGCATGCTAAAGTGTGATAATCTCATTATTGAGTAGTAATCATAATAATAGGATAACCTAGCAACTGCATATAGAATTTTATAGTTGGCTATACGACCACTTGTTAGGTGGGCGCTGGTGATAGTATTTAGCTATCCTAACTTCGGTAAGTGAAAAGGCATTCTACGCTTTGATTTACTACTTGAATTCCAATGCCCCTGATCAAATCATTAATAACTCCATAACAAGTTACTTTCTCATTTAACAATAAGGCTTGAATCCTGATTCAATCTGATTCGATCACTAAATAATAGAAATGAGAAATTAAGCATTAATCTCTTTGTGTGTCTAATTAATAATCAATCTATCTTCCCAGCATACAATAGAAATGATAATCGTTTAGTTGATTATCAGAGGGTGAGTAGAAACTCAATACATGTTACAGCATTGTTCCTATATACGCCCAACAAAATCGAGTTCAAACATCTAAATCTAAAAAAATGAGTAAATTGATAACCAATAAGAAATTCGAAAATGAGTTAATTGATTCGCAACTACCACCAAAACAACTTTAGTAGGTTTCGAATGTATCCACTCTATGACATCTTCCAAAGAGTGAACATTTCCACAAACCTTTATTTTTAAATTCTTTCGCCTCCAATACATTTTTTTCTTGACATCACTTTTATTGCACCAACTTGTTTTCTGCATGCTGTCTTTGAAGTATTACAACTTGAACAGATAGACTTCTGTACAAAGTTTCACGTTGATTTAGTCTGTCTGTATGGTTGAGAATATTTGTAGCTTAAATGGATGGTCTTGATTGTATTGTGTTCTCTGAGCTGGGTTGTTTAATCGTGGAGCTTTCATAGTCTCTCTAGACGACATCATCAGAACTAACTTTCGTGTGAACTTCATACTGAAGTTAGTGCTGATGTCGTTTAGAAGGACTATGAAAGCTCCACGATTTAAACAACCCAGCTCAGAGAACACAATACAACCAAGAGTCTATTGGTGTACATATATATCAATAAGTTTGAAATAATAACCCACGTTTTGCATGAAAAAAGGCTATCTGAAGAAACCTGTCTTAGTCTATAGTGTCACCGTAGAGGATCTACGAGTATCGCTCAAAGCATATTACTCTTAACTTAGCGAGAACCATCCTTTTTACTCAAAACACTCCATTTCGTGCAGGCTCTAAAATTTGGATGCAGTCTCATTGTGTTGCGTCAGTTTCATTAATTTGATGTTGGAAAAGGTGGAAACTGTAACTAAGATTTCAATAATAACAGTTGTCAGATAGTTTATGGTTTGAGCGCGGTAGTTTTCGACTGAAATTTCCACAAGCATGTACGATTGGTATATTATTATTATTATTATTATTAAGTAGTGACAATGTTATTCTTTAAATTTTCTTGACAGCGAAGTTTTCATCAGTTAATGCCTTAAAATCCAATTGTAGTTCAGTTTTGTTGGTACCACAGTTGCAATAATAAGCAACTGATGTCCTTTATCCATAAATAAACTAGCGTAACCGAGACAGGATGGGTGCGGTTATGTTGACTTAGACACTGAAATGCTTCGGTTAACAAAACATCATATCATAGAAGCATAAACTTTCAAGACTAATTTGTCGATTAGTGATGCGGGATTAATCATCTTTAGGACCGATGAATAACTATTCTACTTGCAAGACAGTAATCGTAAGTAGGTTATGGGATTGAGGATTAAAATATTTTTGGATGAAAGTGAAACACGTTAACAGGTTACCACTATCAGACTAGTGGCCTATCAAAAATAAAGCCAAGAGACTAAACTGATCATTATTTTTTTTTTTTATTAGTCCCTTGGATTCCTAGTGGAACATAGGGCTTCAGTAGCACGCCTCCAGTGACCTCTGTTCTCTGAGATCTTTTGAACCTGGTTCCACGACAGCCCACAAGCTCTCATTTCCTCCTCGCATGACCTCCTCCATGTCACCCTCGGACGTCCAACTCGTCGCTTCCCATGGGGATTCCACTCGAGGGCCTGACGCGTGATGTCCTCAGTCGGCCTTCTCAGTGCATGGCCAATCCATCTCCACTTCTTCCTGCATATTTGTTGCGTGATAGGTTCTTGGTTGGTTCGTTCCCAGAGTTCCTTGTTGCTTATTTTTTCTGGCCATCTGATCTTCAGCAGCGAGCGTAAGCAGTTGTTGATGAATGTCTGTAGTTTATTGGAAATGCCTTTCGTGACGCGCCAAGTCTCTGAGCCATACAAGAGCACTGACTTGACGTTGGTGTTGAAAATCCGTATCTTGTTCCGCATGCTGAGTGCAGAAGATCTCCACACTGGTTTCAGGCTAATGAACGCCTGTCTTGCTTTTCCGATTCTGACTTTGACGTCCTCGTCCGTCCCGCCTGTAGTTGAAACAGTGCTTCCTAGATAAGTGAAGGAGGTTACTTCCTTCAAGTTTCTCCCGTTGACGGTGATTGGAGTTTGTTGTTGTTGTTGATGGTGGTGGTGCGGTATCTTCATCACTTCTGTCTTCTCTATATTCACCTGAAGTCCCGTCTTAGCTGCCTCTTCTGTCAACTTGTTAGTTTTTGCCTGCAGATCTTCAAGTTTATGTGACATTAGGCATAAGTCATCGGCGAAATCCAAGTCTTCTAGGTTCTTTTCCGTCGTCCAGTGTATCCCCCTCTTCTCGCTGCCTACTGTTTGCTGCATGATCCAGTCCACCACAATAGGAATATCATGGGGGATAGTAGGCAACCTTGTTTCACTCCTGTCTTCACTTCAAAGGCATCACTGAGCTTCCCATTGTGGATTACTTGGCATGTGGCATCTTCATATAGTTGTTGAATGAGGCGGATAAAGGTTTGCGGTACTCCGTAGTATTGAAGCAGTTTCCAAATTACTTCTCGGTCGACGCTGTCAAAGGCCTTCTCAAAGTCGATGAAGTTGAGGTATAGAGCTGATTGCCATTCTACGCTCTGTTCTATGATGATACGAAGCGTTGCAATTTGGTCAGCACATGATTTGTACTTCCTGAAGCCTGCCTGTTCCGGTCGCAGTTTTGAATCCAGTGCGTCTTTAAGCCTCTCCAGGATGATGCGGCTTAATATTTTACTTGGGGTGGATAGGAGAGTGATTCCGCGCCAGTTCTTGCAAGCACTGAGGTCTCCCTTCTTCGGCAGTTTGACAAGGTAACCCTTCTTCCAATCGTCAGGTACCTTCTCTTCCCTCCACACCTTCTGCAATAGTGGTGTGAGCATGTCCGCTGTTGTCTCTGCATCTGTTCTCAGTGCTTCTGGCGGTATTCCATCTGGTCCTGCTGCTTTCCCGCATTTCAGTAGCTTTATGGCGTTCAGGACTTCCATTTTCGTTGGGGGATTTATGTTCACTTGTAATTCAGCGGCTGCAGGTGGTATTTCTGGACGAAGTGCAGGTGGTGGTCGATTCAAGAGCTTCTTGAAGTGGTCGGCCCATCGTTTCCTCTGTTTCTCTTCTTTTGTAATTAAATTTCCTTCTTCATCTTTTATTGGTTTCATCTGTGTTGGTCTCTTCCCTGATAGCAACCTGGTTATTTGATACAATGTCGTCAGGTCTCTCTTACCTGCAGCCTGTTCTGCTTCACTTGCCAGTGTGTCGTAGAAGTGTCGTTTGTCTTTGCGTGCACTCTTCTTCACTTCTTTATCCAGTGTTTTATACATTGTGCTCAGTTCCTCTTGTCGTTGAGCATCCTTGCACTGGTTTATCTTCTGCTTCACCATCCTCCTCTCCTCTATCAGCTTCCAGGTATCCGTCGAGATCCATTCCTTGTCTTCCTTCTTCCTTCCTAATACTGTTGTGCAGGTTTCTTTCCACATAGCTTTCAAAGACTTCCAGTGTTCTTCTACACAGGTTTCTTCAGGGATGTCCCTCGACGTCTCCCATTTTGTCTTGATGGCTGCTTTGAAGATCTCCTTTGTAGTTTCATCCTTCAGTTTCCGAGTGTTGTACTTGAATTGAGGTCTATCACCAGCTTCCTTGAAGGCTTTTAACTTGATTTGGAAGGTTCCTTGCACTAGATAGTGGTCTGAACCTACATCTGCTCCTCTTCTTGACCTTGTGTTAAGTAGACTGCGTCTCCATTTTCTTGAGATTGAGATAAAGTCGATTTGATTTTTAGTGTGTCCATCTGGTGAAATCCATGTCGCTTTGTGGATATCCTTGTGCCTGAACACACTGCCTCCAATCACCAAATCGTTGAATGCACAGAATTCTGCAAACAATTCTCCATTCTCATTCATTTCACCTAGCGCCTCTCGACCCATGGTTAGTTCTCTTCCCGTGTTGTCCCCTCCCAGTTTGGCATTCATGTCGCCCATTAGAATTTTGATATCGCCAACTGACGTCTTGTCCAGTGTTGACTGAAGTTGTCTGTAGAATTCCTCCTTTTTCTCTTGCTCTGCATTATTTGTAGGTGCATAACATTGTATGATTGTGACCTTTCTTCCTTTTGAGTTGAATCTTGCTGTCATGATCCTGGAGGAGATTGGTTCCCACTGCATGAGAGCCTTCGATGCTCTTGAGGACATCATGATAGCCACTCCCTCAGTGTGCTCGTGGTTGGCGTCTGGGTGACCGGAGTAGATTATTGATTCTCCAGTTGACAGTTTGGAGAGTCCACTCCCATTCCATCTGCTTTCGCAAATCCCAAGCACTTCGATGTTATACCTTCTCATCTCCTTTGCAATCTGGGCTGCCTTACTGGGTTCAAACATCGTGCGGACATTCCATGTCCCCACGTTTACTTTCGCTTTCATCGAGAGAAGACACATCGGCCAATTGGCTTCCCGAAGGCTTTCACCAACTGGCGTCATTTCGCCTCTCCGATTCCAGCGGGGAATAAGTTTGTTTTCATTTTTTATATTTTGTTTGTGCTTTGAAGTTTCTTTAGCGGTTAGATTTGTTTTACGGGGTAGGGTTGCTAGCCCTATGCCCAACCTTCCCTCTTTACCCGGGCTTAGGACCGGCTAGTAACTAGTAAACTAGTTAACCAGGCAGTTAACCATGACAGCTTAAAAAGGAATTCAATCATTGATCACTATATTTACATCATAATTTAAATGGGACAAAACTGATTGAATATTACACCCTGATAATGTTTATCAGAAGCTTCTTTGTGCAACAAAACAACGAAGTTTGCGAATGGATTTCTGCTATGAGTATTTGAAGTGTATTTTTACAGTCACATTTTATTTGTAGAAATTATTTTATGAAATATGTAGAAAACGTGTTTCTGGGCGATGAGTGAGACTGACAACAAAAACGTATCGAGGTAGAAGCGGTTACGGAAGGAACTTCACCGAAATATTTAAAAACAACAATATATAACCTACTTCACAGCACAAACAGTATTGAAATCTCAGGCAGTAAAAGTATGCGATATGAGCTAATAGTGACTATCTGAGTTGTTGTACATTACTTGTGCCGAACGGAAGTACTCATTAACCAGATCTAAACCGTACTGCACTCCACATAAACTTCATAGAGCATAAATAAAGACCAAAGCATCTAAGAATATAAGTTACATTAATACAGGAGTAAAACTTGAGCACTGTAGCTGACTGTAATTCCATTTTAGTCTGCTGTGTATTAATTAACTTCCTTTCGTTATTCAGAATATTTTGCCCCCTGACCGGATACAATTCTGGAACATTCTAACCGTCGTAACACATATTCACGAATGTACAGCTTAGTAAATGACTTCATCGAAAAGAAAATTTTTTCTTCGCTGAAACCACGTCTTGTCTTTCCCTATGATCAAATGGGTATATTCGGTGTTTTAGATGTGTCACATAGTAACGTTTTGAACATAAATTATTGTCCATACTCATATCAGACGTTAATATGAATATACAACATAAAGATGAACAACAAATTGTGTCCGAAACGTTGTCCAGTAGACAATAGTGTTTCACTGTGTAACAAATCCAAAGAACAGACTATACCGGAGCGCAAACTACATACACCGTGAAGAGTAGAGAATTTCGGTTAGTTTCACTCTGGTCAAATTAAAGAGAGAAAAAAACGGTGAATAAGAATATCTTACAAATGATAGTTAAATTATTCGAACGACGACACGTTTGTTAGTCGATAATAATAATAATAATCCAAAACTCAGAAGGGGGAGAGACAATCACGATGACTGACATATGTAAAATGATTTCTGCTGCTGTAATAATAACTCACTAAACACTCCTGTGCTCTAACTCCTCACCTAAGCTGAGTCAAAGTTCACACCGAAAAAATGCTTCTGTTGGATAGATGGTGAGAGTTATATAATAGACATACAAATAAATAATGCAGGATGAGAGATTAATGGGTCCAAACGTATAATATGCTAATGTAAATACCAAAAGGGTATACACGAATAGACAACCAATTCAATACATAAGAGTTCAGTTCGAAAGATAGGAACGAGAGTTGATAAGCACGGCTAAATAGTTAATGTACTATAAAGACGCTAGTAAACGAGCAGCTCCTTTGGAATCTATTCACAATATTGTAACTTAAAACTTTCTTGAAAAGATAAACAATAATTATCTCTGAATCACTGAATAATTAATTATGCTTACGTCAGATTCAATAGTTTCTATATTACTTTGATCAATGCAATGCATGGGATGGGTTACATTTATTTCTCCAGTATTCCCTTTTTTCACACTATCCAGTCGACCAATCATTGTTGAGTCATTATCTTCACTAGCATTTAAGCTATCCATGCTTCGGGATGCAGGTTTGTTAGATAAACTGAAATTCACTGGAGAAAAAAAGGAAATGAAATAGAAGTTAATTAATTGGGAGAAAATGTATAGAGGTAGATAAAAGTAGAGAATATCAATAGCCATTCTATCTACACAAATGCAAACTCTATTCTTCTAGAAACCTTAACTTTTTGAACCATTACTATGCATATCTGTCAACTGGTTAACCCGCTGTATAATGTTAGATGAAGTAGATTCAGTCTGTCAAAAGGTTAGGGGTGGTCAGACGACAACTTGGTCCTAGGTCATGAATTTCCTGACTGTCAGTTTTAACTACGTGGGAAAATGTAGACTTCTAGGTTGGTACCCATGTGACAACTGAACTCAGCAGTGGAAGACTGTAGGTGACATGGCTCGGAATCGACCACAGTGGCGCAGATGCATTCAGATACTACTCTAATCGTCAGATCGATTGTTTCATGTCTTCTCTTTCTCTTTTCACGACTCTCTACAACTTTTGGTTACTTTCTTCTTCATTTATCCATTCTTCCTGTTGTTGTCTTCTTCGTTGATCTGTTGACATAAAACGTGCTAACTTGGACCGCTACGCAGTAATGCAAGGTGGTAATTCTAATGATGACTGACCGAATGAACTACAGTTAACTTCTAGCGAAAGTATATGAGAATCAGTTAACAAATTCACATTGAAGTTATTTTTTGACTCACAAACCTAACGTCAACAAAAATTATAATCGAGTTCAGTAGTCTATATGCAAATTAAAATCCACAAAGACTATTCCCTCAGCAGCATACTAAGCAAACATGAAATTTAGAATGTAAGTTCCAATAGAACCACTATGATATCTGAGCTTTGATATTTTGTTGCGAAAGCTTCATCATCAGGCTTGTTGACATCTTCAGCACTAACGTCTTTATGAAGGATATCCTGTGTACATGTTAAAATGACCTTAGATTTGAAGTTGGATTAACAGTTGGAGAAACCCTTACTGCTAACAAAAATAGAATACATTGGATATTCCCATTTAGACATTTAGAAAAAGACTGATTGAGTGAAGAAATATATTCCTTTTCAACTTGGTCTTCATCTTGGGCTCTACACTAATATATGTGGGTTTACAATATAGTCAAATTACCAATCACCTTGTGATGTTTCGGAAATTATCATGTAAATAATCAATAGAGTTACTAAAATTGGAAATATGAATATTGATAGAAACAAGGAGAAGGGGAAGAGGTGTACAAAGTAAACCTACAAGTTACATCATGTTGATAGCCACGGTAATGAAAGTGGTCAAACAAACTTCTTTTGGATACAAAGGTTAGGTTTGTAAAGGTGGATTACAATCGCCTCTGCTATGTGAAGTAAGCGCGAGTGTGTAATACATGAGGTAAATTAATTGGAATCTCATGGATGATTTGGAAGATTTTTCCAGTAACCACTTGATGTCCTGTATCAGCTAAGTGTGCAAGTATGGAGCTCTTTATAGTTCTAATTTGTCCCTTGTTCAACCATGATGGATGGTGCTCAGAAATTCGACGATGGAATTGCCTCACTGTACGCCCAATATAACTCGCTCCACAGGAGCAGTTGAATTGATAAACGCCCATAGAAGTGGCACAATCAGGCAGTTTGTCTTTATTTCTTGCACCTAGAATCGGGCGGTTGTAGAAGGCGGGACATAATTTAGCGGCTGGGAATGCTTTATGCAAGACTCTTTTTATGCGTTGTGTGATCTCACTGGCAATATCACTCTTAAATTGCAGCTTCAAGAAGATTTGCTTCTTAGGAACTGTTGGCATTGTTTTCTTAACCCTCGTAATATTCATGTGCTTATTTACGAACTTGTCTGGGTAGCCATTCCTACTAACCAGATCACGGATGGTGGCGCACTCTTCCTTTATAGCATCCTCCGAGCAAATAGCTGATGCACGGTATGCTAAGCATTTCATTAGGTTCCTTTTGTATTGCATAGCATAACAAGAAATACTGATCACTGAGCTGTATCGAACCTGTTTAGATACAGTCAACAACCACAGTCACCTTCAACTCAGGCTCTAATATCGTTTAAATCTCCAAATTTTTACACTATTAGCAAGTGAATTTTTCTGTTACTATGGGAGGTGAATGAACATATGTGTTAAAATGTAAAACAGACAGAGAAGTCAACATAGAAACTTGGTCAAGAGGTGAATCGATTCAAGCTGCAAACAAGTCTAGAGGAATAATGACAATATAATAAATCCTTATTGGCATGTTGTATAGCTCAATAATTACAGTCAATCAACTGTAAAGTTTATGGTATTCAACTTACTATCTTGTCCTGCAATCCGTTGTAGAATTCGAAATAACTCTGGAGTCATTTTGTCCTTAGCTAGCAGATTACTAAAACATTGTAAGAATCTTTCATCAACCTAAATAAAATATAAATAGCACAACTCAGTAATTCCAATAGACAACTTGATAATTTAGAAAAGTCAAATCAAACTTATAGAGTAATTTTCAGGAAATAATAAAATTGAACATAGTGAGAGTTTAGATATTAGGTGAAAGGCTTGAATGAAATCCTCCATTAATCGTTAATAAGAGTATGCTAAGGATATTTGTAAACAGATGATCGTCAAAAGTCACATTCAACCTATTATTAAATATTTGCGACTAATTGTAAAGAAAAAAAACAGGTAAGTTTATCCTGAAACATTTATGTCGAATAAGATGAGAAAGAATCCATGATCTGATTATCTATCATCTACTGTAAATAAGATTTCCAAAATTCCACAGTAATAGAGAAGCTAAAACTACATCTCTCTGTACTATTCTTAGTACGACGAAACTTGAATTAATTTGTCACTAGATCACTTCTAGCCAGAATAGTTGCATATTCCCTGGTTGTTTCTATAACACACTTCGGCAATTCAATACCTTCTTGACTTAGGAACTCAACTTTTAAGCAATGGTTTTCAGGTTCGGCTTATAAACCGCCTACTTCAGTTTTGGTAACCGTATAGTATCATAAGCCTTCGCACAACAGCTGTTGTGGATTAGATTGGAACAAGGCTCATGACCTTCAGACCAAGATTTTGTATCAGTCCATAAAGTCTCTGCCTACTGGTTTGATTTGTAAACAGAGGTATTAAATGTTTGGTTGAGGTACTTGAGATGATAGAAATCAACAGTTGCAGACCCTGAGTGACATAAGTGAAAACCGGTGACAACAACACAGATGTATTCACTCATAGATATCTTCTAACGATTGAAGATTTTCATTTACCTTAAGTTTACAAATTCCTTCTCATCCCTTCTACACCTATGTCCGCTTTGATATCAACTTTTTTCCAACCATCTGTTCTTTGCGTGATACTGTGAGGTATGACAACTTGAACCTATGCACTTGTGTGCACGGTTAGACATTGATTTTTCTATCTGATTACAAGTGTTGCTCATTGTCTAGTAAATAAAGATGTATAGGGTTGAGTTATATAACTGCATTACTAATAAAACCCTAACCATACAACAATCTCTTGATCAGCTGATGTAAACGAATTCCTTTTTTCTTCATACATACCATACCTTTCTCAATTTCTCGTTAAATTGGTATTTATTAGCTTTTTTGAAATTATTCGTTTACATTTATATGAAATTGATGAAAAAGTACCGATTTATAACAACAAGTCGTTCACCTATTGTTTAAATTAGTGCAGGGGAAGAATGTTAACAATTTCACAAAGAAAATATGTGTATTACTATGCACTACTAAATAAACTAACTAGGAAAACGGAGTAATCAAAACAGTAACCACATTTTACAGTAACATTATCAATTGATAGCAAGACAGTTTTATTTTATTAAACAACATCAAGGTGAATATCAGAAATCAATAAAAAGTTGTGTAGTCAGTCACAAAGTAATGTAAACTATCGTAGCATTAACTTATAAACTCTGAATTTTGATTTGAGTCATGTAGAGGAATGTAGACTTCAAGATCACGATTCATGTGACAAGTGAAATTGACTCAGAATAGGTGGCAATAGTACAGATGAATCAACATAGTATCGTTATTTTAACTGCCATATCATACTTCGCTATTCACGTTATCTCCTTTTCTCTATCACTTGTCATAAATGTCTACGACTCTGTTTACCTTTTTTTCTGTTGTTGAAATCTTTCATATCAGTTCCCAGTCTAAGGATGTGCCTAAAATGAAGTCTGGCGACTAGAAGTTCTATACAGTATTGCCAGGTTCTATGTCGATGCTAACTTGACTGACTAAAACCATCCTCAAACAAATCGATTTTTTTTTAACTACTCACTAAAATAATTAGTAATGAACAAGTCTGGGTTAGAATAATGGAACAGAGAGAATGTGTGGACGTGTTGAGAAATATACAATAACTCGATTATGCCTAAAGTTTATACAAGCAACTAACGCGTAAAAACATGTAGACCAACCAGTACATAAGTTTCATAACTCAAATTTGGGCAATAATTGTATTCAAACACCTAATCTCAAGGATAGACAAGTGGATAACTTGATTTATTTGAGGTAAGTAGTTACCTAGTTAACAAACAATCAGCTGATAAAAAGCAACCCATACAAAGGAGCTTCAATGGAGTATGAATACTATTCAATAAAGTTGTACAAGTAAGTGAAACTTACTGTTCTGCTTGATGTCAAGTTTAAATCGTCTAAATTCTTATTACATAATCTCAGATTGATATTCATTTCACCTTTATCCGTATCCCGTAACGTATCATCGGAACCTTCTTCATCGAATAGAATATTCATTAAAGCATCGTTTGATTCATCACCAAGGAAACTGTCGACAACATTTTTATCAACACTACCATCATCACCATCGTCATCTTCATCATCATCATCATCATCATCCTCATCATCGTCGTTATCATCATCATCATCATCATTCTCGTTGGCGGTATTGGGGTTATTGTTTCTCTCATTATCGTTGTCATTGACATTATCATTGTCATTCTCCTCCTCCACGTTTTCATTACCACTATGGATAGGATTCGATTGTGGCGACGATGGTGCTTTATCACAATCAGATAATACACTTGAGGACTGTTGTTGAACATCTTTTTTACTGGTCCTTTTCGATAATAAATTTGGAGAGGATTTTTCACGTGATTTTTGAATATGACTCGTTACGGTAGTACTTGTGTCAGTGGTAGCACAACTTTTAGTATAACTGATTCGGTTAACTTGATTAGTATTAGGAGATTTGATAATTGGTATTGGTGATGACCCTGATGCCAGTGTCGAAGAAGTTTCTTTCTTTTCACTGAGTAGTGAGATGGAGTAGATTTTTTGAGCTATAGTACTGGCACTTAGCACCTACAGAAAGAGATTTAAAAAATACCTTAGACTGAGATAACCAGATAGAATCAAAGTCGAATCCCATCAATGATGATTTAAAAAAATAAGGTTTTAAGAGAAAAAATAATGGATGGTCCTGCTCGGAGATCAGTGTATAGAAAGCGAACAAGGAATGGCCAGTAACGTATATTTCTAAAACTGGACCCCTTGAAGTAGAAGAGGAAACCTAATTTATTTATTATCATTGAAAATTAAAAGGATCTGTACAGATCATACAACCGAAGATAGGTTAGAAAGACTCTTATAAGCACTCACAGAAAATAGATATCCTACAGGTTCATCGATAAAAACTCAAAAACGAACAAGGAAACTGAAAGAAACTCTTCAATACTAAGGAATATTTACTTCAGTTTCATTTTAAAGGCAATACTGGGGCAGAAATCATGCAGAATCATCTAACCAGATACAGATATGTTTCTAACGAATTGTGAATCACTTTTATTGGACAAATGACTCGTCAATGTGCAAAAGACAAACAGTTGCTACGGCTAACACCAGTGTGAAGTAATTAGTCCCTTTGATAAGTTTGCATAATGTAATAAAAAGATGAAAGCTATCTAGGAAGTATGAAGCATTTGCGCAAATCTTGTATTATCTTTATTTATTTGCCTCACCTCACTCTCTGTTTTCACCTTTTATACAAAATACCTTAACAAGTAAATGTGTGACTAGACTATGTTAATGATGGATCGTGGCTAGCAGTGGAATCCAGCATGCGCATTTCGTCCTATTTAAGACTCACCAGTTAGCTGGATGTACCTGCTTCCCAGTGAGTGATATTGTTCCCACCGGGATTCGGACTCGGGAGCGCCAGCGCATTATCCACTACATCACTGAGACACGATAGCCACTTCTTATGCGACGGGTATAGTTTTTAGTATAAGGGTTTTTATATCATACCGTCGTTGATTTGACCGAATTGATAGGTCTCTATTAGCATATGGGCTCCTGTGTGGATGCCTCGATATTGCCAACAGTCCAATTATGTTAACGATGGACTAGACTGTTCAAAATAAATTGCGTAAATACAGTAAATTTCTCAGATAATCTCCGTCTTCTGATACCATCAGTGTATCGAAAGATCCATTTGTCTAGATAAAGTCAACCATATAAACACCAAACATCATGGACTTTTCGAATGTTTTTCCTAATAATATGTGACTATTTTGATAACTAACATAAAACTGTTAGTTGTAAGTGACACTTTCTCAGCTTCCAATAAAATTTGAATTGATAAAAATATATTTTCTGTAATCTATCATTTCCATCATTAGTTTTATGAATCATATCAAAATTTATCACAGATAGTATAAGATTTATTGTTTATATATGAAAAAGGGTTGGAAATCTAGTAATATCTTAGTGCATGCAACAGATTATTTGTGTTTCCTTGGTCGAAAAAATAAGTTATTTATTTATTATTTTTTTTTTTGACCTAGTGCTTTTATAGGTTCATGAAAACTGTATATTAATGATGTACTTTTGTCGAATAAAATATCCTCCTTACAATCACAGTCCAGATATTGTCCGCAATATATTTCCGTGAAATATAAGGGAGATAGGTAGCTATTCGTATCCTATGCAAATGTCTCATCGCGTTTATACCCTCTGAAAATTTCTTATTATTTCACTCGGTTAATTCAGATTACGACTAAAAAAATTGATCTAGCGATGTACAAAAGTCATTATTTCACTTGTTAGGTGAGTTAGAAATGTATCATAAGTCTGTTTTTACAGCTTTGCATAGAAAGCTTGACGTCTGGAAAACTATTCAATCTACCGGAAATGTATTTTGATACATCTCATCAGCATTCTCTTTTTTAAGTAATTCTGTAATGTTCAAAACTTCATTTTTATTTCTTTACCTATTGACATATAGTCTGATGAGAAGTATAACCTTCAGCATGCATTGACTCATCAAGTCTGATAGGGATAGGGATAGAGTCATAAAAGTCGAAATTTTAAAGAGCAACTAGCAAAAAGGTGAAAAGAAATAATCATAATTCGTGAATTCTGAGTTGTTTAAGGGAACCTGTATTCTATGATGTTTTTGGATTATTATTACTATTATGACTGATGTATTTCGTGTATTTTTCCTGCCCATTCCTTCGACTAGGAAACTAGTAGCAGATGAGCGTATGAAGAACACAATACTAATATCAGACAAACACATAGATTGGTAAATGTGTTAACAGTTGGATGTTTCAGGAAACTTGCCCTCTCATTCTCTTTACATTACAATGATTCACAATAAATATTCTAATTAAGACTTCTGATGCTTGTTCTCACCGCCAATTGATAAGTTAAGCAGTAGGAAATATCCGGCAGTAACGAAGCATCCACATAGGTGCTCATCTGCAAACAAAGGTCAAATGATCCGGTCGCGTATAGCAACGAAAAACTACAAGTATCAAAATAACAACTGGTACCCATTGGACAAAGAGGTAACTATCGTGCCCCAGTGACCAAATGGATAACGGGGTTCACGTCTCAGTGGGAACAACATTCACTGGGATATAGGTACCTCCAAATCCATCCCAAATAGGAGGAAACACGCGTTCTAGATCCCACTTCACTTCCGACTGGTTGACCCCATAGGCTGAATGGTTATCGCGTTCGCCATGAAACCTGAAGGTTCTGAGTTCGATCCCTAGCCGGGTCGTGGGTGCGTACTGCTTAGGAGTCCCCTACTAGGACGAAACAGCTGTCCAGTGCTCCCAGATTTTCAATGGTTCCCCAACTGATGTCAGTCCATGATGAATACTACTTCTAAATGCATCATTTATCATCTTATCAAATGTAATCAACGCTATTTTTAAAAAAATCTGACTTACAGAATCGTGTACACAGTAAACATTGCCATAGAATTCCACACCACCTAGAGCTAACTGTTTTCCTCCGTTTTCATTTGGTCCTGTTGTTTGAATCTTATAAAATCGCCATCCTTTAGTAGGATTCGTACAAGCTGTATTCGATGTTGACGATATTGGTTGCAGGGTACTGTTATCATTTTTATAACAGTCTACTATGCTCCAAGTAGCACGACTACCCGATACAGAATGAATACTTGAATCATTGGTATGCTCACGCAAAACAGTCCAAGATACAGCATCATTTGAAGCCTAATAATCAATCAATTAAAATGAAGACAGTTTATTAACAGAAATAAGCACTCGGGTAAAAACCTTATTGATTGACGTGAGTTTGAGACCCGTTTAAAAATTGGGTTTAGCAGCTCAGTTGATAGAGCGTTGAGTAAGTAATCTGCAAGTCCCTGGACAAAATCCTGCCGCAACACAAGTTTTCATTTCACCTTTAATCGTCACTCGACAAAAGTAATACTAGTCTGTCAAACCACAGCCATTATACATAGTCTCATCGGTAAAGAAAGCAAAGTAAATGATACTTTTCATGCTAAAAGTAAGTTTGAGAAAAGGATGTTTGTCAATCTCGTATCAAGGCAGTTTGAGTTATATTAGCTCTTGCAAGAGTTCCTGCAATACACGTCAAAGTGCATCAACTCATGCATTTCACTTTCGGAGTAAGTATTTCAAAAATCCCGGAAAATGACATTTAAAAATTCTAAAATCATATTTATTAACTTTGATATACGATAGATAATATTATGCGTCGAGGTACACCGCTCATCTATTAGTATGCAACATAGTCTGTTTCTATAAACGTATTCGATGACTACAGACCAAGCAATGAAAGGAAAAAAAATTGAAATTGAATAGTTGAAATGCACTCAACAACCTTATGAGCTTTCTTGTAGTATGCAAGGAGCCACAACTATTGTGTGAGGACTAAAGATACTACTACTACCTCGCTGCCCAAACCTAGCTAGATGAAGAGGTGTTCAAACCCTTAACCCAGGCATGGGTTGAAAGTCAATTGCTTAAACCCAAAAGTCGTAGAGTTCCATTGAAGAGTAACAGGTTTGAAGTAAGTAAACATAGAGAACATCATTATATTCCCCTGTTTTTTATGCATTCACTTTGAAAGCTTAAAAGTATATTGTCATGTTAACCTTAACTGTTACATAAGATAGTTACAGTAAATCACTACGATCCATAGGTTTTCGATATACAGTATTATTTACTGGATGACGTTTCGAACACAAGTTGTACCTCCTAATCATATCAAAGATAACTTCACATCTTGGACACTCTGGGAGTTACCTTTGAAATGACAATGGAAAATAAATTGTCCTCAAAATGTTATCCAGTAGATAATAGAGTTTTACTGTTTAAAATATCCAATGTAGATTTCGACTAAGTTCTATTATTGTATTACTCTTAGACACAGTTTATACTCAATTCTGAGAATATCAACTCACAATAAGTGCTAAAAACTGATTAAAACGGAAAAATATAGATAAAAGGTGTTCATAGCAATCCTGAAATTGTATGACTTCGAAGTTCAACGTTAGGTGGAGTACACGACGATGAAAAGAAAGCGGGATGTCTGAGATTAGAGAGAGACACAACACTAAACTATGCATCTCTATTGATTAATGTTCTTAAGCCTTTACATCACTGCAAATAAATTTATTGATTAGACCGCTTGATATGATAAAAATAATTGATTAAAGAACATTGAAAAAATGGCTACAAATCAGTCACAACATAACACAGATCTGGCTATTACTCTTTCTACACCAATTCATCATCTTATTACCTAAACTTTAGTCATTTCATTACATTTCAGTTTGTTCATTAAATATGTCGCATATAGAAATCGCATTATTTATTTGTAAGCGTTTCGCACACAACCTATTGTCCATATTCATATCACGGGGAATTTCACAACACTTTATTCTCTCTACTTTGTCATATGCCTAGTAGAGATTTCGATATATCTGCAACAAGAGTAACAACATATCACACAAGAAAGGCAATTCAATTAATCAGTCAATCAATATCAACATAGGACCAGGCATTACTGCGTAACGGCCCAACTTGCCACACCTCGTATCAGTACATCAAGTAGAAAGGTAGTGAGGTGGAGGATGAAGATAAGAGAATGCAGTCAAAAGAAATATAAAGTACAAGAAGAAAGAAAGGAGGAATGACAAAGTGATGAGATTCAGTATAGTGTAGTTAAGATGAGGATAATGCGTGTATACATCTGTGCCACTGACATCGGTTCTGAGCCATATCACCTAGAGTCAGTATCAGACCACTGGTTCCTCTTGTCCCGCCGACCCCAACCACCTAGTCTGTATCGCTCCACATGGCTAAAACCAACAGTCAGAGACTTCATACATTGGTGCCATGTTTTAGTCTGGCTACTTCGAGCCTTTTTCCAGCCTGAACCCACCTCAGCCAACATTGTGTGACGAGACAATCGGTGACTGCGCATACGTAGTACGTGTCCCAACCATCTCAGTCGATGAAGGTTCACAACTGTGTCAACTGATTTACCTCTTCTCCCCAAAACTCTACACCTAACTTCTGCATTACTCACGTGGTGGTGACACCATGGAATACGTCCCACACTATGAAGGTAACGGTGGTCAAACACTTGAAGCCTTCTTATATCTTCCACTTTCAATGGTCATGTTTCACAGCCACACAGTAGAACAGACCAGACTGCTGTGCAGTACACGCCACCCTTAGTAGACAAACGGATATCACGGCGGCGTCATAGGTGGTGCAAATTGGCAAAAGCCAATCGAGCCTTTTGTATGCGAGTAGAGATCTCATCAGCAACTAACCCACCAGGGTTGATCCTACTTCCCAGACAAGTGAAGTGGTCAACACACTCAACCACTTCAACCACGTCTCTCTCCGAACGACTGAGATCAACAGTCAGGAACTTCATGAACTACTGCCACTTATTGGTCTAGCCGCCCTGAACCCCTCTTCTAACGTAACCCAGCTTCGTCTAGTGTGACACGTTAAGATAGGTGATGGCTCGGCATGCGCAATACATTTCCAAGTGATCTCACTTGACTAAGGTTCACAACCTCATCAGTCGACTTACCTGTCCAATCTAGTACCCTTCGCCTGACCTCAACACTGCTCATACGGTGATTTCGCCACACATGAGCAATGCTACGGAGAGAACTATGATCAATAACCTGTAACCGCTTCACCTCCTACTTTTAACGACTGTGTCTCATAGTCGTATAACAGTAAAATGAAAGCCTAAGCGGTGACAGAATGTGAGCCACCAGCTTGTCCATTGTTGGTCCGTCGCTGTATCTCCAAATTCATCAGATGTAAGTGAAAGTCATACGGCTCCGAAGTACGGTTTATATGTATAGTCCGTTCGAGGAGACTATCATGAATATTTCTGTTATGCTGACGAAAAGCAAGATTTTAGACTGTATTAGTCACTAAAGTTGATTTGAGTTATAAAAGCAAATAAGGTTCCGTGAGGTTGTTGATACACTAATGTATGGTGGAAACTTAGGCATCAAACTGCAATATTATTTCATATTATATTTTATTTAATAAAGCATACAGTGATGCAGTATTATGTAATAAAACGTGTCTAACAAAGCTGAAATTAAGATAGTGCATAGACTGATAAACTGACTCAGCCAGAAGTCTCTAGAGAAGGCTTGTTGGGTAAAAGAGTTATGGATCTAATTAAGGAAAATAATTTAATCTACCAAATACCATGTAATGATTTCTAAGTAAAGTATATGAGTTGTGGTTCATTGGTTTAGGTAAGGAATCCCGCTCCACCTACGGAAATGTGGGCAGCGATTTAGTATTGTTGGTTCATATACTCTAGATATGGCTCATTGTCTACTACATGAATATGGATGTTGTTACTCAGTTGAGATTTGATTTTTCTACTGCATTGTTGAACTGATCAGTTGTCACCAGTTGGTGGAAATTCGAACAGTATTACCTTTTATTATACAACTAATTACACTCTGTCGTATAGCATTTTTATTTCATGGTTACATGAGTGTTTAAAATAGTTATTTAGTGGGAAAAAAACTATATCTTTTCTTATCCCAACTGTTATTATTTATATTAGGCGATTAACTTGTCGTTATTATCCATTATCCAGACTGTGACAGTTAAAATGTGAGTTTTTATCTGTCATCATCCACATCAACAGGATTACACAATCTTTATTTTGCTATTGTTAGGAAATAAAGCCATGAACTTCAGGTATTTGGTATGCGTATGATAATGGTGGTTTATTCTATTCAACTGTCTGTAAGCATCAAGCAAAGTAACTTTTAATATTTCTCTGCATGGCTTTTCAGGAATTTTCGATCCTAAACTTTCGACTAATAGATTATGTGTTTGACCATTACTCCATTCGCTCAGAAGTCACGTACACATTCGTGCTGTAGGCAGTGAGTCGCATGTATTGTGTGAAGGTCAATGATAGTATCTGGCTGCCCAGACCTTAGCAGGTGAAGAGGGATTTGAATCTGTAACTTACCTGTCGAAATTTGAGTATCTAGACAAATGAATCACAGCTTCATGGTATACTGTAACAGTGGTTAGTTGATTGACTCGACGCATACTTTAAATAAGACCAGCAACTAACCAGTGATATGCAACTTTGTGGGTTACTAAAAACAGTTGGCCTTTTTTGCGTATACTTCACTGTAGTTTGCTTCTAATTCCATGTAGTCTCAATAGAGAACAAGTAGGAATAGTGAAACCCAATGAAACAAGCGGACCGCTGACAGCTCTGTACTCAAATATGAAACGGCAATAATAATGAAGCTCTGAGGGAAAGAAAAAGTTTGTTTCATAGCTACCACACTTCAGGTCTACTGCAGTGCCTACCTAATACATGAATATGAATATGGTTGTTAGATCGTATTTAGAAAACAACAGTTTAAGCGGAGAACTGTTTATTTGTTACTGCAATGTGTACTGACCATATGTATTCATGTCATTTTGTTTCTCTCTAGTGATGATTCACGATCGGAAATGGCAGCTGAACGATTAGTTCTTATACGGAAGCGTATGTTAACTTTATCTGAGAAACTATTGGAGAAATTACAATCGGAATCAAGTTCACCTTTCAACGAAGAACAACATACATCAGTTATTATGGCTAAGATTGGACCAATTGATGGATTGAATCGAATTAAAAAAATAGTTCTTCAAATATGGGATGCTTTTAAAACAGATAAATATAATAGTTCAACTGATGTAACCTTGAACAAATTATATACATCTTTTCAGCAGTTATCAACTATATTACATGAAGGTGAACAAACAGTTACAGCCTATGAATTAACTACCAGTGGTTTGATTCAAGTTCTACTATTATGTCTTTCTATTGCACACGCTGGTCGCTGGCATTATCATGTAAGTGTGTGTGTGTGTACAGCTTCCTGTCTGTATGTTTCTAACGCATCGGACAGACTAGTTTATTTGCCTTTTCGAACGTCAAATATATACCTTTTCTCTGGATATGTTGTAAGTTTGAGTTCCAGGGAGTGAAACTGTTGGTCATAGAGAGGTGTCTCAATCAATCAATCAATATCAACATAGGACCAGGCATTACTGCGTAACGGCCCAACTTGCCACACCTCGTATCAGTACATCAAGTAGAAAGGTAGTGAGGTGGAGGATGAAGATAAGAGAATGCAGTCAAAAGAAATATAAAGTACAAGAAGAAAGAAAGGAGGAATGACAAAGTGATGAGATTCAGTATAGTGTAGTTAAGATGAGGATAATGCGTGTATACATCTGTGCCACTGACATCGGTTCTGAGCCATATCACCTAGAGTCAGTATCAGACCACTGGTTCCTCTTGTCCCGCCGACCCCAACCACCTAGTCTGTATCGCTCCACATGGCTAAAACCAACAGTCAGAGACTTCATACATTGGTGCCATGTTTTAGTCTGGCTACTTCGAGCCTTTTTCCAGCCTGAACCCACCTCAGCCAACATTGTGTGACGAGACAATCGGTGACTGCGCATACGTAGTACGTGTCCCAACCATCTCAGTCGATGAAGGTTCACAACTGTGTCAACTGATTTACCTCTTCTCCCCAAAACTCTACACCTAACTTCTGCATTACTCACGTGGTGGTGACACCATGGAATACGTCCCACACTATGAAGGTAACGGTGGTCAAACACTTGAAGCCTTCTTATATCTTCCACTTTCAATGGTCATGTTTCACAGCCACACAGTAGAACAGACCAGACTGCTGTGCAGTACACGCCACCCTTAGTAGACAAACGGATATCACGGCGGCGTCATAGGTGGTGCAAATTGGCAAAAGCCAATCGAGCCTTTTGTATGCGAGTAGAGATCTCATCAGCAACTAACCCACCAGGGTTGATCCTACTTCCCAGACAAGTGAAGTGGTCAACACACTCAACCACTTCACTCTCTATTGTTAGCCACGGTGGGGCACCGCTGAAGACCAGTCCTGGGGCAAAAATTTGCATTTGGGTGGTGAAAATTGCATCCCAAACATTCTCAAATTCCCACTCAAAGTGCTCAGAAGACTCTGCATTTTGTCAGCGTCTTCACCTAACAGGACTATGTCATCTGCATATTCTAGATCTAACGAAACTTCACCTGTGATTGGGTTAACGTCTGTGTAATTGGGTGACGAGAGGGAAACCTCCATAAGTATATCTATGATAAAATTAAATAAGAATGGAGATAGTGGGCATTCTTGACGGACACCACTCGATGAGTATAGCTCCCTGGACAACTCGCCATAGGTTCTAACATGTCCACAAGTGTTCGAGTAGAGAGCTTTCAATAAGGTGATGTACTTACTTACTAGGCACGCCTTTCAGTGAGAGAAATTGGCATAAGACTTCTCGATCAACGGAGTCAAATGCCACCTTCAGGTCGAGAAATACAGCTATTGTCGGGCGTCTGTAAGAGTGCCTATGTTCCAGGACCTGGTGCAGTGTGAATATTTGGTCGATACATCCACGGCCAGGTCTGAAGCTTGCTTGGTTTTCTCGGGCTTGGTGTTCCCGAGCTCCACTCAGGCGTCGGCAATTCAGAAACATTAAAAAGAATTCCCAATAATTTAGAACAATTATGCTATTTGAGCCTACAAAACTTGCTTAATAACAAGCTTTGTGGCTTAAATGACGCCATTGATCTAATTGGGCGTAATGATTAAGTTTACTGATTCTCCTGTAATGACTACAAAGTTATATACATAATCTGAACGAGCAAAATAATTTGACTAGACAGGGAATGCTAGACCCTAAAAACGATGAGGAATCCAGAGAAAAGTTCGCAAGATCGCTGGCTCGAAACCTGGCGAGACCCAGGTCTTCATTTTATTTTTAAACAATACCTAGGTATCAACTAACTGACTGGCAAAATCAATGTAGAATTTTGCACACAGGTGTATCGCTTCAAGTTGCCACACTTCACAGTAGTATACAGAGAACAGGTGGATAGAAAAGGAATGATATCAAAGTAGACAAAGTTGTGTGACAGAATACACAATTTTAAGATAAAAGTTGGCGCAAATATTCAACCTTTAGAAGATGTCAAGAAGTAAATACATCTGTGATTCTGCGAACGGTTTTCAGCCATGTCACCGAAAGTCCTGAACCACCGATCACTTTCGTCTCGAGAGATCTCCAACCAGGCATTCTGTATTGCCAAACACAACTCAGACCAACAGTAAGAGACTTCACGTCTGGATTTGACCACCCTGAAATACCCTCCAACCTAATCGAACTTCCCCTAGAAATGCACGCTGAGGTAGGCAGTGGCTCGGCATGCGCAGTACATGTTCAAAGCACTTCTGTCAACTAAGGTTCACAACATCATCAATTGATTTGCTTGTCTGGCCTAGTACCCTTCACCTGATCTCAAAATTGCTCACACAGTGGTTCAACCAAACACATGCAATGCCACGAAGACATTTGTGATCAGAACCCTGTAACCACTTTGTGTCACTTACTTTTAACGGCGTTCTCACAGCCGTATAACAAGACAGGACGGACTGGAGTGCAGAGCACTCGTCTTTTGATAAGTAGTTGTGTTGTATGTTTGCTCCACGCTCACTTCACAGTTAGAGACTGTTACAACACATCACACTTGACTGAGTCAAATACCGCCTTCAGGTCAACAAATACGACAAATGTCGGCCACTGAGCGGTAGGTATGCCTGTGTTCCAGAAACTGTCAGAGGGTAGAAACGTGATCGATGCACTCTCGTTCACCTCTGTCTGCAACCTGTCTGGTTTCCTCGAGTTTGCCGTCTTTGAACTCCAGTTAGGCCTCGGATAACTATGGACCCTAGGATTTTAAACACACAATATTAGTCAAACTGATTCCCCTATGGTTGTCACAAGAAGATTTCTCCGCCTTCTTGTACACTGGGATCATCAGTGAAGTACATTAATGTGAAGGTACTACCTATGATTCCCACACACTACCTACTACCTCTATCACTTTAATTAGCGATTTCCTACCTCCACACTTGAAAACTTCAGGTGGCAAACTGTCAAATCCTGCCACTTTTCATCGCATCAGGTTGATATACCCTTATCAACTACAACGAGAGTTGGAGGACCGACTTTTACGTCCCATTCAGGTTCAGGCTGGATGTTAGGCAAGTGAAACTTTGCTGAGGACCAGATGGACTATACTTCAAAGTGTTTTGCCCAACGTTCAAATCGACTGACCTAGGAGGTTATCAGCGTCCCATCCTTTCTGGTAATGGTTTCACTCACCATTGTCTTCTTACCGTTAACCTTAATAACCCTAAATAGTTACCGAGTGCTACCCAACGCTGATGACTTCTCTATCTCTCTTGCTTTCGTCAACCACTACTGCTCGTGACCATGGCGAAGACTGATGATCCATTTACGTTTGAGTTGCTTTCGCTATTCGTCATGGTCAGAGTTAGCTGGAATCAGTCTTCTCACACCAACCAGTTCAGATGGAAATCCAGGAAATCCAAATACATTTCCTAACCTTCAGGTGTAGGTTACTCATTGTCTTCACCGCTGTTTCTATAGCAGACTAAATATCATGCCAGGTTTCCACAGGATTGGCACTGCTGTCACGTTCAGATAAGTGCTTAGCTAACTCCTCTCTAAATGAGTACTTGGTGTCCTCATCTCCCAATCCACCATAAACAGGTTTACTGTTTCGTGTGACCAGTAAGGCACAGACATACACGAGCCGGTGCTAAGGCGTGATCGGAGTACGAAATGGTACTCCAAAAAGAGCAGTAATCCTACACCGATACCCCCCAATCATGGACAATAACTAACCTCTAATTTCCAGTTTCTTGGTGCAATTGAGTGTTCTGAGGCATCAGCTCGCCTGAGATACGCTAAAGTGTATGCAGTGGGTACTAGTTGCAGACCAAGATCAATAGCAATCCAAGCTTGTGTTTCAGTCTCCGTAACAAATTGTACATCATCAGTAGTACGCCTTGATTTTTGTTCTACTGAATTCTTTTTGCTTCGACTTTCATTTTGATTACTTGCATTTGGATAATTCATACGTTTCGGTTTGACTACAACGCCAATACCACTGCCTCGAATTGTATACCCTCCGACTAAAGCACCAGCTTGAGGCCCTAAAATTGAAACAGGTCTACCTTTCACCGGATTATTTGTCGATGCAGCCACACTAATAAGTCCAATAATAGCTGGATTAACCCAATCTTCTAAAGGATGACGATTACCATTAGTCGCAAGCCAGTCAATTACACCACCGAGATAATCAGCTGAATTATTTCCAGGCGGAGGAGCAGGAAAGCATAAACCAGTGGGATTTAAGCTATTCACTGAATGAACTTGACTCCAAAGAGTAAGATCCAGGCGGGGACACTCATACCTGAAAATAAAAATAATCATGCAGGAGTTAAAATAAGCCACAGAAGCAAATCATTCAAAAAAATTATCTGACCAATGAGAAAAATTTACATCCAAAAATCAAATGACCAGTGTCACACAACTTTGTAGAGTATACTACAAATTAAATCTGTCAAAAATTGCTTCTGAAATTCTCCGACTGTTGCTATAAGCCTATTCTATCTAATATTGCGAAACATTTTTTTTATTTTTCTAAAACAACAGGAAATCATGCTACTAGTTGACTCATTCATCAACATGACTACAGCTGCTCACTGGTTTAGGGAGTTGACTTCCAACCATTGATTGGGTCACAGGTTCGAATAGCGTTCCACCTACCGAGGTTTGTGCAGCCAGGTAGTAGTATCATTAGCCTTCATATAATAGTTGTGGCTCACTGCTTACTGCACGAATGTGCACAAGATTGCTGAGTGGGTCTTAATTTCAAGACAGTAACCAAGTGATTTGCTCCCTGAATATGATTATTACAGACTGAGCCAAACTTAAAGTGAGTTTTCCAAAGTACAATTCAAGGAGATGATGACTGAAATCGACAGAAAACTCAAGTCATCATGGATTATCAGTTCGAATTTTGTTGTTGGACAATTTTACTTCAAATTCAAATTGACATCCCCTTAAATCAAAAAACAACATGATGAAAAACGACTATACTTGAGAAAGCTTAAATAAAAAATCATTATGATAGGAATGCATCAATTACTTTGACCTAAACTTTATAGTGTAAAACTTATGCAATCGTATGATATACTTCATAATATTTCAATCACCTAATATGCATTCTTTATAAAGTTTTGATGAAACTGAACACAAAGACTTTGATTTATGTCCTAAAATAAATTACTCTGATTTGGAACGATTAAAAAGGTGGTTATATCCCCCTCACTCTACCTGAGGTGTTATTATACAGGATGTTAATAAATTTCTCAGGCATACCCCTGCCTAACAGACGATTCCAGAGTAAATTCCTGTCCAACGAATCGAAAGCAGCCTGAATGTCAAGGAACACAACGATCAGGGATCTGTGATATACCTAGCGATGTTCAAGCATCTGGTGGAAGATAAACACATGATCAATGCATCCACGACTTGAACAAAACCTGATCTGCTTCCTCGTGAACCATTTTCTCATGTACTTTGCAATGTCCGTGAAGTATGATAGCACCCAATATTTTCGACGCCGCTGGTAACAGATAAATACCCCGATGATTGTCATATGCATTACACAAATCGTTTTTAAAGATGGGCACAGCAATGGCTTCATTCCAGAGTGATAGAACACCCTCAGTCTGCCATACCTTCTCAAACAAACCAGTCAGTTCCCTGACTAGAGTCGTTCCTTTAACCCTAAGAACAGTCGGGGGTAAGTGGTGTGGGTCGAGTGCCTTGTGACGTTTCAGAACTTGGAGTTCCTTATGGACCTCCGCTTCGTTAGATGGATCAGTGTTAACTGACCATGGGGCACAATACACTAAAGGTGACAATGCTACAGTCGTGGGCTACCTACACTACTTTTCAAAGTGCTCTGCCCAGGCGTTCCAGTGTCTTTTAAGATCGTTTATCGGCGTACAGTCTACCTCACAAACCGTCTAACTGACACCAGGCTTCTTGCTGTCAATGGCACGGATGAGCTGGAACAGCTTCCGACTATTAGCAGATGAAGCTGCTGCTTTCATATTACTCGCGCGTTCTGACCCCTAAGCCTCATGGTCATAGCGTAAGCGTTGTGTAATCTTTCGCGTAATAGGCGTACGCGAACCACTGTACTCTCTATCGGCTGAAATGGTCCGATGGGCATCAAAAAGTTCCAGGGAGCTGGCAAAGACTTAATGTTTTTATTAGCTGGACGTTCTTTCAAGCCGCAAGCGGCTTTACTCGCTACTTTTGCGGCATCTTGTAAGTGCAGCTAATGCTCGTCTACACTTCCTGGTTTAACCCCATGGCCAACTTGATATGAGTTAAACATACAAACCAAAGAGTCATAGGTGTATACAACAATGCATCTAATTACTAGATTTTAGACTGGAAAATTATTCAAAATTCTGTAAAATATAATATAACTAACCATTGTTTGGTTGACATACGACTGAGAAATCGTTCTAGTTGACTCACAGTTGTCAGTGGACTTACAAAAAGAGCTTTACCTCGCCAGTTATATAGTCTTCTGGAGTCTTTGGATTTATTTGCATTACCACTAGACTCTTCATTTGGTTGCGACAATTTATCCAAATATAAAGGTAAACGCTTAGCGATTTGATGAAGACTCGGTAAACACGAATCAGGTTCTGGGAAATCCAGGAGAACAGGACAAAAGCGTAGCAAAGCTGATAATTCTTTAGCATCCATACTATCTTGAAAAGGTTGTTTTAAACTGATGGACACTGATTCACCGCGATCAGTGCAAACTGTGAGCTGACACCGATTGAATGCAGAATTAATAAAATTAATTGGTAAAGACGCAGCGTAACCTATTCTATCTAATACAGTAGATGGAGCATATTCGGATTTTGTTTCTGCAGTTACCTCGCTGTTGACCACAGTACGATCCGAATATGTTTTTTCCGTAGTACTTGAAGAAGGACACTTTCGTGATAGATGAGCCGCAGAGAATATCCTCAGTGGAAGATGTTCTGTCAGTTCGAAAGCTTGCACTAAACGCCTCACAAGAAGTGACATACTTTTAGACCTAGAAGAAGATAAAATATTCTGTACGAACACTCGTCGCCTCTCTTGGAGGTAACATAATAAAGCTGTTGTTTTGTCTAACTCCATAGAAAATGTCTACAAAAACAGAAGCAAGAAAATAGAGTAATAAATGATACCATTTAGCCTGGAAAAAGAATGAAAGCGAATTACACCAAATATCGACATCAGTTAGGATAAAAGCATTTATGACTTCATACTTTCAGTATATACAAAGAGCACGCTTCATGGGCAAAATGAAACCGATGGTCCAATGCTAACCAAGTTGTCTAATATTGATTTACCGAGTATGGTATGTATTACTATTATCTACTACATACTCCAGCAATAAACAAGGTACTCATGCACGAAAATCGCAGAGATTATTAATTGCACTTAGAAGGCTATGATTCGAAAATCTCGATCTAACAGAACTAGGTTACCTTTATATTCCAAATCATTCGGAAGGATTCTGGGAAGAAGAATAGGTGTCAAAGACAAAAATTAGAATATCAAAGGAAAAGTACTTTGAGCGGATCGATTAGACAAAATCGATAGACATCATTCTCTTTAGTCACGCTAGACAGTAGATAATTGCTAGCTTTCACACGATAATGATTGTTTAACTAAGGTGATAGACACAGCAGCCATATATGAATGATAAACTACTTACACGGTATTTCAATGGGTTGAATGCGATAATAAGTCACAAAACCGTGTGACTTGCTGATAGTGTTCAGAAAATGGAATTATTAAAGAGTAATAATCATTTTTTATCATAATTAAAAATAACATAAATTTGACTGAGAGACTGAATAACGATTTCATACTCATCATTAATGAACTAGCCCAAAATGAACCACCTGAGGTGCTAATGAGAATTTGTCAACTTATGAAACAATCAGGTTGGATATGAGAACGGAGGTTCATTAATGACGTGAGGTAATGAACATGATATGTAGCGAATTGATTTAGGTAGGAAAATGTGAGATATTAGACTGTCACCCAAGATATCTAACAACATTCAGCCTGAGTCCTCATAAGATAATGGGCATGAAGCGATAGAGAACATTTGTAGCCCAGATGGATGATCTTGGTTGTGTCTCATTCTCTGAGCTGAGTGACTCAATCATGAAGCTTTCATTGTCCTTCTAGATAAAATCTTCAGCACTAACCTCAACATGAAAGTCCTCACAAAACAGCTGATTAAAATTTCAAAAGCAGCTACAACAGAGGAAACCAGTGAATGTATTATCAATCTGCCAAAACAACCACTGACAAAAGTAAAAAAAACTTCTTCAGAAATAAGTGAATTACAATACAAGGGATACCTCAGGACAAGAATTCCTCGCTGTATTAGAATAATCACAAAAGCATCAAGGTTAATTGAGAACACTCGACAAGAAATACGGTGAACAATTACACCAATGACCAAATCGAAGAAAGATTATGCTCAGAATACCACACAGGAACAGAAAGCATAAGGAGACTGAGAAAAAAGGATAGGTTCAGTTATACTCCCAGCAGACAAAGGTCTCATCACTGTAGTCATGGGCAAGAAAGACTACACCGAGAAGGCAGTGGATCTACTCAAAGACGAAAATGTGTATCAACCACTTGAAACCAACTCTATCCAAAAGCTCGACCACCTGATCAACAAAACCTTGAACAAAGTAGAAGAAATAACAAAGCAAAACAAAAGGTAAACGAAGTCCAATGGACTTATCACTCCTCAGTTTTACGGCAGACACATCCCTGGTCTCCTTAAACCACGCTCCAAATTACATATTGGAGCCTTCAATGTCCGCATCCTCCATCAAATTGGCCAACAGGCTTCGTTAGCAAAGACTCTAGCAACTCGGGCCATAGGTGTATGCTGTGTTTGTGAGACATGCATACAGGACCCAAGTGCGGTTATTCACCTGACCTCTCCCGGCCAATCTGGTGAATCCGCAAAATTCACCCTTCGAGTTTCTGGAGATTCGATGGCTAGCTCTCGTGGTCTTGCAGGTGTAGGCATAGCATGAAGCACTAGGGCAGAAAACTCACTACTAGACTGGATCCCAGTTGATAGTCGCCTCTGCGCTATGAGGCTGAACGGCACAGTGAGAACTAAAAGGAATAGTGAGACTCGCCGTTGTCTCTTTGTAATCTCTGCTTACGCACCCACTGACTGCAGCTCGGATGAAGTGAAGGACGAGTTCTACCATAAACTGTCTAACCTCCTCTCGAAAGCCAAACGTTCGGACGTGGTGGTTGTTGCAGGTGACCTCAACGCACAGGTGGGTAGACTGAGTGAGGCAGAAAGGCACTTAGGTGGCACTTTCGGAATCCCAGCTGAACGTACAGATAACGGTGATCGCCTATTACAACTATGCTCAGATAACCGCCTATTTTTAGCCAGCACAAATTTCAGACATAAAGAAAGGCACTGTCTGACCTGGCGTCCACCGAGCTCAGCTCAGCGATGGACACAGATAGACCACATTGCTATTAGTCATCGCTGGAGAGGATCGGTGGAAGACTGCCGCTCCTTCTGGAGTACGTGTTTGGACAGCGATCATGCGTTGGTCCGAGCACGTATATGCCTGCGTCTCAATGGACGTAGAAAAAATTTGGCAACAAAACCACTACGAGTTCTGCTGGACAACGAAAACACCAAAGCCGTGTTCAGTGAGAAGTTGGCTAGGCAGTTATCGGAACAAAATACTGTCACTCATCCAGAAGAAGCTTGGTGCCATCTTCAGTCTGCTGTAAAAGCAGCACTGAAGACTGTAACCGACTCCAAAATGATGGCTAAAAAGAGCCAGTGGATATCAGCAGCTTCTTCCAAACTAATGGATGCACGTGAATGCATCCCTGCAGGCTCTGAGTACAATGAAGAGCGAGCGCAACTTAAAAATAGACTGATGAAAAGTCTGCGCAACGATCGTGAACAGTGGTGGGCAGCGAAAAAGCAGCGGCGATCGGTAATAGTAGACAGTTATTTAGACTTATTAAGGAGACTGGAGGGAAAAGGTCAACAACAGTTAGTGAGGTTATAGCGGAGAAGGACGGATCGGCGATTCACTCGCAGGGAGACGACTGGGACGATGGGCAGAACACTTCAGGAACAGTTTAACTGGCCTCCAGCCACCATTGCGTTGCCCGCTATCCAGTCGGACCCTGAATGGGACATAGAGACAGGCCCCCCAACACTAGAAGAAGTTGAGAAAGCGGTAGGTAGCCTGAAACGGGAAGGGCAGCAGGACCAGACGGACTACCTGCTGAGGTATACAAGAATGGTGGTAGAGTGATCTTAGTCAGGTTAACGGAAGTGTTAGCCAGTATATGGGAATCAAATACGATCCCCTCCGACTGGTCTAAGTCACTCATCATCCCAGTCTTCAAGAAAGGCGAGAAGTCCTCTTGTGATAACCACAGAGGAATCAGCCTGACGAACATAGTGTCTAAGATCCTAAGTTCTATAATTCTCCGACGCCTGAGTGGAGCTCGGGAACAGCAAGCCCGAGAAAACCAGGCAGGCTTTAGACCTGGCCGTGGATGTATCGACCAAATATTCACACTGCGCCAGGTCCTGGAACATAGGCATGCTTACAGACGCCCGACAATAGCTGTATTTCTCGACCTGAAGGCGGCATTTGACTCCGTTGATCGAGAAGTCTTATGGCAGTGTCTGTCACTGAAAGGCGTGCCTAGTAAGTACATCACCTTATTGAAAGCTCTCTACTCGAACACTTGTGGGCATGTTAGAGCCTATGGCGAGTTGTCCAGGGAGCTATACTCATCAAGTGGTGTCCGTCAAGGATGCCCACTATCCCCATTCTTATTTAATTTTATCATAGATATTCTTATGGAGGTTTCCCTCTCGTCACCTAATTACACAGACGTTGACCCAATCACAGGTGAATTTTCCTTAGATCTAGAATATGCAGATGACATAGTCCTGTTAGGTGAAGACGCTGACAAGATGCAGAGTCTTCTGAACACTTTGAGTGGGAATTTGAGAATGTTTGGGATGCGATTTTCACCACCCAAATGCAAATTTTTGCTCCAGGACTGGTCTTCAGCGGTACCGCGGTTAACAATAGAGAGTGAAGTGGTTGAGTGTGTTGACCACTTCACTTACCTGGGAAGTAGGATCAACCCTGGTGGGTTAGTTGCCGATGAGATCTCCACACGGATACAAAAGGCTCGATTGGCTTTTGCCAATTTGCGCCACCTATGGCGCCGCCGTGATATTCGTTTGTCTATTAAGGGTCGCGTGTACTGCACAGCAGTCCGCTCTGTTCTACTGTATGGCTGTGAAACATGGCCATTGAAAGTGGAAGATATAAGAAGGCTTCAAGTGTTTGACCACCGTTGCCTTCGTAGTATAGGACGTATTCCGTGGTGTCACCACGTGAGTAATGCAGAAGTTAGGTGTAGAGTTTTGGGGAGAAGAGGTAAGTCAGTTGACACGGTTGTGAACCTTCATCGACTGAGATGGTTGGGACACGTACTACGTATGCCTAGTCACCGATTGCCTCGTCACACAATGTTGGCTGAGGTGGGTTCAGGCTGGAAAAAGGCTCGAGGTGGCCAGACTAAAACATGGCACCAATGTATGAAGTCTCTGACTGTTGGTTTAAGCCATGTAGAGCGATGCAGACTAGGTGGTTGGGGTCGGCGGGACAAGAGGAACCAGTGGTTTGATACGACTCTAGGTGATATGGCTCAGAACCGATGTCAGTGGCACAGATGTATACACGCATTATCCTCATCTTAACTACACTATACTGAATCTCATCACTTTGTCATTCCTCCTTTCTTTCTTCTCGTACTTTATATTTCTTTTGACTGCATTCTCTTATCTTCATCCTCCACCTCACTACCTTTCTACTTGATGTACTGATACGAGGTGTGGCAAGTTGGGCCGTTACGCAGTAATGCCTGGTCCTATGTTGATATTGATTAATTGATTGAGACACCTCTCTATGACCAACAGTTTCACTCCCTGGAACTCAAACTTACAACATATCCAGAGAAAAGGTATATATTTGACGTTCGAAAAGGCAAATAAACTAGTCTGTCCGATGCGTTAGAAACATACAGACAGGAAGCTGTACACACACACACACTTACATGATAATGCCAGCGACCAGCGTGTGCAATAGAAAGACATAATAGTAGAACTTGAATCAAACCACTGGTAGTTAATTCATAGGCTGTAACTGTTTGTTCACCTTCATGTAATATAGTTGATAACTGCTGAAAAGATGTATATAATTTGTTCAAGGTCACATCAGTTGAACTATTATATTTATCTGTTTTAAAAGCATCCCATATTTGAAGAACTATTTTTTTAATTCGATTCAATCCATCAATTGGTCCAATCTTAGCCATAATAACTGATGTATGTTGTTCTTCGTTGAAAGGTGAACTTGATTCCGATTGTAATTTCTCCAATAGTTTCTCAGATAAAGTTAACATACGCTTCCGTATAAGAACTAATCGTTCAGCTGCCATTTCCGATCGTGAATCATCACTAGAGAGAAACAAAATGACATGAATACATATGGTCAGTACACATTGCAGTAACAAATAAACAGTTCTCCGCTTAAACTGTTGTTTTCTAAATACGATCTAACAACCATATTCATATTCATGTATTAGGTAGGCACTGCAGTAGACCTGAAGTGTGGTAGCTATGAAACAAACTTTTTCTTTCCCTCAGAGCTTCATTATTATTGCCGTTTCATATTTGAGTACAGAGCTGTCAGCGGTCCGCTTGTTTCATTGGGTTTCACTATTCCTACTTGTTCTCTATTGAGACTACATGGAATTAGAAGCAAACTACAGTGAAGTATACGCAAAAAAGGCCAACTGTTTTTAGTAACCCACAAAGTTGCATATCACTGGTTAGTTGCTGGTCTTATTTAAAGTATGCGTCGAGTCAATCAACTAACCACTGTTACAGTATACCATGAAGCTGTGATTCATTTGTCTAGATACTCAAATTTCGACAGGTAAGTTACAGATTCAAATCCCTCTTCACCTGCTAAGGTCTGGGCAGCCAGATACTATCATTGACCTTCACACAATACATGCGACTCACTGCCTACAGCACGAATGTGTACGTGACTTCTGAGCGAATGGAGTAATGGTCAAACACATAATCTATTAGTCGAAAGTTTAGGATCGAAAATTCCTGAAAAGCCATGCAGAGAAATATTAAAAGTTACTTTGCTTGATGCTTACAGACAGTTGAATAGAATAAACCACCATTATCATACGCATACCAAATACCTGAAGTTCATGGCTTTATTTCCTAACAATAGCAAAATAAAGATTGTGTAATCCTGTTGATGTGGATGATGACAGATAAAAACTCACATTTTAACTGTCACAGTCTGGATAATGGATAATAACGACAAGTTAATCGCCTAATATAAATAATAACAGTTGGGATAAGAAAAGATATAGTTTTTTTCCCACTAAATAACTATTTTAAACACTCATGTAACCATGAAATAAAAATGCTATACGACAGAGTGTAATTAGTTGTATAATAAAAGGTAATACTGTTCGAATTTCCACCAACTGGTGACAACTGATCAGTTCAACAATGCAGTAGAAAAATCAAATCTCAACTGAGTAACAACATCCATATTCATGTAGTAGACAATGAGCCATATCTAGAGTATATGAACCAACAATACTAAATCGCTGCCCACATTTCCGTAGGTGGAGCGGGATTCCTTACCTAAACCAATGAACCACAACTCATATACTTTACTTAGAAATCATTACATGGTATTTGGTAGATTAAATTATTTTCCTTAATTAGATCCATAACTCTTTTACCCAACAAGCCTTCTCTAGAGACTTCTGGCTGAGTCAGTTTATCAGTCTATGCACTATCTTAATTTCAGCTTTGTTAGACACGTTTTATTACATAATACTGCATCACTGTATGCTTTATTAAATAAAATATAATATGAAATAATATTGCAGTTTGATGCCTAAGTTTCCACCATACATTAGTGTATCAACAACCTCACGGAACCTTATTTGCTTTTATAACTCAAATCAACTTTAGTGACTAATACAGTCTAAAATCTTGCTTTTCGTCAGCATAACAGAAATATTCATGATAGTCTCCTCGAACGGACTATACATATAAACCGTACTTCGGAGCCGTATGACTTTCACTTACATCTGATGAATTTGGAGATACAGCGACGGACCAACAATGGACAAGCTGGTGGTTCACATTCTGTCACCGCTTAGGCTTTCATTTTACTGTTATACGACTATGAGACACAGTCGCTAAAAGTAGGAGAGGTGAAGCGGTTACAGGTTATTGATCATAGTTCTCTCCGTAGCATTGCTCATGTGTGACGAAATCACCGTATGAGCAGTGTTGAGGTCAGGCGAAGGATACTAGACAGGACAGGTAAGTCGACTGATGAGGTTGTGAACCTTAGTCAAGTGAGATCACTTGGAAATGTATTGCGCATGCCGAGCCATTACCTATCTTGACGTGCCACACTAGACGAAGCTGGGTTACGTTAGAAGAGGGTTCAGGGTGGCTAGACCAATAAGTGGCAGTAGTTCATGAAGTTCCTGACTGTTGATCTCAGTCGTTCGGAGAGAGACGTAAACTACCTGGTTGGGGTCCCCCGGACGAAAGGAACTAGTGGTTGAGGACTCTTGGTGATATGGTTGAAAACTAGTCACAATGACGCATATGGATCCACTCCTTAACATCTAAAGCTTGAATATTCTCACTAACCATTATCTTCAGATTGTTTATCCTCTCACACAACTTTCTCTACTTTGATATCACTCTTATTCTAACCACCCGTTCTTTATGTACTACTGTGAAGTGTTGTAATTTGAGCTGATGCACTTGTGTGTGAGGTTCTACATTGATCTCTCTCTCTCGATATATATATATATATATATATATATATATATATATATATATATATATATATATATGCAAGTGGGAACAATAAATCTCTTCATGACATACTTACTCTTCTGGTCGTAATAACACAGTTAACTGGCCACTATTGTATGTCTCATGAATAATTTCATTGGGGAAAAATAGTTTATCAATTCTTGATAACTCCATATCAGTTGCTGAAATCATTTGTTCGTTTTTATCAGTACGTTTCTCTTCGCAATTTGTCTTACTGTCGTTATCAGTTCCTTGAGATGATGATTCATCACATAACTGTAAATAATCCATTCCGATATTTAATGAGTCAGAGTTGTTAACCAAAGAGTCGAAATCGAAAATTTCTGGTATATCCCGAGAATAAATAGAAGCGCTAGCCGCAGGTGTTATTGGAGTGGTAGCAGTTGTATCAGCAGATGGTGTATCCAAAGCGCTGGATGGTGCAGGTAGATCAATTTGCGAAATCACACTTAAAAAACTTCTAGAATGACGCTTAGTAGATTTCAATAATTCATTTGGATTACTTCCTGGTTTCGATATGGTTTTAATAGATTTTAATTCAGTATCAACAGCGGAAGCTGCTGGTGGTGCTGCTGCTTCAGCTTCCTTACTTACGGAAGCAATACGTATGCGTTTGAAACCACTGCAAACATTCTCAGAGAGCAATAAGGCTTCAGTGAACAGTGGTTTGGAACTGCAAGTAGAAGATAATCTTGGTTTTACAGAGATGTATGTCCCATCTTTCCGCTTTAGTAGACTACAAATCATACAACCAAACGATAAAGAAGTGGACGCTGTTGTACCATCGCTCCCAGTAGAAGTAGACTGATCAGGCAATTTTGCTGAAAACCTAGAAGTAAGACAGACACGAGCTGGTGATGAAGCTTGACGTTGAAGCATTGATGAAGTACTTCCCACAGTTCCCGCCATCGATGCAGCAATATGTGTAGAAATAGGATCATGACGCAAGCCAAGACGCTTCGGAAACGGCGAGCGTTATTGCGTGAAGTCTCCAAATTATATAAACTAGAATCACCCAAAATATTAGATCCTAATTGGCTTACAGAAGTTGACTGAACAGTTTGTTTTTTTGCCTCTTCTTCAGAACTCTTATCGTCTTTAACATCTTGAAATAATGGAATAACTCGAGTATTGCCAACAGCCAGTTCCATCAAATGTTGATGCATACGAAGCATTCGAAATTTTAAACCTTACAAAAAATAAAAGAAATTTAAACTTTTTTTTAAAATGGAAATAGGTTATACAGTGAATGCCTAAGATAAATTTTACCGACAATGATGAGATATAAGCTTTTATTAACAAAATTCCAGATAACTGAATACTTTTGAACAACTATGACGATGAGAAGTTACACAAGAAAAGAAAAATTTCAATGAATTTAGGTATTCCCCTTGCACTATCCTACATCTAAGGTTAATTAAACCACCTGATTGTACAAAAAGGTTCGTAGGAGGAAACTGAAGTACATAAAAACAGTAAGTAATACAGCATCTAGCTTAATCAAACAATGTCGACAGAGACCATACCAAATACAGGCATAATTGTAACTGATGATAATTACTATTTATTTCTCAGATTCCAAAGGTTGTGCCGGTATAACACTGGTAGATGCTACCTCTAAGCTTTCAATAAGGCCAGCTTTATCCTCTGTTATTTCGAAAAATAAGGAGAATTTAGACTGAATCCTCTTGGAATGGAAAAGTGTATTCCTCCTACGAATTTATCAAAGACCACACACACTCTCTCTCTCTCTAAATCCTTGCTTATATCCTTCTCATTATTGCTTCTTAAGCAGTCTTACAAAGCCAAAGAACGGATTTGTCGATTTTCTCATTTGAAAGTCGACCACATTTGTTAAGCAGCATCAGCTAAATTGATGCTTCCTCGCGAATTATTAGGCCGACTGAGGACATCACGCGTCAGGCCCTCGAGTGGAACCCCCATGGGAAGCGACGAGTTGGACGTCCGAGGGTGACATGGAGGAGGTCGTGCGAGGAGGAAATGAGAGCTTGTGGGCTGTCGTGGGACCAGGTTCAAAAGATCTCAGAGAACAGAGGTCACTGGAGGCGTGCTACTGAAGCCCTATGTTCCACTAGGAACCCAAGGGACTAATAATAATAATAATAATAATAATAATAATAATAATAATAATAATAATAATCGCGAATTATTAGTCACTTTTGTGACAGTATTTTTGTCTTCCAGTTCGGTATGCAGCGAACTGCTCATACCATCGATTACAAATCAACTAGGGTATCGAATATTTATGATTACAATGTATCGGAAATCGTTAACGACTTTCAGTCTCGACTGATTCGGTTGTAGTGTGAGGGGCAAAACGGTAGTTAACTGGTTGACATCCAAGTTCAGTGATGTATTTTCTTTAATGGGTGTGTTTCTTATGTCCACCTTATGCATGTGATTTTCCTTAGTGCCTCTTCCGTTCTGACACGTTCATCGGAAGAAATGTATCAGTGACTTAGTAGAGACTTAAGAAGTAAAAATAGTTTCAAGCAAAATGTCTACAATAACCGCTGCACTGTTAATTTAATGCATGTTGTGATAAAGTGGTGACAATTGGCGACAATTAAATGATATTTGTAACTTAATAGCGAAACCTTTATTGACATCAATAAGGCTAACGATGAAAACAACGAAGATTAGTTACCAAAGTCGACAGAAAACTAAACTATTGGCAATCGCAAAGTGAGATAATAAAAAAAATTTATATTTTCTCGAGGTAAATAAGTTAGTATCTTCATACCAGTATTGTAGCAGTAAATATACACAAAAAGACAGACTTCAAGCATAAATACAATAAATAAACAGTAAAAGATTTTAATTATATACAGCGTCCTGAAAGTATTGAGTTCGGAATAGTTAAACACGATAATTAAAAAAATATTGTCTGGATATTATATTCACAAAAAATGGTACTACACCTAGATTAAGTTGAACAACAAATATTCTATTGTGAAACCGGTCAATAACGCCTAGAAGAGTAATTCTGGCCAACATATATATAATTGACTTCAGACTTTGAATAAACACTGGGTTAGCAATCTGAAACTAGCAAATACTGGATCAGTCTCCGTTTCTGCATTGTTTGGCTATGCAGAAAAGAAATGGTTGAAGGAAGCTAATATAAAAATATACAACCTTATGAATGTCATCCACTGATTAAAATGACCAGCATTGACTTATCTAGACCTGAAACGAGTTCCACTTAGATATCTATCAGCCAGAATCCAGATCATTCATACTTATGAACGTGTCACATTAGAGATATTTTGTGACCAGATGATGGCATTTAACCTCACTAGCTGGTATGTCATTTTGCAGCTTTCTGATTCAGTTAAACAGAGGCTAGTTGATTTAAATACTTCAATTTCAATTATGCTGGAGTGATGGGGATGTGGCCCAGTGGTTTAGAGAGGTGACTATCAACCACTGGGTCACGTGTTCGAACCCCGCTGCACCTATCGAGTAGCCAGGTAGTATTGCCCGGTGTACGGATGTGTACAAGGGGGCTAAACGCCTTTCATTCTCTATGCTGCAGTGTCCAATGAGATCCCGCCTTTCCAAGTGAGGTAGTAAACGAGCCTTAATAACTCTCATGCAGAAGAAACCTGTCGTTGTGATACATTTGTTTAGGTACTTGACCATCAACGAGTTACGGCTTTGAACGCCACTCCATCCAGCGACGTCTAAGCAGTCAGGCAGTAGTATTATTAGCTGTCACACAACAGGTGTAGCTCACTGCCTACTGCATGAAGGTACAGGTGGTTACTGAGTGCATTTCGATTTTCGATTCCACGGTGTGTCGATTGTCAATTTTTATACTGAATATCTGACAGTTATGTATACATCACTTTCATTACAATTACTTTATGCACTTACATGCAATTATATTGTTTCTAACATCTTGATAACACTATCGTTCATGGTTTTAACTTAAAGATAACCTTATCGATACTCGTAGTTTACTGTCGATTCTCATACTGGAACGAATTGATTGGCTAATCTTGGTATATAGGCTCTTTGAAAGGATTCTATTTTCTATTTGCTTGGTAGTGACTATCAGTAGAGCCTATGTGCCAAGAGTGAAATATCTATTCGGTCTACCATAAGAATCAACGCGGAACTAAAAGCATAAATAAATGAAAAATAACACACGTTGCACAAGAGATGGCTCTCATGCCTCAGTGGCCTAGTGGATAACGCTATGACCTTCAAAACGATGGGCACAGGGTTCATACTCCAGTGGAAACACCAACATGATGTCTCGAAATAAGATGGAATGCACTTCCTAGATACCACTGCTAACCACCACAAAGCGAATAACACTAAAGACAACTTGTTTTCCATTGATTTATTGGAGTATGTACATTACTTGCTGAGGTGCAGGTACATCTAGCTAGTGAGTTCCAAATAGGATGAAACGCCCGTCCTGGATTCTACTACTAGCCATCATCGAGCAAATTAAATGAATGAAAGTAATTTCATTCTTCAACACAAGTCAGCTTGCTTTTAAAACAGAAAACTCCTGTGTACTTCATAATTTTAAATCACAATTTCCAAATCAGAATAATTAAACGAAACCAACCTTTTTCAAGCCACAAAACATCTGGAATCACATACAAGTGATAACATACACAATATTGAATAGGAGTACCTCGAAAGATTCTTCACATACACTAGCCGACACGATAAACAACGAAGTATTGAAGAAGAGACATGATCAGACACTAGTTATCGGGTATGCTCCACTAACTATTACGCGTATTAAGAAGTTATATTGCTTACTAAAATTATATTCTCAGTGAAGAATATAGATAAGCATACGATTGAGGTGAATTACTTAACTCACCAGGACGTGGAAGTGGATTTTCACCTGGATGCAACTGAATTGGTATTGGACTATTTCTATGCCCATAATGATGAATGCATAACGCACGTAGACCTCCATCTTCTGGTTGTAATTGAATTGTAATAAAAGCGAATCCAGTGAAAACAGACAGTAGCTGGCCCATACAGAAAAAATACCATCCATTCCAATTGTAAAGTTGTGCATTCAAAAAAAACAGGTTCAGATGTCTAAGTTGTTTTTGTTTTTTTTTATCAAAAAAAAATAATAACACAAACGAGCATTAGTTGATGATATGAAGATAAGTGAGCAATGTCATCAATCCACTGAGTTCAACTAATTGAACTACAACAAATCTTGCTAAACTTAATAATACTAAATGGCAGTCTTAACTAAACAAGATGGAGAGTCATGTGAAATGAAGAAGTGCAGCTTGAAAGATAAATATCGAAACGAATAAACTAAACAATATGAATGAACACAACCCATCAAATAGATGCGAATTCAGGCATTGGGGTATGAGCTAAACCTATTATATAATAAATGGTAATACTTCTTCATGATTATCCAATCTTCTGTATATAAAGTTGGATTGAATCCAATTAAAAACTAAATAACACAACCACAAGAATTCGAACAACATCAGGAAAAATAAAAAAAATAGATTAAGAGTATAATAATACAACTAATTATCGACTAAAATTGAGAAAAGTTTCAGTTCCTTAGATTTCGATACTACAATTTATTATTAAAGTTGAGTATAAGGATTGATTGCATCGCTTCAACAACAGTAATAAGAGCGTAATGATTAAGAATCAACAAACAATGAACTTCAAGGAATGCAGTGATGATCAATTCAGAACTCAATTACTATATATGAAATTCACCCATAAAACGATTCATGGTTACTTCAAATTGTATTATCGACGAAGTAGATAATAAGATTAAATTACCGACTGCAAATTCTGCGTGATTTCAGTAGTACAAATGTCTACATTCTTTATAAACCAAGTAAACTGAGATTTTACGCCTGTTTATGAAAAAATGGAGATATTTTGTTTCGTCAGCGAATAGTTCTCAAAAACCTTTTGTTCTCTATGCTGAATGTTTTAACTATGTAAACTCTAAACAATAGAGTTCTTTAAAACGTATTTGCTTGGTGATGATTAGCAGTGAAATATAGAAGCGCGTTTTGTCCTACTTGAGACTGGTCATCTTGACATGCCTGCATTCCAGTGAGTGAAGTTGTGTTTATTGAGACTCAAATCTGGCATCCCCTGCCTCAAATGCCAAAGTGTTACTTATCATAAATATCAAAATTGAAAATCATCACTGCAGTCCATATCCCTATAGTCGCCGACCAACTTGGTCCAATCAACGATAGACATTTACAAGCTATAACATCACAAATATTGAGTATTGCCTAAAAATGCTAAAGTGTTGTTATTTGTGAAGTTCAACCTATTTTACTGAATCATGCCTTTATTAGGGATAAAAGTATTACCATCTACCTGGCTAATACGACCGAAATAAGTGGAATTGTTTCGAAATCATGCTATTATGGTTTAGAGGTGAATGTCGTTAATTTGAATCAGATTAGTACAATAGCCTTATCACTGGTAACTAAGAACGTCTAGGTTGTCATCAAATGTGTATTCCCCCAGATTTCCAAAGGTAATATGCGAATGTATTGCATGCAGATTTAATGACAAGTGCGAAGTATATTCAGCTGATCAGTAGTAAGAAGAAATCTATGAGTGTGAAAAACGTTTTAGGATTTTTCAAATGTGAAATCTTACAGACCTGAACGGGCTGGCTGACAACCAAATCTCATCTCAATTACAGAAGGACTATTTGGAATTCGCCAACTTGCGTCAACTGCGGGGTCTACTGAGGAGATATCCAACTACTTATCAAAAGATGAGTGCTCTGCACTCCAGTCCTTTCTGTCTTGTTATACGGCTGTGAGAACGCCGTTAAAAGTAAGTGACACAAAGTGGTTACAGGGTTCTGATTACAAATGTCTTCGTAGCATTGCATGTGTTTGGTTGAGCCACTGTGTGAGCAATTTTGAGATCAGGTGAAGGGTACTAGGCCAGACAAGCAAATCAATTGATGAGGTTGTGAACCTTAGTTGACAGAAGTGCTTTGGACATGTACTGCGCATGCCGAGCCACTACCTACCTCGACGTCCTATGCGAGGGAAATTCGGATTGTGTTGGAAGAGAGAGAGACCAAGACATAGCACCAGTCGATAAAGTCCCTAACTGCTGGTCTGAGTCGTGTGAGATGCAGACTACCTGTTTGGGGTCCCCGGGACGGAAGGAATCTGTAGTTGAGGACTGACTCATGGTAACACGGCTGAAAACCGGTCACAATTCCACAGATGTATTCACTCCTTGACATCTTCCAAAGCTTCAATATTTGAGCTAACCGTTATTTTCAAACTGTTTATTCTCTCACACGACTTTATCTATTTTGATTTCACTCTTTCTCTATCCACTGGTTCTTTGTACACCACAGTGAAGGGTGGTAACTTGAAGTGATGTACCTGTGTGCAAGGTTCTACAATGATTTTGTCAGTCAATCACAGGCTCTGAAAGTATTAACAACATCAATGAATCTATTTTAGCAAAACGCCATTATTTCCTATTAAAAATCCAAGTACGCATAGTTCATGAGCCAGAAGTTTGACATTAAAGTTTTTTTTAATACAACTATAAACTAATACCACCGGTACCGGAAGATAGTAGGACTAGGAAGCCTCTTGTGATAAACAAAAGGGAATCAGTTCGACCAACATAGTGTCGTTTGACTTTACAGGGAATGATTCTGTTACAAAAGACTCCTTAGTAGACCTAGAGTACGTAGATGATATATTCTGTTAGATGAAGATGCTGACAGAATGTAGTCTTTTGAACGCCTTAAATAGTAATGTGAAAATGTTTGGAATGTATTTCCCATCACTCGTAATAAATTATTGCTCCACGACTAATCTTCGCCGGGTTTCTAACAATAGGAAATAAAAACTTAAGCGAACAAATTTGTTTTCGACGAATTTATCTTCTGCAACTACTTAATCGCATTTAATTATGGTAAGTGGACATTAAAATGTCAATATTTAGAAGTAGTATTCACCATGGGGGGAACCATTGAAAATCTGGGAGCACTGGACAGATGTTTCGCCCTAGTAGGGGATTCCTCAGCCGTACGCACCCACGACCCGGCTAGGGATCGAACTCATGAAAGTATATGACAACGTGAGTGAATATGAGTTGAAGTCGAGAAATAAAGAATTCGTAACAAAGTGAGCAGATAGTTATCAGTGAGCAAGGGAATGTGAAATTTATAACTGAGCTAAACGAAAATTGTCTACATAATAACAATATGAAAATCAAAAATTAGTCTTAACAAATGGAAAGTTGAAAAAGTAAAAAGTGAGTAGGGATAGGGAATGGCAAAGTCGCTGCTGGATACGCAACCCCGATTCCCACTGTTGAATTGCCACAGCTTCAGCTATACAAATTCAACGTTATCTAACTCTTCAAAAGATTACTTTTTACTTTGTATAGTAGTACAAACGAATCTCCTGGAACTGTATTCGTTTTCAAGTAAATTTCGTAATATGCAGATTTTGATTGATCTGTACTAAGCTTTACTGAGATATGCCGAAAGATATTGGCATCTGTCCCTTAGTACGGCTTATGTACCCAGCTCCACAGGAGCAAGTGAGTTGATATATACTCATCCAAGTGGCTGGCAGTGACACAATCCTTCGCACACATGTTCACCATTAAGCAACTAGTATAGGTGATTAGCGGAGTAGCGGCAGAGATTGTTCTTTTAATAGCCTTTATTAGTCTACGTTTTAGTACCTAATCTGTCGTATGCTTATTGAATTTCAAGTTCAAAATTAGCTTTTTCTTCACCACAGTGATAAGAGATAAGTGCATAGCATTTTGATGTAGATTTTTACCTATGAATCTTTTTGGGTCTCAATTCGCGATGAACGTCGATCTTAGAAGTTGAATTTCGTCTTCTAGTGTCGTAGTTCGAGAGGAAAGAGAATTGATTAAATTTCTTTTCCAGCTAATAGGAACCCAGCTGTGAAAGTTTGTCATTTGTTCATTCCATATAATTTTTCCATCTCTATTGTAAGGTTGATGGAGGAGTGACATTCATTGAACAACTGAGATAATTCCTCTAAGTCCCATTTATGGTTCCAAACAATGGATGTATCATCAATATATCTCCCATATAATTTAAACTGCCTAATAACTGGATTGAGTATGACTGCTTCCATTTTGGCCATAAATATATCTGCTAAAAGTGGATCCAATGGTGACCCCACTGCCACCCTCTTTGTTGGTAGGTGTTATTAAAACTGAACTGTACTTTAAATGTAGATTCTAAGAATAGTTCTTTCAGATATCTTGTCGGTATACCGCTGTTAGGTGCATTTGAGTCAATGTAGTCATATATAAAATAAACTGTTTTAATTAGTGGAACATTTGTGAATAATGAAGTAACATCAAATGATAACACAACATAATCCGAAACGTTTGTTTTACATATGGCATCGATAAACTCGAATGTATTTCGTAGAGAATAGTTAAAAACGTGTCTTTTGATGGGTTTTAGAAGTTGAGATAACCATTCGACAATTGAATGATAAAGTGAACTAGATATATATAGCCAAGATTCGACGTAACGGTAAGCCAGGTTAACGAGTTTAAGGTACTCTGCAGAGATGGATATTTGACCTGCAAGGTCTTAATCTTTCATATAGCTCCAAACTGATGACTAATTCACTTTCTTTTCTTTTCAGAATTCCAGTCAGTTGACGTCTAACTATCTCTGTTCTCTTTTCACTTGTTGATCTGGAAACCTGCTTTCATCTGAAAGAGGTTTAACTATTTTCTGAAGATAATTTTTTCAGTCTACCAAGATAATACCACCACCTTTATCAATCATCAAGATGATTTCGTTGTTATGCTTCAATTCTTTCAGTTGGTTGATATAATTTTTAGCTAGATGACTACTTTTTGGTCGGGGGGGGGGTTAAGAATGGATGAGAACAATTAATTAGTGGGGATTCAATATGTTCTACATGTTCACTGAAGTCGTTTTTCTTTTATAACTTCAATAGGAATATTTAAACAATGGTGAATGAATTGGATGAGTCTGTTGAAAACTTCACTTACATGAGAAGTCACGTCAGTCCTGGTGGGTGTGATCAACGAAATATCGGCATAGATATAAAAGATTTTCTTGGCCTTTGCCAACTTAAGAAATTCATTTTGCGACTGAGTACTTGGAGTCCTAGCACAACCTATTGTTCAGAGTTACATCAACGTTACTTCAGAACTTGAAGACCATATTTACACGCATCATCTTAATACAGTAAGTATAATGATCACGATAAGATGAAAAGACGGCTCAAACAATATGATCAACTGGTTTCTGAGATTGACTTAAAACGTCACCCAAGCAATAGCCGAAATAAAAAAATTGAGTTACGAAAGTAATTTTCTTCCATAAAATAGAGGGAACTAATTTTGGTTACCTCAGTAGTTGATAGGGTGTTTTTTAAAGTCACTCGATTTTTAATGTTCATTCTAGTTTTTCTGAGCTTCGAAATTTTATCATGGATGCTTCATTATGAAGTCTGGTGGGAGCCTCAGCACCAACCTCATTGAGAAGCATACTAGGTAGCGTTTTTATTGACTTTGAATGTTATCCAATTATAAGTTGGGGAAGAGATTTTTTTGAGTGACTTCGAAGGCTGCCCTAACTAGTTGTATTTCTCTATGAAAAACTAACTTCCCAGCGAAAATACCAAAACCTGATTGATTATTCCCGCACTTGCATGGATTGCCTTTAAAGGTACTAGGTTTTTTTTGCCCTCAGTTGTTACAAAACCTGGAATGAAATGTACATGACAAAATATTAAAGCTAGAAGAAAACCGAACACCACTATCATCCTTAACTAAAACTACATATCTTTATCAATATTTCAACTGATTTTCGTGTTTAACACAGATATAGACTATTACATTTAATGAATGAACAAATCATTTCAACAAGCCATTATGTTATGGATAAAGAGACATACAAAATTCCTAAATCATGTGATGAATACACCTGCTATACGAATAAAATACGCATACACATAAACATAGTAACCACATGACGCTTACACATCACACATTTCCAATTAATTTAAAAACGTTTGTTTTATCGGAAATATAACAAAATTAGGAAGTTTTGTATTGTATTGATATTTCTCTCTATATGTATATTATATATATATATATATATATATATATATATATATATATATATATATATATATATATATATATATATACCTTAGGCCTAAGGAATTCCGATTTAGATATAAAATGAATGAGGTAGTAACTGTTGACATCAATCTAGTAACAGAATACTGTAGTCTATTTAGTAGATGCTAATGGAATCTACGGTGCGCCTTTCATCCTATTTGTACCTCCACCTCAGTAAACGATCGTGTTCCCATTGAGACTCGAACCCAGTACCAAATTGCTTCAACCTCCCGCCCCCAAACTGTTACCCACTAAATCACTGATAGTCAACATCAATTAAGCGAATCTGTTGATTACTCTGACTTATTCTAGAACAAATCATGCATACATACATTTTAGATAATGTGTTTAAGCTGAAATAAAGCAACAGAAACAAACTATTGAAGGCAGATTTACTAAAAGGAGGGAGCAGATGACTGACTTGACAACCGATAATACACAATGCTGATGGATATAATAAAGTGGTTTGTTGCAATAAACATAACAATGAAAAGTAACTTCACCTCATAAAGCTATGAACCACAGCTAACTTTTAAGCGTTTATGACACTACCTCGAATGCACAGATAAAAGTGCAAGGTACAGTGATTTTAATCCAATATCAACTGCCTGAAATTAGAGTGCTTAAGCTAATGAGCCACATATCCTTCCAATTAGATGAACTTTGATAATCCTGCGCCTAGCTGGGACAGGATTCAAGCAAGTGTTTACTCTCTGAATCTTATGAAAAGAAATTATATAATGATAGCTTCAATTTTGCTATAGCAACCGTTATTGAGTTGATATAATGCAATTTTCGGTAAAATGAAGTTATTGGATTGGAAACAATTCAATCAATGTAAAATGACTGGAAACAGATGAAGTGTATCCAGTCATTTTTGAAATGTCAGCCAGTACTAACCACTTAGATAGAATCACACAACTCAGACCTAAAATAACTGTCTGTCGGTCGAAATCGCTAATCTTTATGTAAGCACACCAAAGGGAAATCAACAACAACAACAGTGGGAATAGATTGGTTTCAACGGTGGTAAGCAACTAGAAGTAAGAATGTAAAAAAGGTAAATGGGGATACTGAATATTAACTTTTGTAAAACACACAAGTGCATCAATGCAAGTGGCTCCACTTCACAGCAGCATGCAAAGAACAAGTGGGCAGAAAAGAGTTACAGCAAAGTAGACAAAATTGTATGTGAGGAGAGAGGATTTCTAAAAAGATGAAGCTTAGTCAAAGTATTTAAACTTTTGTGACTGATTTTCAACCCTGTCACAATGTTTCTAATCGGTGATTTCTAATGCTTCAAGGATTCCAACAAGGGAGTTTACAACTCCTTACATGACTCAGGCCGATAGTCTAAGACTTCATCGACCCGAAATAGAAATGTACTCAGTAACCACGTGCACATCCATAAAGTAGGCAATCAGCCACACCTATTGTGTGAAGTTTAATGCTATTACCCGGGTTTCCAGACCCTGCTCGGTGGAGTGGGCCTGGAACCTGTGACCCATTGGTTGAAAGTTAACTGCCTAAACCAATGAGCTATGGATTACGACTAGGGCTAGATCTTGGTCTAGTCACCTTGGGCTTCTTTGAACCTAATTTTACCTCGGCCAACATTGCACGTCGAGGTAGGCAGTTGGTCGGCAAGCCCAACACATGTCCAAACCGCCTCAGTCGATGAAGTTCCACAACCTTATCGACTGACTTACCTGTCTTGCCAAATAGCCTAAACTAGACATCGCTCACACGGCGATTCTACCGTAAGTCAGAAATGCTGTGAAGATATATATGGTCAAAAAACTGCATTCTCCTAATAGCTTCTACTTTCAACGGCCATTTCACAACCGTGTGATAGGTTAGAGAGAACTGCAGAGCAGTAAACTCGTCTTTTAATACCGACATCAATACAGTGGAGTGAACAGCTGATTCTTAAGAACTCTACATACTTTACTACATCAACAGCAAGTAGTGTAACCCCCAAAAATATTGAGGATTCGATGAGTAGATGGTGCGTGGAGTAACTATTTATCATCTACAACGAGAAAGTTCGATGACGTTTCATCTTTTACAAACTCTTCAACATCCTCATATTACTACCCACCTTCAGAGTGATGATGAGGTGTATACAATATAGAACTTAGGAACTGTAGTGAAACATAATTTGACGTCAGTTTACTTGTTAGACTCATCACTATTACTATTATAACACGGTAGTAACATTATTTCTCGTTTGGTTTTTATACTTCATGAGTCGATTAAGTTATCCGAACACATAAAACTTGTTATATCATGATTGATAGACAATATTAAAACATAGAATCTTGAGAAACGCTAGATTAAAGCTATGTATGAAATGATAAAAGGTGAAGGGATTAAATCTATGAAGGTCAAATGAAGAGTAAAGCATACGCTTTTGCTAGCCTGTTGAGAAATTAAAAAAAATATTGTCTATGCCAGTACAAATAACCTTCGAGATAATCATCGATATTCAATGACTTCTCTGGCACGTTAGTCACTTATTGTTATTTCTTGATATTTCAGCTATATTTTAGTTACTATCACCTTTCAATTCAGTTCAGATAATTTGCTTTCATAACAATCATACACTCAAAAAATTTTACAGCAGGAGTGATTCTTATGTTCCAAGGTGTATAAACCGATTAGGAAGAGTGGTCGGAAAAAGCTTTGATTTACATTGTATACTGTAAAAGATTCTGACTCAATGTTAACATGTTGACCGCGGAATCTGAAGGTCCTGGGTTCGAGCCCTGGTAAGATCATGGGTGAGCACCGCTGAGGAGTCCCATACTACGACGAAACAGATGTTCAGTGCTACCAGGTTTCCAATGTACTCCTAACTGATGTCAGTCCATGATGAATTTTAAGCTAAAATCATTTAATAAATCTCCACAAACGTCCAGATAGAAAAAAAAACTAGCTGACACACTTTAAGTTGATTGGCAGGATGCAGTTTATTGATTTACTTTAATTCAACAATCTTGATGAAACTTACAGCAGTAAGTGATGGTGATATGGGTTGTTCTTCTTCTTCTTCTTCTTGTTGACGTTCATCAGTAGTTGGTGTAACCGACATTTCAGATTCATAATTATCATTTTCATCAATATCTTTACTAGTCGGTGTGCAAACATCTTGCTTTTCAATGTTTATATCCACCTTTGATGTAGTACTATTTTCCTTTGTTGAAAACTCCGTTGCTTCTGTATTTACGGTGGTAGAAAGTGTTACTGATGTGCTAGCACCAGTGCTAGGGCTGATGGTGGTAGTGTTCGTGGTGGTGGTGGTTATACCAGTGTTTACAGTTGACACATGAACTGTAAGCATATCTTTCACCTCATTTTCATCTGATGAATATATTGGTGATGATAAGGATATCTGTTGTCCAGTAGTTGATTTCTTTTTAATCAATAAATGACGTAATATGTCAACTAATATCTTTATCAATGGCAATAAGCCTAAACGATAAAATACTAAAATGTAGATAGATGGTGATTTATGCAACAAACGAAGGCTTAATTCCAATGCACGTAAAATTAATTCTTCTCGTTCCTGCAGGGAATTGAAAGTAAGAAACAGTATTGAAGAAGAAGGTTTAGAAAGAATAACTGTATAGTTCATTAAATGTATAATTAACAATATGATTTTGAAATCTCATCATAAAATCATACTCTTTTTTTGACTGAATCATATTAGGAGCCATTTGGTTAGATTTAAAACAGTGGAGAATATTTTTTAAAAAGTTCCTTACTTTATTCTAGTTCATATGCATAAGCGGGAGCTACTCAAAACGATATAATGTTCAAATGCACATACTACTACTGAAGGAAACAAGAAGACTTAGACGCAGGAAGGAATGTTTATTGTTGATATCTTGTACCGTAGTCATCAAATATTGTACACCTTGCACTAAGACAGTCATTCGCATAATGAGCTTCGTTTCCTTTTCTGCTATCTTGATTTGCTCTTAATACGTCCACGTTGTCTTTTGCGTTTCTCTAGTCAGAATTTCTACCCATTCCTGGTAACTCCCTATGATTTATGTCGCCCTTTCAACATATACTACTTATATCTATCCTGATCAGCAACGCCCACAACACTACTACTACTACTACTACCACTGCTATGCATATAACTACTCAAATACATAAACTCTTAGGCTAACATTAAGATATCCTTGTAAATTAAAAACAAAGCAAAAAAAGATTATGACAAACTTCAATAGAGGCGTTCATATTTTGGACTGAACTAGGGAGTGAACGTTAAAACAGTAGAAAATAGTCGTCAGGGAAATAAGCGCAGTGTTATACAGTGTAAGATCACCGTTTGCATCGCCAACACATGAATTATTTTCAACGATTGATTTAACAGGTACTTTTTCATGGACAGCTATTTCCGAAAAATTAATCAAAAGCAAAAATCAGTCAGAAAACCGAAACTCAGATGATCATAGGCATCCATGGACAATCGGAACACCTTGGCTATTTATTTTACAACAGGTCAATTCTTCATAATGGATATGGATTAGTATTGATAACCCTACAGATTTGGGCATATACTATCAGTGTTTACGCAAAGAGATTAAAGTTGTTTACACACTATTCTTATTCAGCGGTTTCGAACTAGAAAAATTTAGTAAATAGACTTTTTGACTAGTTTTCTCACAATGGATAGGTAGTATAGTTAGGAAGACTGGTCACCTTACTGTTCTTACACTTCAAATAAGCCAGAAGTATGACTTATCCCCGAGACCTGTGATCTTTCTTCAATCTTCTCCCCAAAAGTTATGCAGTTGTACAATGCTATCACGGATTATTAAACGACAACTTCAGCCAGTTAGAACTACACATCGAATTAAAAATTTATGAACCCCTCTGATTACATTTGAAATAATTATTTCTATCATTGACGCTTAAGTATGATTAAAATTAAGGAAAAACCAAGAAAAGTAAGATAATATAGAACCTACTTCAATTAAAATAGTATAAATCATTTGTGTTAATGAGAAGGCGAATGGAACTGATTGATTCTCCTTTAAACTAATTGTTTCCAAGTGATCAGGAAGCATATAGTGAATCATACGCCAGACTAAAAGTGTACACTGATGTCTATTGCAGAAAAAAAAAGTATATGTAAAGAAATCCAGTTTGAAATCACACTTGAAGGTAGTTGAAAAGTGAATAAATTCAAAACATTTGAATACACATATACACTGGGTGATGACTGAAGGTGAAATAAAAAATTTAGACAGCGGACGGAAACTCGGTGATCGATGGTTCAAATCCGGCGGCGGTTCAAATTTTCATTTCATCTTCAGTTATCACCCAGTATAAATACTAGTCTGCAAAACCACGGCTATCTCAAAGAGCTAAAATGATATATATATATATATATATATATATATATATATATATATATGCTGCATGCTGATAAGTACTTTCCATGATACTAAAAAGGCACTGTTAATCTTAGTGGGGGACTATGTGAAATTGATATGCATCAAGTATTATGATGACCAGCTGGTAACAGGTTCAAAAACCAAATTCAGTCTACTAGTAGATGCTTAGCAACAGGTCGAAAATTATACAGACAGTGATACTGAACATTGCAGGGTTCGATGTCTCAAAGGAAATAAAGTTACTAGGAAGTCAAGTATAGGCTTTGCTGAGATTCTTACCAGCCTAATGTCATAAATGCAGAGGTGCTAATGCACGTATAAATCTAAAACTTACTGTTACACCTAAGTTACTGAACAACTAGATAGCAATCACAAGGCATAAAAGTACATCAATTCAAATTACTACACTTCATAGTAGCATACAAAGAACGAATGGATCGAAAAAGTTACAGTAAAGTAGACAAGTGTATGCGAAGAGTAAGAATTTTAAAAGATGAAGGTTAGTCAAAATATTCAGACTTTTGAAATTGTGAAAGAGTGAATACAACTGGGCCACTGTGACCGAGTTTTAACTAATTTACCAAGAGTCTCTAGTCATTGATTCCCGTAGTTTTAAGGATTCCAACCAGAAAGTCTACACATCTCTACACCGATCAGACTGACAGTCAGAGATTTCATCGACTGGTCACTTAGCCTTTTTCCAACTTAATTTTACTTTGACTAGCATTCCATATCGAGGTAAGCGATTCTATGGTATGCGTAACACATGTCCTAGTCACTTCAGTCAGTGAAGGTTCACAACCTCATCAGAAAAATATAGCACTAAAACTATGTCCAGTTCTCAAGTCAAATGATAACCTAAGTGATGCCTGAAAAATTAACGAAACGACCAGAATACCACCTTCTTTATTCTTATATACACGCGATAATTTGCATGGATTACACTTTACATAGATAGACCTTTAAGGACTGTACCTATAAATATATTCCACTATACAAAAGTCCATCTTTTTAAGCTACCATTGTTTCCTTCAATTCAAAATAGCATTTATTTGATAAATTTCAGAAAGAAAAACGCACACATGAAACATTGTATTAACGAGTATAAACAATAATCATAACAATAAATACATAAGAAGTTACCTTACAGATGAAGATGTACTTTCTTTAAATAAACCAACCAATAATGGAAGAAGTTGATTTACAAATATACGTTGAGCTTCAGCCGGATCACTACTATCTCGTTTATCAACATCGTCATGTGCATTAGCTGATGAAGTTAATGATGATGAGGCAGTGGTCTGTTTGCCGTCAGATTTATCTAATTTCGACGATAGACCTCTTAAACTTGTTCCTAGAAAAAGAGTAAAAAAATTACGAATGAATACTTAGACATTTTAATGAGGAATTTTTTTTTCTCATGATTAAAGTAGTGCACTTATAAATAAGCCATGAGGTTGAGTGTTTTAGAATTCAAATATTCTGACTCTTTGAATTCAACTATCCATAACCGAACGATTCAATGTCAATTTGATTGATGGTGACAGTGTAATTAAGGATATGCGTTTCGTCTTGTTTGGAACTAGTTAGCTGGATGAGATTGTAACGCAGTGAGTGACAGAGTTTTCACTGAAACGAAAACTTAGCACATATTGCTTTCATCCACTAAACTAATGAGTCACAAAAATCACTTTTCATTCATTCATACTTGTAATTAACGTCGACCGAGAGGTAATTTGGAAACTGCTTCATTACTACGGAGTACCGCAAACCTTTATCAGCCTCATTCAACAACTATATGAAGATGCCACATGCCAGCCAAGTAATTCACAATGGGAAGCTCAGTGATGCTTTTGAAGTGAAGACAGGAGTAAAACAAGGTTGTCACCTACTATCACCTATGATATTCCTGATTGTGGTCGACTGGATCATGCAGCAAACAGTGAGGAGCGAGAAGAGAGTGGTGCGCTGGCTGGATCACGAAAAGAACCTAGAAGATCTGGATTTCGCCGATGACTTGTGCCTGATGTCACACAAACTTGAAGACCTACAGGCAAAAACTAACAAGTTGGCAGAAGAGGCAGGGCAGCAAAGACGGGACTTCAGGTGAATATAGAGAAGACAGAAGTGATGAAGATACCCCACCAATAACAACAACAAACTCCAGTCACCATCAACGGGAGAAACTTAAAGGAAGTAACCTCCACCTATCTAGGCTGCACTGTTTCAACTACAGGTGGCGGCACAGACGAGGATGTCAAAGTCAGAATCGGAAAAGCAAGACAGGCATTTATTAGCCTGAAACCAGTGTGGAGATATTCTGCACTCTGCTCACCATGCGGAACAAGATACGGATTTTCAACACCAACTCAGTCAAGTCAGTGCTTCTATATCGTTCAGAGACTTGGCGCGTCACGAAAGGGATTTCCAACAGACTACAGACATTCATCAACAACTGCATACGCTCTCTACTGAAGCACAGGTGGATTGCCAGAATAATCAGAATAAGCAACAAGGAGCTCTGGGAACGAACCAACCAAGAACCTATCACTCAACAAATATGCAGTGGAAAGAAGTGGAGATGGATTGGGCATGCACTGAGAAGGTTGACTGGGGACATCACGCGTCAGGCCAGTTGCTCGAGTGGAATCGCCATGGAAAGCGACGAGTTGGACGTCCGATGGTGACATGGAGGAGATGGTGCGAGGAGGAAATGAGAGCTTGTAGGTTGTCGTGGAGCCAGGTTCAAAAGATTCCGGCGAACAGAGTTCACTGGAGACGTGCTAATGAAGCCCTATGTTCCATTAGGAACCCAAGGGACTAATAATAATAATAATAATACTTGTAATTTCTGGTTGATTACACTGGACTGATGTTGTTTGATACATGTAATCTCCCGCTGGTATACTGCATCAAATTGCGCTACTCCTACTGACAGATGAGGCCTTATGCGGATGCTTCGACACAGCCTTACTACTCATCATGTGGCTCTTGTGCCCCAGCGATCTGTTGAATAGTGCTTTGGTGTTTGAGGTGATGAACACTGGGTTCCTAAGTGATCTAGTGGATCAACTATTCACAAAAGGCATGTTTAAAGAGCCTAATTTGGGATTTCAGGAATGTTCAGACTTTCTCTTTCTCAACAATTTTTAGATCAAGTTTTGTAGTATTTTCTAGTGGTAAATATGCAATTGAATTTTGAGTAATCTTAAAATTTCCCTTTAAAATGATTAAGTATTCATTACGCCTTATTCTCTCACCATTTTTGTAAAACAATTTAAAAATAAACTTCCAAAGTGAGAAACAAAGGAAACAATCCCGATAACAAACTAGAGTAGTGAACATATAATAGTATTTGTTGTAGAAAAGAATGTTGAGATGATGAAGACAAGATATTTGGCTCATTTTTATCATTACAGTGCTACATTTTCCAAGCTAAATGGATAAATCCTGACAACAACGTGGTCTACCTGACGGCTAGGCAGTGGAATCCAGAACGAGCGTTTCGTCCTATTTGAGACTCGTTAGCTGGATGCACCTGCATCCCAGTGAGTGATGTTGTCCCCACTGGGACTAGAACCCATTACCCATCTCTTTAAACATCAAAGAGTCATCGACTAGGTCAATGAGACGCAGGCGCCATCACTTGTGCAGAAGGCAGTATCGAGGCATCTGTATCAGAGTTCATCTGTCAATAGAGGTGGAGTGATTCGACCCAGTACAGCAACGTGAAATTACAAGTATCAATCAACAACAATCGTTAACAACACCGTTGCAACAAAACTCATCGAGTCAGCATTGAATACACATAAGAGAAATTGACGTAACCCCCCAGTTAGCATATGTCAAAAATTTTATTAGCATTGAAGTCAACGAATGATGAATGATGAAACTACCTCGCGTTGAAAGTTGTGTGATTACCCTGATTATGGAGCAATAAATTGTGCTGGAAACGTTGTCTAGCGAAAAACATCGAGTAAACTTATTTGTTTATTTATTATTATTGTATGGTAGTAATAATAACGAAGTATGAAAATTGAGTACGCGAGAGGTAATATGAACTGAACCATAGGATAATCAAATAACTGGCTAAAGAAACAAGAAACTAGCCAACACTGCACAACAAATCAGTTGGTTTCTGCCATTACACAAAATTCACACCAGCATTTCAAACCCGGCTATATAAGTTAGATGACAATATTACCATCCAAATGAGCTGAAAAAAGATATAACAGCTAACAGTATATCAAATACATTGAAAGATGAAATCTTGAATTCTGATAAAGTATCATACTGATCCTTAAATAGCGCAAATGTAAACTAGGCAGCGCCTTTCTATCGACAGTACAAGCATCACAGATGTTGAATTTGAAAGTCATTTTAGACAAATGAAACATCATTATAAAAAAGAAAAGAAAAAATTCCCATATTATGTTTGGAAGGGGATAACTAAAGACAAATTAAAGACAAGTTTTCCAAACATGGTCACTAGACTACAGTCAACAAGACAGTGGGCCTTCATGTCATTTTTCTATTTAGGTTAGCGTAGCAGTATAGTATGTGCTTTCAACAACTAAGTATAAAGTACTTTTGCAAGATTGGCATTAGCTTGTGCTTGCGTCCACCCTCACTGGTGAGCCGTTGGAAGTTGTCGAAAAGTTCGTATATCTGAGTGGTTGTGTGTGATGAAATTTCTAACCGCATATCAAAAGCCAGAATGGCAAACGTCAATCTGAAGCACCTTTGGTGCCGTCGACATGTTAGTGTGATCGTAAAGGGTCAGGTTTACAACGCTTCGCTGCGAGTAGTTCTGCCCTACGTCTATGAAACCTGGTCTTTCCTAGCTGAGGACGTGAGACGACTCTATGTATCCGATCATCATTCGTAGGATTGCTCACATCTGGTGGCGACACCATGTAAGTAATTCTGAGGTACGACAGCATATGTTTTGGCATGATGGGGATTATCATTTCATGGGTGAGGTCACCACGAAATACCGGCTTCAATGACTTGAATATGTGTAGCGCATGTCATCTCAACGGCTTCCATACCGTTCATTGGTCATTAACCCTGGAAGTGGATGAAAGAAGAGGAAGGGTGGTCAGTGAATGACGTCGCCGTGGGACGAAGAATGATTGTATAGGGTAAGCATCTGTTGCTCCATCACGACTCCCCGGGTAGGGTCCGAGAGATCATACAACTCAGTGCCTTCAGACATTATCAGATATGGCTAAGAATCGGAACCAGTGGCGGTTATGCTGTAGCTCTCTTCTATCTTCTGCTGCTGAAAAGTAATGAATCCTTTGTTTTGAATGTATCTTACTGAACTGGTCTTCCAATCAGGCTATTCTTATTGTTTTTCTTTCTTACTTATCCGCTCCGCATCCTTCGTGTTTTCACATTGTTATTATACTATTTTGTGTCGCGCATTTCTTGGTTATCTTGCTGTACCATGTTTATGTTCTAATAATAATAATAACAGTTAAGAAAGTTAAACTCTAGATCATAAGCGCGTTTCATAAATATTAAACTGACCTGTAAGTAGCTACAGCAGTTTACATAATGATGTCTAGCTGTCCCACGAGATAGTACCTAATCTGCTGTAGGCTTAGGTATGCATCTTTTAAGTCACAAATTCATCATACCTTTTATAAAATGAACCGTGTTTAGTCATATCAAACAGTCAACAACAATATTCAGGTAATTATAAAGTGTAAATGAACAATCCCTTAAAGTAGCTTACTTTTTAACTCTGATTCTAGCATTTCAATAACCTGATGTGAACCAGGATAATCTGGATGTTCACGTGCTCGATCCACAGGTCTCCTACCTTGTGCATCTCGTTTGTTAATATCAGCGCCCCAATTAAGCAGTGTTCGGCATACATCGACACGTCCAAAAGAAGCTGCATAGTCTAATGGACTACGAACACCTAAATTAACATTTGCACCATGTGTACATAAGAGTTCAACCATAGCTGGTGATCCAAATGATGCAGCCCAGTTTAATAAAGTCTGTCCCAAATTATCCATATAATTTACATCAATTTTACCCGACTTTAGGCTGCATTTCATAAAATCTGATGAGTTGAAGAAAAAAAATTGTGGTTTTCAATCATTCAACAAATTCAACAACAACAAAATTTCCTCCTACAATTGACTGAAACATTTTTTTTTGAACTACCAGGAATCTCTCTTCACAAAAAAACATTCTGAGTAAATGAATCGACGTCTACTTGAGCACATAAAAAATATCCAGAAAATAAGCTGGCTATAACCATGAAAAATTAAGTAAACAAGAATAACTAACCTCGGACATAATATTTTCTTAAAATATTGAGGAAAATCAACTGTGAAACCAGCACACTAATCAACAACTAAAAATGAATCTAAACATTTGTAAGTTAATTATTCAGTAACGTATTATCTTCTACTATACAACGCTAATTTATCAAATTTGATAGCTAGCAATGAGTTTCGACATAAACCCTATACAAACTGTTATATACTAGTAGTCACTTGATATAACCTAAGATATATATATACCTCAACTTCATCGACTTTGAGAAGGACTTTGACAGCGTCGACCGAGAGGTAATTTGGAAACTGCTTCAATACTACGGAATACCACAAACTTTTATCAGCCTCATTCAACAACTATATGAAGACGCCACATGCCATGTAATTCATAATAGGAAGCTCAGTGATGCTTTTAAAGTGAAGACAGGAGTGAAACAAGGCTGTCTACTATCACCCATGATATACCTGATTGTAGTGGACTGAATCATGCAACAAACAGTGAGGAGCGAAAAGAGGAGGATACGCTGGACCGCGGAGAAGAATCTAGAAGATCTAGATTTCGCCGAGACAGCGAAGACAGGACTTCAAGTGAACATAGAGAAGACAGAGGTGATGATGATAGCCAAACAACGCCACCACCACCAACAACAACAACAAGCTCCATTCACCGTAAACAGGAGAAACTTAAAGGAAGTAACCTCCACCTATCTAGGCTGCACTGTTTCAACTACAGGTGGCGGCACAGACGAGGATTTCAAAGCAGCCAGGATCGGAAAAGCAAGATAGGCATTCATTAGCCTGAAACCAGTGTGCAGATCTTCTGCACTCAGCATAAAGCATCAACAAGATCCGGATTTTCAACACCAACGTCGATCAAGTCAGTGCTTCTGTATGGTTCAGAGACCTAGCGCGTTACGAAAAGCATTTCCAACAAACTACAGACACTCATCAACAACTGCCCACACTGGCTCGTTACTGAAGATCAGATGGCCAGAATAATAATAATAATAATAATAAACAAGGAACTCTGGCTGGCTGGTAACGAGCCAACCAAGAGCCTATCACTCAACAAATATGAAGTGGAAGTGGAGATGGATTGGGACTGAGAACACTATTCGGGGACATCACGCGTCAGGCCAGGCCGCCGAGTGGAACCCAGATGGGAAGCGACCAGTTGGGTGTCCGAGGCAAGGGTGACATGGAGGAGATCGTGTGAGGAGGAAATGAAAGCTTGTGGGCTGTCGTGGAGCCAGGTTCAAAAGATTTCAGAGAACAGAGTGCACTGGAGACGTGCTACTGAAGCCCTATGTTCCATTAGGAACCCAAGGGACAAATAATATATATATGATAATGGATGGTTTGAAAACAACCTTCAGATTCCACCCTTGATGGTCACTCAGTTCCTTGGTAAATGGAAAATGCGGTAATATAACAGAAGATATATGGTCACGATTTTAAAAAAGTATACAAAATACAATGATTCATATATACTTCCAATGGCCTTGACTATTTCTAGGCCTTTCTAGAGAAATATATCCTGTTGATTTTTATTACTTTAACCAATCTGGTATTTACACATTGGTTCACGTGCTTTCCCCTGAAAATGCAAAGCAAAACGTTTAGTCGTAAAACATCTCAGGAATTTAATGCTTTTTAAGTGAATCTGGGCAATCTTAATGTATACAATAACACAGATTATATTTCTTTGGTTGAAAAAGGACTCAACATTGGGAAATATCTAGGGAAATTGTATACCCTTTAAATATTTTTCGAGCAGTGTTACTCTTAGCTTGCTAACGATTAAATAAAGAGGTAAATTGTGTGAAAAACCTGCAAGCTATCCTCAAATAATAAAATCCATTATAAATTTCACTAGCTTTCATTCAACAGAAGAAGTTACCAAGCTAAGAGATGAGAAATTAGAAAAGATTAACACCCTTTTAAGTGAGTTGCAATAGCTCACATCATAGGAGCAGTTGATTTTCACCCTCAGTATTATGACATATGATTCGAAACGTACCGTTATCAAAACTGTTACAGCAATCACTCTAAGTAGATAATAATAAATGGTAACATGTTCGCCGCGAAATTTGTAGGTCTTGGATACAGTCTTTAACTGTACTGTGGGTGAGCACTGGTAAGGATTCCCATACTAGGATGAAACAGCTTCCCAGTGCTCCCATGCTTTTAATGGTTTCCCCAACTGATTTCAGTCTATGATGAGTACCACCCTAGAATTAATGAAATAACCAGAAACCTCCAAACTGAAATAAGTGTAACATAAAACTAAAATCATTTTTTGAATATGAATAATAATCTCTCTTGTCATACCTAAATCTTGTCGTTTTATAGCTTCGATAAAATGACGATGCACAGCGTCTCCTTCCCAAGAATGCTGAGGTTCTAGTGGAGATGTACTAGTACGATCAGCTTCTGTAGTATTCTGTGAATTTTCTGCATGTTCAATAATTGATACAGAAGTTTGGAATTCAGTTTGCTTAGATGATTGACATTGTTCTGTTTCACAGATATCATGTTCAGAAGTTTCGTATATCTCGCTTTTCTTTTCAAGTGAATCATTTGATTTTGATGGAATATTGTGAGTTTGATAGAGTAACACCAATAGAATTTCAATGAGTCGAAGTACACTAATAACAACTAATTCATCATTACTACGTTGAACAACCATTGCTAAAGTCATTGCAAACTGACCATCACTAGTCAAAAGTTTGTGTGTTATACTCAACGAATTGCAGCAAAGTGAAGTCAAAATATTAGTCACTGCATGAACTGTAACTGGATTACTTTCAGATATAAGTGATAGACCATCACGACCACCTCCAGATGTATCTGTTGGTATATCTAAAGTGAAAATGTGAAAATAAAAGTAGGCCGTTTACAAATGAACACAAAAATATCCTCAACTAGTATAATATGTAAAAAATTATGATGTTAACAAAAGAAAGAAGCATTACAATGACCTCAGATAGCATGATAGCATAGTAAATATATCTTAGGTCCAGTAAAAAAACATAAAAACTTATGTTCAGCTGAGGTATTTCAAGCTATGAATTCCCGAAGATGAAAAGTAATAAGTAGCTCTTCTTTCACATTTACGGCTCCTTGAGCACTGTGCATAGATGAATCTATGAACTTCTGGTCTCTTAATGAGTATACTGCTCTTGAGATACCACTTTATAATCCAGATCAGGTTTCAGTATATATGTAAGGTCAACAAACTGAATAACTGCTTCTTTAAGATGCAAAATGGAAAGAAAGTTTTCAAAGTGATAATGGAAAACTGTATTATATGTGTCAGCTAGATGATTAGATGACATACAATAACACTGAAGGACAACGGAAGCGTGTCATGAACTAGACCAAACTTTAGAATGTTGATCACTGGATTTTGACCCTATGACTCCGCTGTAATGCTCAAATCTGAACACTTGAAGAGCTTCAACATGACATCAAAGAGCTTCGATTATATATACTAATAAAGAGTCCCAAAATAAGACAAAAAAAAGCCTTTACAACCATCCATTTTTCATATAAGTTTCATTTAATTATACAAACTATCTTTGATTCAAACTACTCACGAATTCTCTTAGACAGCCACAAATTAATTAGGAGTAAGTTGAATCACTTCACTTACTAGAACTAGAGGAATCCATTAATTCACTATCAGTTTCTACACCACCTGCAACACGAAGACGTTGAAGAAGACAGTCAATAATATGAGGATCAGCAAGTGGGCTAGGATCAGTGCCTGTTCGAGTAAAGCGAGTAACCAAATTGGCGAATGCATGTAATGCTTGATCGGCTACACCCGTTTCTCGGCGATCTAAAAGTGAACTCAAAGAATCAATCCAGCTGTTTAAATTCTTGTCTGTTGGATCTGCTCTAGTAAATAATCGTCTGATGATATCCATTCCAGCCTGGAGGACATCAGCATGAAGAAGGTGTGGATAGAGGCGTACGTAACGCAGTACAGAAGTTAATCCTCCAGACGCATATACTGCACCCGGCTCTCGTGTACAAATCAGTTGCAACATCTTAAAGATAATTAAAAAATGGTTAATCAATCAAGAATATATGAAAAGCTTAGTAGTTGAACTTCAAATTAAAGAAACTGTCTACAAGCATACATACACAGCTTTTCAGTCATACGGTGGAATGTAATTTCGCACACAATTATAGCATATCATTTGGAACACTTTCTAACGATACGACTAGGAGTTAAAAGTAGGTAAGATAACTGTATGTAAAGGACCGTCCTGGGCATTAACCTGATACACGCTGATTCTGAAAGCCGGCAACATCACAAGTAAGTTACAAGAACACAAGTCACACGTAATTTCGTCATTCCAAATACAAGTACATTCAAATTAGTGATAATTTCTCACAGATAAATAACTCTAGTAAACTTCTCAACTTTTTAGCTAAATAAACCATAAATGAATCCCAGCAATAGGAACCTATGTTGTACATCAGGAATCAGAAAATAGACTACGATAAGCTGCCTACATATGATTCATTCTCTTTATGGACTTATGGTCAACACAACCAGTGAACTTTCATTATACCGTTATTCATTTCGAAGGTAAGATCAAATGACTTTGAGGATTGATTATCTTTCAATTATTTTTTTCGGATTATCCTTAAATGACTCCCAATTTCTTCATTTAACAAAACAAATACTGTACAATGTTCGTTTACACTGATTAGTTGTAATAAATTTCGACACATATACTTGTAGGTGGTTGGAAAGGTAAGAATCCAAAAGTTTATTCAGCATAATAACTGTGATACAAGTGATTGAATGAACATGAATGACAGATGTTAATTCAGCCCTACACTTCACAGTATGAAAACATCGGTTTTCTAGTGGTCTTAATTTAAGCTATTGAGTTGCTTTGTGATCAGTCATTTCAATTTGTAATACACTTTTCAAAAATAACTATGTTTTGTTTAGTGAAAATATTCTAGTCAGTTAGCTCGTGATTTCACCTTTTAATGTTCACTTAGGGAATGTTCAAAGATTTTCATTATTCAAGATAACCATGCTAAAGAAGCGGACAATGCCAGATAAAAGATTGTGTTTCACACTACTTAGGCAATGCCTATGGCTTTTAACCAGACATTGTAGTGTCTTTCATTTGCACCAATTATCTTAAATCTTGAAAGATCTTACTAGAAGAACTCACCTTTATAATCTGCTGTCCAAGTTCATTACTTTTCGCAGATGTCATATCAACTGTATCCAGCCTAGACGTCATGGCAGTCAATACATTCGGTGAACGCGCAATGCGTGGAGCACAGTCCAAACTGACATCGAGATAATAAGTGAGAGCACGAGCATTCGCCTCCAAAACAGAATCTGGGGATAATTCATCCAAAAATATTTTACACAAAGCAGGTATAAAGAGACGAGGTGGATAGCGCTCAAAGAAAACGTCAACGTTATCAGAGAAGAGGACTTCATTGCATAGTTGCTCCAGGGCAGTAAGCTGCAACTCTCTAAGCTCATCGTTGGCAGATTCCAACCATTCTAAAACAATAGATGGGTCAGCTTCCATAGCATGGAATGAGAGGTAATTCTTAAAAAATCTGTAAATATAGAACACGAAAAATGATGAAATGTAAAAAACCGTAACCAAAATATTTCCAAGTGATCAGTACTCAATTACCTTTTACCCATCCTATCATCGTGATTTGTTACACTTTATCTTTCTCTTCTCGCTACATACCAAGCAGGATTTCCCGAATATCTGGGACTGATGATCGAAGGTAAAACAAATACAGTCGGAAACTCGCGAATCTTGTTATCCTAACTTCTGTGCAGTGTTTCTTCTACCTTATTTACTTTCCGCTTTTCCTCCAGTTCTTTATGTGGAGCGGTGGATCAGTGGTCACGGGTTTGACTCCCGCCCCACCGACCGAGGTCTTGGCAACTGGGTAGGTTCACTAGAACTCGCATAACAAATGCGGCTCATTGCCTGCACAAGGTAGCTGAGTGCGTTTCGTTCGTCGTTTGTTTCTAGTCCTTTATTCATTTCGGCTTGCCACCAAACCATGCTTTCCCTCAGTTTAGAAAAATGAATACTTTGTTTGCCCATTTAACAGGACACGAGGTTGTGAATTTACATCGACTAAGATGACTTAGATACGTAATGTGCAGAGTAGTTAGAAATTTTCCCTGTTCATCTAAACATTTTCTTAATCAGATGAGAATAATTTAAACACAGACTATTTTGCTCATTTGCGATCAGGTCCATCAATAGTACATCTGAATAAACTAGGATCATAGAGGAATTGAACTGTTTAGACTACATGAATTTGGCTAAATGACTAGGAATAACCAGTATAACATAAAATGGACTATTAAAAGGAAACTTATTTACAAATAACATGGCCCTCGTCGATGCTTTTCATGAGTGGCATTTCAACTCGTTAACAACGGTTTCAATAACATTCCGTCAGAAACTACTCAACCTACACCACACATTGTGATTTCTGACACAAAAACAGACAAACAAATCAACATAAGACCTAGCACGGAAGTGTGTTATTTCAAGTTTTCACACTTTACCATGACAGGCAAAGTGAAATCCGATACAAAAAGAATAACATTAGAGTAAATACGTGTATGCAAGGAGATAGAGGCAGATAAAATCAACGTAGAACCTCAGACAGAAGTGCATCGGTTTAATTTAACATACTTCACAGCAGCATGCAAAAAACAAGCGGATAAAAACACTAACGTAAAAGTAGACAAAGGTGTATGGGATGGGATTTGACAATAAAAGTTAGTGAAAATAATCAAGCCGTAGATGTCAAAAAGTAAAAACATCTCTGCTATTGCGATCGATTTTCAGCCATATTACCAAGGTAGGCTTTAGAAGCAGCCGCGGGTGTATCGACCAAATATTTACACTGCACCAGGTTTTGGAACACAGACACCCTTACCCATGCCCGACAATAGTTGTATTTCTTTACCTAAAAGCGGCATTTGACCCCGTTGATCGAGAAGTCTTATGCCAATGTCTCTCACTAAAAGACATACCGAGTAAGCACATCACCTTATTGAAGGCTCTCTGCTCAAACACTTGTGGATGTGTTAGAGCCCACAGTGAGATGTCCGGGGAGCTGAGCTCATTGAGCGGTGTCCGTCAAGGCTGTCCACTATCTATATTCTTATTCAATTTTATTATAGATATTCTAATGGTCTCGTCTCATCACCTGACTACACAGACGTTGACCTAATCACAGTTGAATTTTCGTTAAACCTAGAATATGAAGATAATATAGTCCTGTTAGGTGAAGATACTGACAAGATGCAGAGTCTTCTGAACACTTTGAGTGGGAATTTGAGAATGTTTGGGATGCGTCTGTCACCACTCAAATGTAAATTGTTGCTCGAGGATCGGTCTTAAACGGTGCCCCATCGTGGCTAACAATAGAGAGTGAAGTGACTGAGTGCGTCGACCGCCTCACTTACCTGGGAAGTAGAATCAACCCTGGTGGGTCAGTTGCCGATGAAATCTCTGCACAGATACAAAAGGTTCAGTTGGCTTTCGTCAACTTACGCCACCTGTGGCGCCGCCGTGATATTCGACTGTCCATTAGGGATTGCGTGTACTGCACAGCAGTTCGGTCTGTGAAACAGCCATTGAAGGTGGAAGATATGAGAAGGCTTCATGTGTTTGACCACTGTTGCCTTCGTAGTATAGGCCGTATTCCGTGATGCCACCACCACGTAACGCAGAAGTCAGGAGTAGAGGTAAATCAGTTGATATGCCAGTGAATCTTCATCGACTGAGGTGGTTGGGACATGTGTTACGTATGCCTAGTCTCTCATCGCCTCGTCACACAATGTTGGCCGAAGTAGGTTCAGACTCGAAAAAGATCCGAGGTGACCAGACTAAAACACCACTAAAGTACCAATGTATTAAGTCTTTGACTGTTGGTTTGAGCCATGTGGGGCGGCGGGACAAGAGAAACCAGTAGTTGGAGACTCTAGGTCATGTGGCTCAGAACTGATGTCAGTGGCGCAGATGCATACACGCATTATCTTCATCTTAACGACGCTATACCGAATCTCACCATTTTCCCATTCTTCATTTCTCTCTTTTAGTACTTTATATTTCCTTTGACTGAATTTTCTTTTCTTCGTCTTCCACTTCACTGCCCTCTTACTGATATGATCTATGGCAACTCGGACCATTACGCAGTAATGCCTAGTCCTATGTTGATTTGGATGGATATTACCAATGATCTGCCACCACTGATTTTTATCGTCTCGAAAACTCCGGTCAGGTCGTCCACACGCCCCTACATGGCCCAGACCAACAGCCAAAGGCTTCATAGGCTGGTGCCACGTCTTGGTTTGGCCATCATGCTGGGCCTTCTTTCAACCTAATTTAACTTCGGTTAGCATGTCGAGATCGGCAAGTGTAACATATCCAAGCTATCTCAGTCGCTAAAGGGTCATAACCTCATACACTGATTTACCTCTATTACTTAGTATTTTATGCATATACTCAACGCAGCTTGCATGGTGCTTCGACTAAATTTCAGCAATGTTATGCTTACACTCAAAGTCAAAAACCTGCAACCTATCTTCCACTTTCAATGGCCACGTCACACGACCATAAGGTAAAACAGAGCAGACTCCTGAGCAGTGAATTCATCTTTTAACAGGTAATCGGATATCTCGCCGGCGCCAGAGATGACGCAAGTTGGTAAATGTTAAATGGACGTTTCATATACTGAGATTTCGTTAGTAATCAGCCCATTCGAGCTGGTGCAAGTCCCTAAGTAAGCGAAGTGGTCGACGCATTCTACCACTTCATTCCTCATTCTTAATTTAGGAGTGACTTTAGACCAATTCTGAGGCATCATCTTATGTCTGGCAAAACGCATGCCAAACATACTCAAACTTGTGCTTAAGGCGCTCAAAAGACTCAACATTTCGTCAGCGTTTACGCCTAACAGGGCAATGCCATTTGAATACTTAACGTCAACCACATCCCTCCCGGTCAATCTATGTGAAGCTGGAAGCACCTAAGGCTGTTTGTTAATACATCTATAACAAAGTTAAATAGAAACAGTGATGCCCGGCCTCTGGCGAACACCACTAGTTTTCATCAGCTCAGACGACAACTCTCCATAAGCTCTTACAAGGTTGCACGAGCTCAAGTAGAAAACTGATTACAATTACATACTTGTTCCATGCTTTCTTTACAGTCAGACATTGCGACAACACCTCTTGACCGAATAAGTCGAATTCTGCCTAAAAGTTAAGAAAAATGACGTGTTGTCTGGACATAAGAATACCTACGTTTTAAAACCTGTCGAAGGGTAGAAGATCTAGCGGATGCACCCTCGTTTAAGTCTGAAACCTATTTTATTTTCTCGGGTTTGGTGTTCTCGAACTCTAGTTGTGTGTCGGATGTCTTTTGACTGTAAGATGCGGTAAGTCTAACTGATCCCCGTGTTTACCTTAAGAAACCTCTTCCTCACAAAATGACACGTGTCGTGCTCATGCATATCGCACTCATGAAAAAAACGAGGTTGAAAACCATCTACATTGATTTATACTTCTACCTAAGATCTTTACTCACACAACATTAGGGTTTGACAGCAGAAGTGTTTACGTTGGCTATCTAGCAGTGCCACGCTGACGCTTCCTTATTAACGCAAAGGGGTGGTGAGGAAAGGTCGGCTCCAAATAAATACCGCCTCCACTCCTCCGGTGGAGGCGGTATGAGTTTTCTGGTATTACAACCAGACCTCAAAGCAACATCCCGCAAAAGGAATCAATAGTTGAGGACTCTTGGTGAGATGGATGCAAATCGGTCACAATGGTGCAGATGTAAACACTTCTTGACATCTTCTATGGCTTGAATATTCTCACTAACCGGTATCTTCAGGTTGTTTGTTCTTTCACACTACTGTATCTTCTTTGATATCACTCTTCCTTATCCACCTGTTCTTTGTGTACTCCTGTGGGCCGATGAACCTGTGTGCACGGTTCTACATGGGTTTTGCTAATTAGTTAATGGCTCTCGTAGCACAGACCCATGTTGGCGCCACCAAATCAGTGACATAGAAGTCAGTCATATAATCTTGGGCAGAAGCGGAAAGTCAGTTGATGAGGTTGTGAATTTTCATCAAATCAAATGGGTAGGACATGTTGGGTATGCTTAGTCATATGTTTATAGCACAGTGTTAGGTGAAGTGGGTTTAAGATCTAAAAACAGGTGGTTGTTGACGGTTGGTTTGAGCCGAGTAGGGAAATGTAGATTTTCGAGGTCCGTGAGACAACGGAAATCGACGTCTGGAAACTATAAATTATATAGCTCAGAACCAATAGGTGCTGCACACATGCACATACACATGGTCTTCATTTTTACGGAAGTACTGAATTTTAGCATAGTTTTACTCTTTCTCTCCTTATTTCTCAGTACTCCATCATACTTTTTACCTCAATGCATTGATGTCAAGCAACCTGGACCTTTACGTAGTGACACCAGATCTAACGTTAATAATGACGAAGTAACTCTATGTGTAGGTTGAAAACTCACCTTAGTAAAAATAGGGTCATTTGTACAAAATTCCCGTAGCCTCCTCAGTATCGGGACTGAGGCAATTAATATAACAGGTACACAAAGTCCCAATAATTGTCTCTGAAACATGGCTTTCATTTGAAATCAGTGATGGTGAAGCAGTTTTAAGGATTCACCTGATATAATAACCCCAAGAGGTGGCAGTATCATCTTATAAGTAGACATTAAATTATGTTTTGGAACAAAAGAAATCGTTGCACATGAAAACGAGACACGTAAAGTACAACGTTGCCAATTAAAATAGAAAGTCAGTATTAATGATGGCCAGCAGCCTTTGTTGGAATCCTGGATGGGAGTTTCGTCCTGTTCAGGACTCTTTAGTTGGATGTACCTGCATCCCAATGAGCGATGTTGTTCCAAAAGGACTCGAACCCAGCAACATCAGACAAGATAACGTAGAATAATATATTATCCTTGAATGCAAAGCAAGTGGCTCTCTCCTTAATTAGCTGACTCGATAGACAAAAGTAAAGAATTTGTTTTGGGAGACCTAAATACATCATCAGCTGGCTGGAATAGCCAACTTACATGTATACTATAATTTCCTTGACTCTAATGAAGTAACATTAGGATAGCCACCAATAGGACTAACAGCACATCCAATGTTTAGGATTCATTGTTTTTCCATCAAGTATTACAGGTTTTGTTAGGTACCTTCACTCCGTGGAAAAAGTGATTACACTGTAATCATCTACCAATTCACAAATGTTGTTTAGTACTAGGTTACCATTTTGAGTGGGAGGTGAGGTGGAATTGAATTCGTCGATTGCTATATTCAAGAAAAAAGTGGATGAGTGCAGATACCCTAACGAAAAGAATTAACATAGGATTACGGCCTTCAAACCAAAACCTGAATGAATATCAATCCGTGGATAATCATCGAAATGCGACAGTTACGATTGACAGAAAAAGGCTAAATTAACCAAAGTGCACTTATGATGTGCCACAAAGATGGTAAAAATGAGTGAATAGCACAAAACATTTCAGGAGAAAATGTTAAGGCAATCAATTCACTTACTAATGCACCGCAGTAGGTTAAGGTTGCCGCCTCGGTGTTTCAACACTCAACAGAAACAAATCGAGTAAAACAGTTTGTTCCTTTATTAATTTTCAGGTCTGATTTTTAGGCTTGCTTTTTATTCATCAGCTTCGTTTTTGTGGTGAGCAAGGTAGACTTCTCCCTTTCTAACACCAGCTTTAGGTGAGAGAGTATTGTCATCAGCTTGGTAAGTAAAATGTCCCGGCTGTGCTCTGGGCTATACTCCAGGGTTCTCAGAAGATTGGGGTTTATTCTGTATTCATCTGGTACTTCAGACAGTAGATTTGTAGTTAAATTTCCACTTGTCGAACCTTTTGTGTCCTTTTCAAAGACGGTCGTTACGCATGATAGATACATCATTCTCCATGTATATTGTTCCTGGCTCTACTACATATTTGTGATGGGCCCTTCACACTTGAAACAGCTCCGAGAGGCAAGCTTCCTTACTACATTTCGGACATAATTTTTGCATCCTTATAGCAAATTTGGTGGTTTTATTGCTATCAGCTTGAGAACTTCAAGTTGTACATCACCAGACTAGTTGAGAAACTGCCATACGGGAGACTTCGCTGCATTTTATTTCTGACTTGGGCCTTCTACTGTGTGGGTTCACTAGCCTGAGTACATATTTCATCCCGGCCAAAGCCTTATCACTAGCATGCAGTATACGACCAAAAGCACCTAAACATGTCTACGTTGCCAAAGCGCTTCCCATCAACTCATTTGGCGCGCTTCAAAAAGGACGTGAGGTTTGACAAATTTCGATTAGTCCATTATATTTACTGTGTTGAAGTTCATAACTCCTTGAACAAACATTTTTCTACCTTTCATTCAGTCTAATGACAGCTTCAAAGGATGTCTACGTGGTTTGTCGCAGAAGTGTCAGCTTCTCAGCTAAGGCGATGGGTTGTGAGCTTTGCTCCCAAAGGACTCACTGCCCCCGTGATTCCAGCCAGCCATCTGGTTATTGTGAAGCATTGCTTAATAGTCCTTTTGATGGAGATTGGTATTTTTGCCTATATTGTAGGTCCTAAAGTAAGTACCAAATAGGCCTAGAGCTAGTTAGACAGAACTCCGACCATCTTACATTTGAGATCTCTACATAAATCAGCCTCAATCTAAAGAAGTCTCATGGCCATAAAAAGACCACTCGAGTTAGCAGTAAGGGAAGTAGCGAATTCATTGCTGTCACGGACTGTCTCCCCGTCAGCATACCTTTGGAGCAGATCCCCTTCAGTGATGAACGAGAATCTCACACCCTATAAGCTCCGAAGGAAAGGTCTGCAGAAATGTGGGCGGGTCAGGTCAGTTAAAAATGGAATATTAGGTAACGTTCGTAAGACTGGAAAAGTAACGACTACTGAGCCTAATGGGAAGCCGAATCATAAGCTGAACATTACCCCTCCTACTCAGGTGAAAAATGCTCTGAAAAAAGCAGATCTTGGTCCCGCCACCTGTAACTCACGGCGGAAGCCACCTGCACTTCACCACCAGCCTCGTTCAACCATCAGGATAACTCCCACAGCCAGCAGCTCAGGTTTTCCGAGTCACTCTCAAAAGACTAACCCTTGACTCTGCGGACATGGTTAGAACTCCCTTGGAATCCTGGCATAATGTACCTGATACATTCCCTAGAGAAATGAAGAGGCAGACTGGGAGGCGATTCAAGTGCTTACCGCTGGCCGACACACATCTAACGATAGAACGGTTGGACGATGAGCCAGAGTTTTTTCGACCCTGTCCCAAATCCAAGAGCCCTGCACCAGCTCTCAGTCGAAGAGATCAGTGGATAAAGTAGCCCTTGATTCCACCACCCTATCAAGAAACTTATCAGAGCTGGCCATTTAAAGGCTGGCAGCATACCCTTAACTGTCCCCTGATACCTCCGGCCCTCATACTCTTATTCACTGTAACTACAGTAATATACGAGGCCTACGCCCCAAGGTACCTGAGTTAAGGTTGTTAGTGGATGAGGATAGCCCTAGTATAATGGCTTTCTGTGAACCATGGCTCTCAGAGAACATAAAAGGCGAGGAAGTTCGTTTAGAACAGCTCTGCCCAATCCGAAAGGATTGATCTGAGAGCCCAGAAGGTGGCGTGGCTCTTTACGCCTGCCCTTCCTCAAAAGTCCATGAAGTCCATAGAATTGGCATTAAAGATGTCCTCTGGTGTAGTATTAAGTGCTGAGGGGGTTCGTGTTCAGTTGGAGTCCTATACCTACCCCTGCAGCATATGCCACGTTAAATAAAATGTTAATACGGCCCACTAGAGGAGCTCTGGAACTGAACTTCCCACAGGTCCTCATTACGGAAGGTTTTAACTTTCCTCAAATCCTAGCCACAAAAAGTCCATCTACTGCTCTAAAAGACTTTCGGGAATTGTCACTGGAAAACGCCTTAACGGAACATGTCTCTCGGCGTACTCGCTGGGGGTTTGACGGTGAGGCATCCCGACTAGATTATATTTTCACGAATCAGCTCAGTGGGATAAGCGACTCGAATGTTTTCAGCCCTCCTGGCCTGAGTGACCACGCGGTTATCTCCTTCAATATTTCCATATCTAAACCACCTGCTCCCGATCAGCCGCCAGTCGGGAATTAGAGGAGAACCGATTTTGAGAAGGTCCGACAAGGTCTAAAAGGTTCCGCTTGCCTAAATTGCGATGGTCTACTGAACCTTGATGCCAGATGGGATCTGTTGAAAAATACAATCCTCCAAGCGATAAAGACAACACTCCTTTGATTCCAAAAGAACCAACAGTTTTACTCCTCCCGGCTTAAGTCAAGCACGCGCAAACCAATAAGGCGTAAACGGTCGTCTTGAGGCACTAATAGCCCTTTTGACTGGCTAGATCATAAAGATGCCCGTAACAAATGTACAATAAGGATCAGAAATGACAGAATACACCACTAGACCAACCTTGTAGGGCCCTAGAGGGGGATCATGGGATACCGTACTGGCTGATGAAAGAGAGGAGTAACAGTCCACTTAGTTTACAGGACCCCGTTAGTTTGCAGATTCCCCATTCTAACTCCAAAGTAGCAAACCTACTGGCTCATGAATTCCAAAACGACCTTGGTCATTCGGGAGGCAAAACCGCGCATCTGTCGGACTCCCGTATTACGGGGGGAACAAACCATATAGAGCTTGAACCCTCTATAATTATCGAAATATTAAGGAAAGAAATATTAAAGAAACCGAACCCGAATAAGTCTCCAGGAATTGATGGGACTCACCCGAGAGCACCCAAAGAGTGTTCCGTGCGCCCCACTAGCAAACCTCTTCAAGTGCACGCTTCTGGAAAGCAGGCTACTTTCTGGCTGGAAACGAGTGGCGGTCGTCCCAATTTATGAAGGTGGAAACAAACTATTCGCCTCCAACTACAGGCCGGTCCCCCTGATCTCTTCAGTTGCGAAGGTCATGGAGAGCGTCATAGATGACTCACTTCGTGATCACTTACTTCAGAAACCAATCCTAAGCGACTGTCAGCATGGATTTCCACCAGGAGGGTCATGTGACACCAGCTTGCTGATAGCTTCGAATAGCTGGACACTCTCTGCCGAGAAGCAAAAGCCTATTCACATTGGTTTGCTCGACTTTTCTAAGGCCTTTGACAGGGCAAATCATGACATCCTCTGTGATCAACTCCAGTTCATGGGTGTACGCGAAAAATTATTAATTTGGCTTAGGGATTATCTGTACGCCAGGGTGCAGTCAGTTAGGGTTGGCTCCTCCCTATCTAATTGGTTCCCGATGCTGAGTGGTGTGCCTCAGGGTTCTATACTGGGCCCGCTACTGTTTCTTGTTTTTATCAATGACCTACCAGGAGTCTCTGATTCGCATTCACCATTATATGCCGGTTATCTGGAGATTTGGAGGGAAATACAGAAGCCAACGGATATTTCGGCCTTCCAGTAGGGCCCTACAAAAAATCCTCAAC